AATGATTGAAATTGGATTGCTAAATTAGAAGATTTAAGAAAATATGATATTATTTTGTCAAACCGGTATTTGAGGTAATAATGGTGCTCAAAATGTTACAAAGAATATAATCTAGATTATATAGAAGTGGTTTGGATCCTCGAATAGTTTATAACTAAGTATCAAACAAAAACTTTAAAGTAATATTAATAATTGTAATTTGTAATTAATAATAGAGTATACTAAATAATTGATTTTGAATATAAAGCTTTACAAAAGGAATCCTTTTCTAGTTATATAGATCTTCATATTAATTGTTCTTTCGATCCTTTCAATCCCTTCGGTAAAGGGATCGAAGGGATTTAAGGGATCACGTGACTTCATAAGTGGTCACATGATACAAGGCCCGAAGCCGTTGTAACATATTGATGAATTCTAGAAATTTTAGATTTTTTATAATTTTATTAATTGAGATATTGAAAATTGAAATTATAATTTTTAATTTATATAAGATTTATATATAAAATTGAAAATCCTAAAACCCTTGAATAACTTTTCAATAAAAATTATTAAAAATAAATTATAAATTCTTTTGAAATCTTCAAATCAAATAATATATAATAAATCAGAATTTTAAATTTTAAATTATATATAAAACCTTTTATTTATATTTTTAGATTTTACAAATATTAAAATTATAATATTCAGATTAAAAAAAATTTAATTATTTTTAAAATAAATTAATTTATTTAATTTGTTATAATAAATATTCGAAAAAGATTTATAATTTATTTTTAATAATTTTTTAACAAAAATTATTAAAGATTTTAAAGATTTTTTAAATTTGTATATAAATTCTATACAAATCAAAAATTGAAAAATATAAAATTATAAATCTCAACAAAATTAATTTAAAAAAATCTGAAATTTTCAAAATTGATTTATAATTATATAATAAATCTATGATTTAAATTCTTTTAAATTCTATTGATTGATTATAAAATTATTAATAATCGAAAATGATGATTTTTGATATAAAAATAATAACCAAAAGAGGAGTAGCTCAAAAGTAAAGTATTAGACTTATACCTGTTGTGTCTTACCTCATTCTATCTCTGGTGTATAATATTCACTCCTTTGAATTTCGCAGCCATTGACTTATAGGACAGGAGGGCGCACACCACACTCCGGAGAGATATATTATTGCACTTCCTAACTTTCTGGGTATTATCATCTCGTAGCTATCATGGGTTTGGGAAAGCCCTCGAAATACAATAAACAAGACAAGATTCAGGACATTTTGTTGTATATCCCAATCGATTTCTAAAATTGTTGACTTCAGACACGTTTGAGGTCTGATGTTTTTTCTCAAGAGGTTTAAACCCCATAAGAAGAGTTGAGGAAAGTTTGCTGCATGTCTTATCAATCAGTCTGATTTTGTTTGTGATGGAGAGTGGTTAATGAATTAGTAGTGAGTTGGTAGTGAATAGAGGAGTAGCTCATCAACCCTGAGATATACAAGACACAACTAACTGTTAAGGTAGATTTGGAAGATGTTTGTTGTATAGGTACCTAGGTATCTTGATTATAATATTTTCCATTCTTCACTTTCGCAATGGCGAATTGTTGAGTTATCAGCCGATTGTACAGAAATTACCCTCACCAGAAGAATAAGTAAATGAAAGATCTACTCAAGTTGAGTTTTGTCCATGATATAGATATTTAATCGTTACTATACAGATTATAACAGATTACATATCGCTAATACTCCCTTTATGATGTGCAGCCCTGCACTTCGGTTGGGTTTGAGGCTTTGGAGGTGGAGTGTGAAGATTTATAGGAGATTCACTTTGTAGTGAGGATAAGAGAATTTTATTGCAAATTTCAAGTGCCTTTTAGGGCGGGACGGGGAGGAACAATTATCAGTGTTAGTAAAAGTATAGGAAACAGATGTGCGCGCGCGCGCGTGTGTTATATACATTCTAGAAAAACTATAGTGCCTGTGAATTCATATGAAACATCATGAACTAGTCTGTTTAATTCTCGGGTGATCCTTAGATTTCATCAGGCTGAAAAAGAATTATACACAACATACTCTCAGAGCAGAAATATTGTGAGAAAGTTGGAATTATAGACCAAATACACAGAGGTTTTTAATCAATCAATCACATAACCTCCTATAGTTAGATATAAAAGAAGAGCTTTTATCTTTTCTTTCGACAATAATCAACCTTTTATATATATACATTTGAATCCATATAATATCAATCCCAAAACTATTATGAATTTTGTTTTCTTTATAAATAATATATTACAATATAATCTAATTCAACTTTCTCTTCCAATTCCCTCCTCACAGCGTGTTATCGGGATGCACGTATCTCGACTTACCACTTTTACAATATGACCCGGATCTGTTAATGAAAGATCTTATTATTGATTTGGAGAATAATGATTTTTTTTTGGCGAACACCCCTTTCAACAAGCGGAAACTGGGACTCGTAGATATATTTGTCATCTTATGAACATGTTGATTCTACCAGCCATTTATCCCATTTTCTCCTCTGGTGTGGGTGGATCGGCTTTGGATCTCTCAGCTTGGATATCTGTTTATTTTCTGGTTGGCTGTTGGTCAAACAGAATAGGAGATGTTAGGTAGATGGTAGAATACACATTCATTGTAACTATACGCTCTTTCTCTTCCTCTCGAAAGACGACGAGATGAAGATTTTATGTTCTAATTAACACAAATAGCCCAGTACAGAGACCAAATAAGACAACTCTCGTTCGGAATCTAATCTCCTGACCAATAATTAGCATAAAGCGTGAAAATACTACATTATATTATATCGGACACATAAATCAACACTATTATAGTAAAATTGCCGAGAAATTTGCGAGTATACATCAATATGCTGCCTACGTCTCACTCTCAAACTTAGGAGATATTCAACTAACTATCAGCAAACTACTGTTCATTCCATGCCAGTTATCCCTTTTGGGGTCTGGCTTTCTTTTTTTTCTCTCTTTCTCTAGATCACTATGTCTGGTACTCTCTTATATTCCTAAATAGAATTATAAAAATTCAAATTAACATACATCATTTATATTATTTAAATATTAGAATACAACTAAAAAGGAATAACTAAAATATATATATTAATTCATTCAAATATTATAAAAATTTAAAACACTAGCTCATTCTATGAATTGGAAATTATGAAAAATACGATGCTTCCGCTCCCGGTGAGCATTGTCTCGCCTCATTTTTATTTGCTGAATTAAAAAAAAAAAGCAAAAGCGAATTAGACATACTACTTACTGTATAGTATATCTCACTAGAAACATACATATAATCTAATCAATCTTTCATTAAGAAATCTCTTCGACCTCGAGCTTATCATCCTGATTACCCCGCACCCGGCCTAGTTGTATTCATCTATCTAGACCATCACAATACCCGATCCCAATCCTCAATTTGCACATCTTACTACACACCCATCCACCATCCATCCATCCCAACGTCAGCCAAAAATCTACATGAAACCCAAATACAAATCCAGGTCCAGATCCACCCTCAACCCCCCTCCCACATCCCATCAGCCCTCCATCCAACATCCAACATCCAGCATCCAAGCCCAGACCATACGTATACCAAGCATCTCCCAAACGCAAATACAAATGCATCTCACCCACAACCACAACGCAATAACTTACCATACAATGAATGCAGTCTTAAGCTTAATACAACACATAGCACAGCTAAAACAGCATCATTGTAAGACTTAATTACAACAAACAGTACATACATAGTCTTACATGTACGGAGGATACATACATTTACATATAAGTGTATGCTTATGTATATGTAAGATCTTATATGTATGTAAACATATACATACATACGTATATACGCAGCCGCACCCACGAACACTACCATGTATTTCCATCTCCACCTCTCCACCTCCACCACTCCACTACCTCAATCCAAAATCCAAAATCCAACTCCATAATCTGCATATTTCGAGCGCGATGCTCAACTACGAAGGACACTCAACACTCCACGCCACACTCCACCAACTCTACATCAGTACATACAATGCAATGCACAATAAATCCAGATCCAGACCATTGCACACAACCACCAAGCAAATAAAAAAATCCAAAAAGAAAAAAACGAATCTCCAAATTCCAGAATAGAACGGAGTACTCGGTACCGAGCGATGACCAAGCACCAAAGACCGAAGACCAAAGACTAAAAACCAAGGACCAGGGACTAAAACCCGAGTCATGAAAGTAAGACTTGCATACATGCATACATACATATCCTTTAACGTTCTGTCATTCATTAGCTTGGCATGTTACGATTGATGTTCGAGACTGTGTTGGATTTGAATTTTGAATGTTATTAAGTGTATGTGTATGTGTACGTATCGTGAATGAATGCATATAAGAAGTAACTATAACACAATTTGTACAAATGCCGGTATAGATGTTGGATGATGACGTATTTTTGGAGGTATAAAGATATTTTTTGGTTTTTAAAGCTACTCCGTACGACTGACTATTCGCTGCACTCCACATCCACATCCGGATCCACATCTACACCCATTTCTCCATCTCTGTACATCCACTTCCCATCTCTTACACCCACTTCTCCATCATCATGCTTCGTTACCCTCGTCACTAAACACTACCAGTCCTAGCCTCCCCCGCAAAAAAAGAAAACACACCATCTCTTCCAGTGCCAATATCGATAACAATTGCTTGATTTCCTCTTCCTCTTTCTTCCTCTTATTCGATCCCACCCAATCCTTCAATTTCATCTCGAACATACAATCTCCAGACTTCTTCGCAGTGTATCGCTATACTCCAAGTCCAAAACATAAGAGACGAACCGGAGCTAAAAACAAATACACTATAGTCCTATAAACATTCTATAATTTTGAAGTATTTTAGACAGAAAGGAGGTTTAGAAAAACAATTGCAAAGGAAAGATGCAAATGCGGAAAAAATATCTCAACACCATCTCATGCCATAAATGTATAAAACAAGAAATGATGCGCCATCCTTTCCCTGCCTATCCAATCCATCCCCTCATCTGTCATTTAGTTCTTATCTCATCTGTTCATAATCATTGGTATCATATACCCATTCCCCGCAAGATTGTTCCATTATCCAAAAGAAAAAACACGCATACAAAGTCAAAAGGAAAACTTTGTATCCCAAGATGGTATCAAATGAGAAACCCCCAAAATACCAACAAAACGTAAAAACAAACACGCTGAAAGATATTAGATAGATGAGGAAAAATGTTTAAAAAATGTAACAGCATGAGCTTCATCCCCGTATAGACAAATAACCCGCTCTTGGAAAATGGGAAAATGTTATGCCTCGAATAATCAAGGTATTGCTAAAATAAAGATTTTGCCCAAAGAACTCACGAGAAGGAATCGTTCTAACCTCCCACCCAAGATTGACACATGGAATCTAGGTACGCTGGATCCGGTTCAAGGTACGAGAGATATTGAGGTCTACTTTTTGGCTGATCAGAAACCCATCGCTATAATCATTACACTACAAGCATATGTAGATGTATTAATTATTCGCTTAATGATTTACGTGATACTTCGGTTATTCCGGTGCTTATTTTTTTGATCGACCTATTCACCTAGTAAGTATGGAATGCAAAAGATATACATGTTGCATACCTTTTGAGGACGGCGCAGGTCTTTTGCCTGCCATCCATCCTAATACTCCTGAGTCTACCTTCTTTTTTGGTTTCACCGTTACGATTCTTGGCGCGCTTGGCTGAGGCATAAACGGTGGTGGAGGTGGTGGAGGAGGACCTCCAAGTCCAGGTGGTGGCGGTGGTGGTCTAGCTCCGAGAGGTGGCATGGCAACACCAGGAGGAGGAGGTGGCCGGGCGCCATTTGGGAGTGCTGTTGAAAGACGGTTAGGAAAATGATGATGAGGATGTCCATGGGAACTTCGGGGCCTACCATTTGGATGCATTGGGTGTGGCCCAGGAGGTCCAGTGGGAGCTGCTGGCCTTGGCGGTTCTGTTGGAATTGGCCACATGTGCATAGTGATTGCCCAATCAGGTTCTATCACTGTTTCCCATATCTGTGGTAGGATAATCTCACCATCGGGGCCAATGAGATCATAGCGACCATCTTGGACATGGGGGCCGATAACATCGACATGGATGAAAGCTTGTTTGATTAATTCCTCCATACCCTGTGCAGAGACGTTAGTGAGTAAATGAAGATCAAAAAATAGAAAGGAAAAAAGGACTAACCGCCCATTTTGCGCATAACTCGAATGGAAAACTAAACTTTCTGCCTACGGCATCTTTGAATTTGATAGGTTTCTTTTTCTCTTCAACCGGTGGTGGAGGTGGTGGAGCTGGAGTAGCAGCAGCGGTAGCAGCAGCGGTTGCGGCGGCAACAGCGGCAGCTATTTCGTCTGCCTTATTCTTTGCCTCCTCTTCTTTCGCAGCCTTCGCCCTTGCTTCCTCTTCCTTGGCTTTCAACGCATCCGCAGCCCCTTTCTTCAATGCCAATTCTTTCTCAGCCTCGATTTTAGCTTCCCATCCAGCTTTGATAGCTGCAGCTTGAGCGGCCTCTGCAGCATCCTTAGCATCCTTAGCTTCTTTTGCCAATTTAGCTGCCAAAGCTGATTGTGCTTCCTCCATTTTCTTTTTTAAATCAGCTTCATTATCGGCAGCTGCCTTTTTCAGATCAGCTTCCATTGTTGCAGCTCTTTTCATCAAATCTGCCTGTGCTTCTGCTGCTTTTTTCTCCCATTCGGCTCTGATAGCAGCTTGTGCAGCAGCATCAGCGGCCTCCTTTTCTGCTTTAGCTTCCTGCGCAAGCTTAGCCGCCAATAAAGTCTGAGCTTCTTCCATTCGTTTCTTCAAGTCCGCTTCAGCATCCGCGGCTTTCTTCTTCAAATCAGCCTCCATCTCTGCAGCTTTCTTTTCCAATTCAGCTTGTCTCTCCGCAGCTCTTTTCTCAATCACGGCTTGAGCTTCACTAGCTTTCCGTGCCCACTCGGCCCGTTCATCAGCCAACTTTTGTGCAGCCGCTGCCGCTTCTTCAGCATCTAGTTTCTCTTTAAGCTCCCGTGCTTCCTTGTCCGCTAAGGCCTTTTGAGCAGCTTCAGATGCCCTTTGAGCGGCTTCAGCTTGTTCTCTCGCCCTATCGGATTCTATCTTTGCGGCTTTCATTTGTTCCTCCATCAACACAATTTTCTTCTCCATCTCGATATCGACCACCGGCACTGGCGCGGGCGCTGGAGCGGGTTCGGGAGTAGAGAATTGAGGAGGGAAGTATTGCATTCCTGCTGGACCCATTGCCATACTTTGCTGTCCATGATTTCCATGTTGCAATGCCTGCATTCCTGGGGACATACCAGGAGACATGGCAGGAGACATGCCGGGAGGCATATATCCTGGATATCCTGGATAGCCTTGACCTGCACCATAAGGCTGATTTCCGGGATAGCCATGTTGAGGCGCGTAATGCATAAGTTCTTGATTAGGATGACCAGGATATCCACCGGGAGTATTGTGTCCAGCCATCGGATCATGTCTAGGTATGTCGTGTCTACTGCGGCTGTTAAAGTAGCTAGCGCCGCCAGGACTTGGAGATGGCTGTGGTGCGAACGAATTTTGATTTTGTGGAGCAAAGGGGTTTGAGCTTTGGTTAAATTGCTGAGGATAACCGCCGCCATAATGTGTTAAAGCTCCTGGGCCAGGGCCTTGATGGGGAGCAACACCGGGGCTACCAAACGGTGGTGCATAAGGGGCACTATTCGCACCGGTGGAGTATCCATTTGGGCCATAACCAGGCGGAGGTGCCGTTCTCCCGCCTCCATAAGGAGCTGTTGGTTGTGCAGGATAGCCTCGGCCATAGCCCGGAAAATCGTCTAATTGCTCCACAGTTGATGGTGGTCCCGGTGCTGTGTGCCGGTGCACTCTAGATATAGGCGGACGATGGTTTCGTTCGGCAGCGGGGGTGTGACGACGTGTTGGGCGCTCGTAACTTGCGTGTGCACGTTCAATGGGGGCGGGCCGACCTGTGCTGTGTTCTCGAGAGCTAATTTGATCTCTAGCTATATATCTTGTTGCTGCACGTGGTGGACGTGAAGCAGATTCAGATGGGTCAATATCGTCTGGGTAATCTAATCCGTTCCAAGATTCTTGCGAATTGTCTGAAAATTCGTGACTATCGTCTGAACGAATGTGACCCGATGATCCCTCGGAGAAGGAATTGGATCGGGAGTTTGAAGTCGAGTGAGATGGAGTCGTATATGGACTTTGAGTATTAGGAGTATCGATAGTTATCCGAGTTGGTCCTCTTGTACGAAGACTATAAAATAAAGACGTTAGCATACATAAACTTAGACCGCCAATTGTGTCGCAACTACCAGTGTGACAGTTATGTTGTGAATTCAAGTACTTACGGCATCGGGATTTGTCTTCCAAGGAATTATCTCCTACCCACGACTCTCAAGTAGAGAATGTCGGAGTGAAGATATCCTTGAAAATGGGTTGGTGAAGGAGGGAGTGTTCGCCCAGAATGTGTTCGACCTCACAACTTCTTAAAGAATGTTCCGGATTGGATTACCGATTGTGTATTGCAGGAAAATTCGTAAAACTTTATATGAGTTATATGCAGAAGATGCAGACGAAGAGCGACTCGACGTCAGTACACTAATTCGACTTTGAATTTTAAGGTGTAACGGCGTCGTGTCGAAAGTTTGGTAGTTGAAAGGAGTAGTGATGGTAGCGTTTGTGCGGGCCGTCGCGAGTTGACTTAGCTAGTGGTTCGGTATTGATTAATCGGATATGCTAAGATAGTTTTTGAAGATTCCAAGGTTGTGTTGATCGGATATGTAAGCGGCGATGTTTGGTGATACGTAAAGACGTTTAGATGGGGTAACACTACTTGTGTAAATTGTTTCTGTCGGTGGATGTTGTTCTTCGAACGGTATGAACGGTTTGATTATATTCGAATGTGACGGAGAGATTTTGTCGATGGAGAAGCTTGGAGGGGAAAAAGGAAAACAAGAAATAAAAATAATGTGGTGTTGTGGATCTTGGGTGGGTGGAGGTGGATTTGAGTGGATTAGTTCACTCTGCCAGGGTTCCCGGATAGTTTTCTGCTGCGAGGGGTTGAATGTTTTAGCGTATGTTTCTTATGATTCGTTGTCACCCAATACAAATAGAGTCGTAATGTTATTCGTCTAGTTCTTGTAGGTAAGGTAGTATCTTCTGATTCCTTCTATTGTGTCCTAGGCTGCTAGGTTCTTTCTATTTTCCCTTTCTCATCATTTGAGTTCCATATGGATCATTCCGGGTCCTCTTATTTTTGATATACCTAGCTATATCTTAAAATTGGCACACACTGGCGGCAAATACAGAAAAGGACGGGCATTATCGGTAACACAAGGTAAGAAGTACACTGTAATACATGGATTAAGAGATCATCCCAAAAGAAGGATTTGGAAGAAGTGATCCAAGTTCTCAAGTAAATAGAAAGATAGATCGTCTATCTGATATCTTGAGCCATATGAAGATTGAAACACCGTAACATACCTCGTTTATTTTCCTTGTGAAGTCGTCCAAAGGTAAGATGATCCGAGGTATGATATTGAATCCTAACTGATTCAAGGAATGATCCAAGAAATCCAAATGGGGTTGCTTCCGTGGTCGATTTAAAACTCTAGACGATTATGAAACCAGAAGGGAACCAGTAAATGGTCCGTGTATACTGGGTAGAGTGGATGGGCCAACCTGGAGGGGAAGAATGGGTCTTCTTTCCAATTATTCGTCTTGAGGGGCAATACTCAAACACTTTTATTTTGTGTACGAGTAACTGTATGCCAGTATATGGTCTGTTCGTATAATTAAGCCAGCCAGTACCACTGACTTGGTTTTCGGTTTCTGGGGGTTGCCAAGGCAAATAAAGGAAAAGAAAATTGACGATGCGTTATGATGTTGTGTAGTTTATGTGGACTTTATGTTGTGGGATAGTTTGTGTATTCTTGTTGTGTTTTTTCCATTCCTTTTTTTTCACACGAGACAGAGCCTTTCCGTAGTGGGGATTTTGTTGATAGAATTAAAAGTCTGCTTTGACGAGGGGTGTGTGGTGAAGTACGAATAAAAATGATGGATGGTACGCTGTTGCTAGGGGGAATGAAGCAAGCTTTTGGGGGCAGTGATAGAAGATTCCGGTACAAATTCGCTTCGTCTGCTGATGAAGGGGTAAATTTACTTTGATAGCCGGGAACGAATGCAAACAAAACTCCTTGGGCTCTTACGGCAGGAGTAATAGTGTCAGAAAAAGCACAAGTACAGTATGACTTTTTCTTTTTTAATTTAACATGCAGAGCTGCGTGAATTGTGGGCCAAGAGGGGAAATTCTCACTTGGAGCCTAGTTGGAGGGGGTTTTGGTTCTATGATTCTGGACCTTCGGGGTTGCTGGTTGGTTTCTTCAGCCTTTCCTCTCGTTGTAGTTGGTCTTGTGATTGAATTGACGATGTTTCTGCATGTCTGAATGTTGAAATATGACTGGGGTCCACAATGTTGCACCGCAGATTGGACAATGGAAAAGACTCTCTGGGTGTGCAATTGGTGGTAATCGGGAAAAAAGTATAGGGAATTATTCGCGGTGTCAGCTGTAATCGGCCACCTTCAAGGCTGAGTCTATCTACATATACTTGGACCTTCTAAGCCCCGTGCGTTGTCACGATTCTAAAAGACTCCCTATTCAACACCTTTAATGGTTCCTTTCGGGTTCAAATAAATTAGAACCGTCTCAAAAAGATCTCGTCACCGCTTTTCCAATAGCCTAAAACGTTAAATGATGCCCAAGAATTCCGAATCTCTTGCCCAATGTGGCAAAGCTAATCGTCAATTCGATGATTGGGCACCGACATCCCCCAACGCACTCCTACTGGTGCCACGACCTCGGGAGGGGCTTGTAATCTACCTTTGGATTGTCCAATTCTAGCCCATGACATTGAAATGATGTACGGAGTATTTTGAACCGTACCAATCTCATGCAAATCGTAACCGCAATTTATGAGATGGAAGAAATTTTCGAATTGAAAAACCATGTCGAACCTTGCACTTTTAAATGCGTGAGTACATACCCGACATTGAAAATGATGATGGAATCATGGGAATCAACAATCCCAAATGTGGATCTTGTAACTCCACGATTAAAATGATGTGCCTTGCATGTTCCACGTTATGAGAACTGATCAATTTCTATGAATATCAACGAGTTAAAGAACCCGAGTCCCTATTCAACAATTCACGAGCGGCGATGAGGGAAGCTTCGTCATAGCCCTCCCAACCAGGTTCTTTGGCACTACTTCGTCGGACAATTTCCGATAATTTAGACGTAGCAGTCTCATTCAACTTCTCGATTGTGTTTGTATCTGGCAATGGTAGACTAGTATCCGATTTTGTGTTTCGGTTCGTTGGGGGCTTTTTGAGAAGTTGACTGCTGGCCTGTGATGTGTTAGAAATGGTTTAATAAGAAAAGATTATCACCAACCAGCTTCAAACCATAGTATCCGCGAAGATAGTCGTCACATAATTCGATACTTCTACAAAACCTGCGCAAAGACTCTGCAAGGTACCGGTCCGCGTTCGAATCATTTACACCTGCGGCAATGTACAGGATCTCTCCCAGTCGGGCATGAATCTGATTTCTGCTATCAGCATACTGACGAGTTCTAAGAAACGTATTGGGCCTCTTACATTCCATGCATTAGGTGTTATGAGTAGAACCTCTTCCAGTGCAAATATACCCTGTGGATACATGCCCTGCGAAACATAAAGATCTGCCAATTCTGCCCATGCTTCTGCATCCGTGGGGGACAAATCCACCAGCTCATTGAGTGCGATAATTGCTTCTGACATCTTCCCCAGTGATCTGAGAACCGAAATGCGACGTTTTAAGATAGGCTACACAACCCAGTGAGTATTTGTATGGAGACACGTTCGAGTAAGCTTACCATATTATTTGGATTGTCCGATAAGTTTTGTTCATATCCCTCTAGTACCCTTTGCAATGCTGCATCGTCTTCCGCGCCGACCTCGCAAAGTAATCCTCGCATTGCCATGATCCGCTCATTTTCAAGACCGAATCTTTCCTGGAGCCGTGTAATGCATAACTGTGCAGATTTATCATCCCCAGTCCGCAAGCATGACATGAATAGATTTTCGTAAATAGTCCACAATTCTGGAGACTCAGCGGCGCTCCAGAGAGAGCTCAAGGACCATGATGATATTGATGAAGGAGTGTTCCGCAATATCGAGGGAGCTTGTTGGGAATTTTCTAGGGCCAGCGCTGGCGAAAGATGTGCGGGTGGGTGTAAAAGTGCAGACGACATGATTGTGATGTTTTGTTATGTCTTCAATGTTCTAGATGTGGCTTTTGTGGATGAAGAGGAATTGAAGAGATGAAAATCCGGGGTTATATACTCAGTTTGGACAGCTTGCTTGTGATTGTGTAAAGCTCTCCACAAGTTTAGCTCTCCTCATAATTTATTGTTGCCTTTGTGAATAAGATTTATTGCCTTAACACAATTGCCGCGGGCGGTGTAGAACTAGCGGGGAAATCGGACGGGACACTTGCAGTTTGGGTCGATAAGAAGAAAGTCTTAACTTAACAACCGTTTGAATAACGACATATATTCAGAATATTTCCTATATTCCGGAAACATTCAAGTCATGCGCTTCGTATATGCTAGACATTCAAACCTCCCCTAATCAAAGTTCTTAATGGGGAACCGCTCCACACAAGCTTAAGTCTTCAAAGATGTGCGCTCTTGCTCGACACAATCATACTTCAAACCAGGACGATGTACTAAGGCTGTAGCAGGTTCGAAAAATCCTTGTATGACCTCATTCGAGGTCTGCGGAACCATAAAGGAAACGAAAAGGAGTACATTCAAAATAGTTTGAAAGAATGTCGAGCGGAAATAAAAGGTTCAGACATGGGTTAGAGACTACGGCAGAAGAATGAGGTGCATTTAACTGACAAATGCGCCGCAGACCTCAAGGCTACTGCCTTACTGAAACTGGTTTACCTGGAAATGTTTGGCCACGATATGTCCTGGGCTTCCTTTCATGTTCTCGAAGTCATGTCCTCGCCGAAATACCTACAGAAACGAGTCGGATATTTGGGTGCTGTGCAGAGCTTCCGGCCGGATACTGAAGTTCTGATGTTGGCCACGAATTTGCTGAAGAAGGTATGACTTCCATATAATTATCATGGAAATTATACTCAGACATCATACAGGATTTGAGTTCCGCTACGCCGACAACAATGTCTCTTCCAATCATAACATTACCACATGTCATCACTCCTTCGCTCGCACTATCTGTTCTCTCAGACCTACTGCCCCGGATGACACATTCGCATCCGGCCATTCGCAAGAAAACCATTGTTACACTTTATAGGTTAGCTTTAGTCTACCCCGAAACATTGCGTCCAGCATGGCCAAAGATCAAGGAGCGATTGATGGATGAGGGCGAGGATCCAAGTGTTACAGCTGCAATCGTCAATGTTGTTTGTGAATTGGGATGGCGGAGGCCTCAGGATTTCCTACCCCTGGCTCCGCGACTATTCGAGTTACTTGTGGATAGTGGAAATAATTGGATGGCGATCAAGCTCATTAAACTGGTCAGTGGTAAAAATCATACAGAAAACTATACGTTAACATATATGTAGTTTGCTACCTTAACTCCACTTGAACCAAGATTGGTCAAAAAACTGTTACCACCACTTACATCGATTATCCGAACGACTCCAGCAATGTCACTACTATATGAATGTATAAATGGTATTATTTTAGGAGGAATTCTTGGAAGCAGTGAGGAGTCCGCGGGAGGGGAGGAAATAGCTACTCTCTGTGTGAGCAAGTTGCGTGGTATGATTATGGTTGAGGGAGATCCTAATCGTAAGTCAGTAGTTCCAAAGCATACCACTAAGGCTAAACATTTGCAGTAAAATATGTCGCACTGCTCGCTTTCAACAAGATTGTTGTTACCCATCCATTTCTTGTTGCTCAACAAGAAGATGTGATAATGGATTGTATCGATAGTGCCGATATCTCGATCCGATTACGTGCATTAGACTTGGTTGTAGGCATGGTTAGCAGCGACAATCTGATGTCAATTGTTGGGAGATTGATGAGACAGCTTCGAAGCTCCCCCTCAATCTCTGCACGCAATTCTAGTCCTCGACATGCTGGACACATCGAACCTGAAGCAGATTCAGATGACGAGGCTCCGGAAGTGGCAATCAAATCCGATAAGGGGTCGTCACAAGATTTACTATTGCCAGATGATTACAAGGTGGATGTCATCACCAGAGTGCTAGAAATGTGCTCGATAAATAACTATGCTAATCTTGTTGATTTCGATTGGTATATCGACATTTTGATTCAGCTTGTCAGAAACGCTCCTGTTACAAGCTCTCCTTCAAATCAGGAATTGGAAGAGTACACAAATAACGATATCTCCGAAAAGATTGGGGATGAACTGCGTAATGTGGCCGTCAAGGTGAAAGCGGTCCGGTCTCAAGCTGCTAAGGCTGCGGAGTCAATACTAGTACTAGCTTTTAACGACACCACAAGCCAAGTCAGCTCCGGAAATGGAGCACTTCGACCGATATCTTGGATGATTGGAGAATATGCCTCTTATTTGGAGTCTCCAGAAAATACAATGGCTGCTTTACTGCATATTACGAAAGCTTCAACATCTGCTGAGGGTCTCATCGTGTACCTCCAAGCAATGGCTAAGGTTTTCGCGGTTATAGCTGATGATGAGCATTCACTCTGGACGACCGAACGGAGGACAATGATGTCACTCTTGATGGCACGCATTATAAATGCACTTGAGCCCCTAGCGATGCACCCTGATCTTGAAGTTCAAGAAAGGGCAGTTGAGTTTTCAGAGTTGTTAAAGTTGGCGGCAGAAGCAACAAATGGTCACGAGCCATCTTCGGAATCGATGCAGCAAGATGCGCCACTTTTGCTCACACAAGCACTGCCTTCTCTATTCAGGGGACAGGAATTAAACTCGGTTGCAGCTAGCGCGCAAAAAAATGTACCATTGCCATCGAACTTGGATCTTGATCAGCCGATCAATCAAAATCTACACAATCTGTTACGAAATGTAGATTCTATATCCTTCGATGATCTTGAAAACGATGAATTTGAAGTATACTATCATCAAAAACCAGAGCCTACTTCAATCTCATCTAACGAACCTGCTATCAACCGTCTTGGTGGAAGTCCTGATCAACCTGCACAATCTTACCAGCAAGGTAGTGAAGAATCATACCTCGACCCAGATATTGTTGCACGACGGAAAGCAGAGAGACTTGAAAGGAATAGAGATGATCCATTTTATATCGCACCGAATGACGGTAGCCTGTCCGGCACGTCAACGCCTCTTCACAACATTCTCCAAAACAACAATGGGCAAGATCTAGACATCGATGCTATACCAATCATGCAGTTAGATCTGGGCAAGACGAATTTAAATATAACGAATAATAAGAAGCCTTCGAAGAAGCCTCGTCAACGAATACAAGTGGCTGCTGACGAAACACTGAACCTTAGTGGAACGTCTACACCTGCGAACGATTCTGAAAATAGTACTGAGGGAGCCATGAAGGCGCGAATTTCAAGAGGGAAACAATCCCTATTACAGGTGGATTCGAGCCACATCGGCCAATTTTCCCTTGAAGGTGGCGATACCAGTGGTATTGATTTCGAGCGGCAGCAGAAAGAAGAGGCCGAAATGATGAAAGCCATGAAAGAGGTAGAAAGGCTCCGACTGGAGATGCAGCGAGCGAATGAGAGAATCCACGCTGCGCAAGATGTTCCGCCAGAAGGAACAGTGGTGAAGAGGAAAGCGAAGAAGAAGACGAAACCTGTAGAAGGGGAGGCAGCGACAGTGGTTAAGAAAAAGAAAAAGGCCAAGAAAGCTGTGGTCGATGAAGGAGAAGGCGAGCCTTCTGCAGCCCCTACGACTACAGATGTTGTGAAGCCGAAGAAGAAAAACAAGAAGCCAAAGGTGGAGGAAGAGGTCATGGAACAGGCGTAATATGCATAACGGACTAGGAAGCATTCAATGGCGTTGGGAGCGTGTAAGGGATACCACACATAGGTAGTCATGGGTCGAAAACATTTTGAGTTTTGATATAAATGTAGATCTTTAATTCCATAAAAAAATTGATGTGTACAAAGCTTTTGAATTTGAGAAATTTCTCGGTTTGATACTGCGCTCGCCTTCGACAAAACCTCCGCTTGATAGATCACTTGATTTTGGATGGATATATATGTAATGTACTCTATCTGAAATTAAAACCAACACTCCTTCCCTCAATGTTCTGGAGCCTGCGAATGGACGCATCCTGCGAGGCTTTCTTCCCATTTCTTTTATGGCGTTAAATATCATATGCTTTCCTTTTTTTATTTGATTGAACTTTTATACTAAATAATTATATTAGCAGGATAAAAACATTAAAGTGAGCTTTAAAACATTACCTAGGTAAGGAAGGGTTGGCGATGCACGGACCAATCCTCTTATCCTTATCGGATCCTAAAGCAAAAAAAAAATTGTCATAGTCAACATCTCGAATTTCAATTCTTTCCTCCAGCAATATTATCTCAGATTGTGATTCTTTTACACACAGCCATCATGGAGGCCTCAGCAAACTTTATTCCTCTCGGTGGAGTGGGAGAGACTTTCGAGTTCGATCAACCGATGAAGAAACGCGATGCAGGCTACAGAAATAAGTCGCTTTCCTCTGGAAAGCCTAAGGTTATTGGTGCTACAAAGGGTAGGTCTGTTTATCTGTTTATACCGCGGGTGTTGGGATTTGCTTAAGCGGTGGAGGACCTGGGATTTGTCTTGGGGTAGGATGGCCAATGCTAATGAATTGGATATATAGAGGAACGGTCGCGCATTGCGCGTGAAGTACGACTTGCGGCAAAGAAGGAGAAGAAGAAGGCCAAGTCCGATGCAAAGAAGGCTAGAAAACTAAATGGTATTTTGACTAGACGTGCGGTACGTTTCGTACCTTACTCCAGATTTGTAGCAGAGTAGGACTAATGAAATATGCGCTTCTAGACTCGTAACCCGGAAAAATATAATAAGAACAAGGAGAGGAATCGTCTTCACGCAATCGATGTCGAACGTTATAAGATTCGCTTGAATGCCGTTAATCAAGCTCAAAGATTAGCTGCCGTTCATGATCCAAGTGGAGTATCGTTTAATGTGGGAGAGGTTGTTACGTTAGAGGATGGAACTGTGAAGAGCAAGAAGAGCTTAGAGAGGAAGCAAGAACTTGCCGCAGGAAAGAAGCCAATCGAAAACGAAGATGCTACTATTCCAGAAGGTGTCAACCCAGAACGACTTAAGCTTCTCGAAGGGGAGAAGAAATCACACATTTCGAAGACGGCACTCAAGAAAAAGAAGATGTACGAACCAAAACCTGTTCCACCGAAACCGATCATTCCAGAGGGAATCTCTTTGCCGGAGGGAGAGGAGAATTGGTTAGCATTGTGGGATATTTCAGACGGACAAATTGAGCAGAGAATTGCGATAGCCAAGAGAGACGCTGGAAATGCAAAGAGAGATCTTAGAAGACAACAGAGAGAAGAAGCTAGATTCAGAAGAATGATGAAGGCGAAGAGAAGAACAGCACAGAAAATGGGTGTTACTTTCGATCCTGTGCAAGCGAAGAACGAGATTTTGGGCGATAATGATGAAGAGGACGAGGAAGCTTCTGATTCTGAAGCTGAAACTAACCCTGACTCAGATTCAGATTCCGACTCGGATAGTGATAATGGAGACGATTCCGAAGAGACCAAGGCCAAGAAAGCGGAAGAGAAGAAACAGAAGCCTAAGTTCAACCTAGACGAGAATCAAATAAACTCAATTGTCAAAAGGGAAATACAGCGCGTCAAGAAAGATACTCGAAGGCAGGAGAAAGCAATGGGTGTATACGAAAAGGAGCCAAAAGTTATGACCGAAGAGGAAAAAGCTGCGTTGAAAGAGGCCCGTGTAAAGCGCAAAGCCGAGAAGAAATTGGAGAAAAAAGCTAAGAAGGAAGAGGAGGCGAAATTGGGAATTGCAGCTTTGAAGGGAAAGCAAAATCGAAAGGCGAGAAAGGAATTGAGGAGAGCAGAGAGGGCTGCTAAGGAAACTTCAGAAGCACCAGCAGAAGTAGAAGTAGAAGAATCCAAAAAGCGCAAACGCTCCAAGGAAGAAAAAGAATCCTCGAAGCGAAAGAAGTCGAAATCGAACTCTGAAGAAGAAGAACCCGCCAAGAAAGAGGTAGCGGCGCAATGGAATGCAGATGCATTGGATGGGGATGCGGAGAGGAAGAGTAAGTTTTTGAGATTACTGGGTGCAGGAAAGGGAGGAGCTGTTAGTGAAAAGGGGGCGGAGACGAAGGGAAAGGGGAAGGGGAAAAAAGACATTGAAAAGGTGCAGAGTGAGTTGGAGAGACAGTATGATTATGGTATGAAGATGAAGCATGATGGAGGTGCGAAGAGAAGAGGTTTGGGTGCGTAGGGTAGAGTAGGGATAGGTTGAGTGAAGTAGGGTAAAGATGAGAAAACTCATTTGCTTTGCTAGTTTGATGAAGTAAAATACTTAATATCCGTTGCTTTTTGTTACATATCTGGGTCGTTTGCTAGTGATGGCTGGGGGTGTCCAAAACATTTGTTCTTTTTCCCTTGTGTTTCTCCTAGTCTTTGTACTCGGCAAAAATTTAAAAACATATAAACCAATTTCCCTGAATTATCTCAAAATCAATAAAAAAACGCGTTGAACTCTCTATACATCTATTCTGATAATTTAATAATAACAATATTTAGAATCAATGTCTGGGAACTAGGAATAGCTGGCCAGGGGGAAAATAGCTCAAGGCCAAAAGCCATAGATTCTTGAGGATCGCGGAGTCTACATATGTATATTTTACTGCGAACTTGGTAGAGTCCTGTGCACATTACACTGTATGGGTTTTGGCGCTGCATGATGTTGTCTTGTCTATTATGCTTTCTTGGCCTCTGCTGTCTTGCTGTCTTGCTGTCTTGCTGTCTTGCTGTCTTGCTGTCTTGCTGTCTTGCTGTCTTGCTGTCTTGCTGTCTTGCTGTCTTGCTGTCTTGCTGTCTTGCTGTCTTGCTTGTCATGTTCAGCCGTGCAATCCGAATCCTATGCTTTGTTACCTCCAACATATTTCTAACCACCAACTCTCGCACCAGACTCCCGTAAGTGATCGACTGTTCGTCCAGGACAGCACAAAGTCTCCACGTTCATGATTCACGCAGCACAAAACCAAAGAGAATGTAAATACTCATTGTCCTTCAAACAAGATACTTGCAAAGCGAATCTTTCGCAGAATTTAACCTCTAAAGCTGTATCGATACCCTCCCTACTCATCTGCTACAATCTCCCCATCTATCATGACTTCCTCAATGCGCTAACCTAGCGAGGTAGCGCTCACACGCGAGTTCCAACCTGCGGATTCAATGTCAAGCTATGGGTCCATCTGGCAGGGTGGGAGAGGAATTATTGCCATTCTAATTACAGCCCAGAAGAATACTATCCCATACGGTCATCAAATGTCATTACCAAGTAGTTGCTAAGCTTGATTATAGTACGAGCTCGACAGTGTGGTTTGTGCCATGATTTGATCTCAGGGATATTTTGATTCCCTATATTTTATCGACCTCCTTGACTGAATATTTTCGATCTGGATATGTGAGAGGTCGTATTGGGTTATCAAGGTGTATTTCAATATCCTAACACATAATTTAGACCTCTAGGTTTATCGGTACTTGGCTGGTAGGTCGGAGACCTGTTCGACGTCTTGAGGATTCGTTTATATTGAAGAGTGGTAAGGTTAATGGTGAACATGAAGCTTTTTTCATGACACCTTTAATTAAGTATAAATCTGAGAAATTTACAGGAGTTACAAACAAATAGGCTTTTCAGCAGACTCTCCTTATACGTGTTCTCGAATAAGTCTTAACTGGGCTGTAACTTCCTACATGAAGCAGACGGCATCTATACGGCTAAGTACCTACCTAATCCACTAGCGCCGAGAAATCATTCCATTCCCATCTAATAGCGAAGATAAGATAAAATCTCCATCCCGATAATTGTCCAATTGCAATTCAAAAGTTTCGATATTCTCCAAAGTGGAAGAGGAAGATGATGAGATTCGCCAGCTATCTGCGCAGAAGCATGTCAGTGAACGTAGTGAACAAACTATACCATCACCATCACTGTCACCATAACGAGAAATCGAGAACATTCTCAATCTCAAATCTCAATATGAATGTTAGAAACGCCCTGGATATCTGCAGTGTAGGTAGGAATCTTAATATAGAATCTTCCCTTTTTCCTTGCAGAGTTTCTTCCCAACACTCAGGAAAGAACTCCTAGCCACCTTTCCCTCAACTTCATCCAGTGCTTACTGCTTACTGCTTACTCTACTACAGCTCGCGCGACTAACTGCAGGCAGGCAGGTCTATCACCATCCCTGACGTAGAGAGAGACCTTGATGATGAGTCAGGAGAAAAGAAGAGAAGAGAAGAAACTCTGGATGTTGAGATATAAGAGGAGGCTTACGTGCTGAAGGATAGTGTTATAGTGTTCTAATTGATGATAGATGATGTTGAGACGGTAGCTGGAGTTAAAGATTATCTTGGAACGAACTAAGCATAAGAGATACTAAGTAGCTACACCTCGAGAAGCCGATATCAATAGGAGAGAGCCGAGGAGGAAATATTTAGAAAATAGAAACGAATGCAATGAAATATTTTTTAAATAACTAGATTTATACAAGTTTCTTTCCATGGTCCCAAGTCTTCTCCCAGTCTCGAGAGGGATGATCCCGTCTCCAGCATTTTATAAAGACCCAATCTTGTGGTGGTCCCCCTTGATTACATAGATATAACAAATCACATGAAACAAAATGCATAACGAAACAGTAATCACAAATTATCTTTTTCAGAAATCGAATTTCTTCAATTTTCAAATGTATTGAGCGCTAAATAAATCATTTATTGACCCCATAAGGAAAAAAAAACCCTTGATCACTGAGATCCGACAACATTTAAAGGAGCCGAATATTACATGGAAATAAAAATTAGATCCCAAAATAACTCCCATCCACAAATCTCACAATCGCAATTGCTTCCCTGGCAATGCAAGCCCTGTCCCTAGACTATCAACATCTCGCAAGCTAGCTGCTCTCCAATCGACAGATTTTAGTTGTGTACAACTAATGCACTTTCTTCGTTTTACACGACTTGGATCCCTCCGGCATATGGTTGCGAGAGTTGATAAATGTATTGAATGTGAATGTGCGCGATGCGCTTATTTACTGCTGAAATAGGAGACCAGGCGAAAGATCGCATCGACAAAGAATCCACCGATGAGGATGAATGCTAAGAGATCTTTTCGTTGGATTGTTAGCTAAGACCTTGTACATGCTTGTGATTCCTTTCAGAATCTTCTTCTTCATGACTTATAGTGGCCCAGATCGGAGCTTATCCCTGGTAGGTCTGCCTCGCATCACATTCACGCACTGGCGCACTTGGTGAAGGAGACTTCCCCTTTCCACCCAAATAGATGCGTCGCCAACAATTTTACCTCTACTTTCCATCTCTTCCCTCTTCTGCGCCTACCTCTTCCTTAACCTCTTTCCTTTCCAGCCGCAAAAGATAAAAAGAGATCATAACCTACATAGCCAACCCTTACTAACAGGGCTCTTCTGTTTCTTCAGCTCCTTCTTGTGCAATTGAGCTTCTGATTTGCCTTGCTTGTTCTCGTTTATGGCAGCGAACTTGAGGTTCGCTTTGCGTTGGGTGGGTGTTTGAACCTAGGAGGGAAAGCATTAGCTGGCCGAATTGCTGCTTCGGGAATTGAAGAATTGAAGATGGGGAGTTGGGGTCGGGGAAGTTGTAAAGCGATTGGAATGCGAATCGGGGCTTCAAAAGAATACATGAATTGAGAAACCGCGCAGTAGAATGAGGGTCTGATACTGCAGGAATAGCTAGAAATTAAAGGACATACCATTCTGGCGTATGCGAAAAGCGAATTAAATGTTAAGTAAGTGATGAAGGAGAATGGGCTCGAGTCCTAGAATCTTTTTCCGTGGGTTCTTAAATATAAGACGAATTATAAAGAGGTAAGTTGTTTTTGTAGAAGAGAGAAGAGAAGAAAAGATGTGAATATCTGTCAAAAAGTGATTTGGTAGGGTAAAAGAAAGGATAGGTAGGTATCAATCTTATTCAATATAAAATAAATTACTTGGGGAACTTTGGGTATCGCATGGTAAATGTGTCCCGATCGGCTCGGTGGATTGTTCCAGCGGCCGCATTTATGTGGGGTAAGCTTGCTGCAGCTAGGGATTGTGGTTCATGCCGTCGATGTCAGATTGATCACGGCTGCGGTGATAGAAGTGGTAAAAGTTGCAACAACTTTCGACAAGGATGCAACAAGTGTTTTTCTGGTTGTTTACAATGTATGTTGTGTTACGAGAAGTAGTAATTCTTCTGTTTGACCGGAGACATAGGCTCAAAGAAGTTATGACAGTACCATTATGGACATGTTTGGAAACGATATTGTATTTGTCTATCAAAGATTGGATACGACGGAAAACAGAGAAACATCTGAATGATCCAAGTCTATCATAACTATGGATGGTGCTCTCATCATAGCGTAGCTCGGTGGAAGATTTACTTGAAAGGAAGTTGAAGGACGCCAGTGACAGCTTTAGATGGGAGTAGCCTACCATCCTGAGCCCAGCAGATTGCTCATCGTATTGTGATCGGACCGAGCAGATTAGACACTGCTGGCTGCATCGCCATCCCCCTATACGATCATTAATTAGTCTACTTGTATTGAACAAGGAAGTAAAGCAGACTCACAATTATACATATAGTTGCATCGTCGGCGATCTCTATCTAAAACAAAGACCGTCTAGAAACGCCGCGTTTAGCCTTTTCACAGCTTCTCTTGAATTCACAAGCATTGCCGGATGGGGAAAACTCATCCTCTAGACCGGCAACACTAGCTCCATCGAGATGGACCAATAAGAACTCTGTTAACTTGTCAGTTAACATTATAGAATGGTGATGTATCGTAGTCAAAACTTACTCGTGCATGCAACCGCTTGTAGATTCAAGGAATACAGGGAGGGGGACCCCGGAACTTCTCCGCAAATCCAGCCCGAGGTCCCCCATAATCTATCGTAACGTCAGTTGATAGAAGAACTATATTATGCTGTTATTAGTCAAATGTGATGAGATGGCGATGAATTGTAGTTTTAACTTACTGGTGCCAGGCCTTCATCAAATCGTTCGTCTGATCATCCTAAGGAGGATTGTAAGACATCTTGCTGATGGGGTTTTTTTGTTTCTTTTTTTCCAGCTCGAGCGGCCATGATGGGGTGGACGAGACCCCTCAATTTTTAGGAACACCCTGACTGTCCAGTGAGCTCGGTATAAAGAGACTGCAGCAAGCTGGGTAGCAAGCTGGTCACTCTTGAATCTATGCTACTCATGGCTTGGACGAGCAAGAACGAAGCCTTTGATGTCTATAGGCTGACAAAGTTAAGGGATCTTTCAAATATTAGCAACTTCCAGAAGAAGATGTGGCACGTCCTTACGAAGGTAGAGGACCCAGACTCACTTGGTTCTGTAGACGCTCGGTAATTGACTCCCCCTGCTAATTTGAACGAAAGGAGACAATAGAGAACCTTGGTTTGCCTGTTTGAAGAAATCATTGAGTGTTCAAAAGCACTATCTCTGCTGCTTTAAGGTTTTGAACCGAATTTATTTGATGTAGAAGTATTATGATATGGTTGAGTTGGAGAATAAATGAGTTAAGAAGAAGTTATTTGTAAATTGAGGAGGATCAAGTAGATTCTGGAAGACGGGCAAGACTTACGTATCATTGTTCTTATAATTACAATTCTAATCTCGATCCTTGTTTCATATTAACGCTAGAAAACTCACAAGCCCCTTGCAGTTTTTGATTTCAACCTGAAATCTCCAGATAGGTTCCAAAAGCAAGGTTTAGAGTGTGCCGCTATTCCAGCATTCTTAAACACCACACCATTCTGCCAAACCTCCAGCATATTATTGTGAGTCAAAATACCTTCATTTAAGCATAAGACCCCGAACTATCCAGGTTACCAAAAGAAGTTGCTCAAAAAATGACTTTTTCTGGATAAGAACAGTCCAGCTCTAACATAAAGTCCCCCCTTAACATAAACGAAATCACATGACCAACGAAGAGAAAGTCAAATTTATTAAGAAAAAGAGAGTAAACTCATCAAATGAATTCATTCACTGCTACCCTCTTTCCATAATTATTAAGCTTTTGTAAAACATTCTTTAGTATTCAAGTTCGAGTACCTAGTCAAAGACAAGCTTGAGCGGTGAAGAAACTTTCAAAAGCAGCAAGAGGGATGTTGAGAAAGTGAATGATATGAGCAAGTTCTTCAATTTTAAAAGCAGCGAACAATAGGAAGATAGGTACGCTACCGAAATACGTGAATCTATTATCACAGAGGTGGATTGAAGTTGACTCATGATTTCGGGCTCTACTAAGTAGTTAAGGCCTAATTATAAGACCGAAGATTGAGCATCAAGGTAAATATTGTTCATTGCTAAGCCTACAACAGCACCATGAAATCATCCTGATAAAAACTTGTAATTATTACCTATAGGTATAGTAAGCTCACAAAACCAAAAGGCACTCAGTCTGTAATTAGTAAGTAGATTTACTGAGAATCACAAGTGATGATAATCATTAATCATTCCTCATCTCCAACAACCCAGATAAACGTAACGATGCAAGCTTACCTACATAGGATCTTCTACATAGTGTAAAAGTAGTAGGTCGAGATACGTGCGTCCCGATAGCATGCTGTGAGGAGGGAATTGGAAGAGAAAGCTGAATTAGATTAAATTGTAATACATTACTTATAGAGAAAACGGGGTTCATAATGGTTTTGGGGTTGATATTATACAGATTTAAAATATATATATGTAGAAGATTGATCGATTATTCTCAAAAGAAAAGGCAAAAGCTCTTTTATATCTAATTACAAGAGGTTATGTGATTGACTAATTAAAAACCTCTATGTATTTGGCCTATAATTCCAACTTTCTCACAATAGCATCTCAAATACTATATCACCTACCCATATTCTACATCTAACTTCTTTCATTAAGGTAAAGATGATCTATAAAACAAACCTTGTTCCCTCCCTGTCTAGATATGCAAAAAAAATCGTTTATTAGATTTAATACCTAGATACTCTAGTTAGGAGAAGACAGATCCCTGCGTAGACTTACGCTATGCAACAAAGTAATTTTTCTCCCCTTGGAAGGGGAGATCGACAAGGCTAAATATACTATTGCAGAACAGGAAAGACGGGATAGTTTGTCTCTTTGTAAGAGTTCTGGAATCTACTCACCGCACACTAAGCGAAATCACACCAAAATCAATGATTTTTTAACTTTTTAAACCCCTGTTATCTTTATAAAATAATAAAACAAATATATGAAAATTGATATTTATATAGATAATTGATTCAAATATAATAAAAATTTAACGAAAAATTTATTATTATTTTTGTTTCAAAGTTATATATATTTAAGATTGAAAAAACCAAAAAGTTTAAAAAAATCGCTTATTTTATATGAGGAAAAGTTCAAAAAAGTGTTACAGGAATGAAATTTTAATATTTTTTAAATTTAAATAGATATAATTTTAGAACAAAAATAATTAAAAATAAATTATAAATCTTTTCAATATCCTTTTGTAGTTAACTATAATATTTGAAAATTTGATTTGATTTAATTCAACATTGAAAAAGTTATTCGATATTTTATTTTATATAGGAAAATTTGATTTTTGCAGGGATTTTGTCACGAATTTGAATGGTGTGCGGTGAGTAGATTCCAGAATTCTTACAATGATAGGTATTGAAGTAATGGAAATTCATCAATTACAGTACTTGCGCACAGCTGTTGGTCGTTAATTAATCAAAATCACATCAAAAATCATCATTTTATTATATTTTCAATTAAAGAAAAATCTTATATAAAATCATTATAATTGATATTTTCAATTTTTATTTATTCAATTAAATTCCAATATTATGAAATTCTTATAATTCAACTTGAAAAGTGATAAAAAAGAAAAATTTTCAAAAATAAATTATATGATTTTTTTTATAAAATTAAAATGAAAGTAAATAAATCAATAATAATTAAAAATTTATATTTTATTAATTTTAAAAATAAAATAATTTAAATATTTTATATAAGTTTTGATATAATTTTAATAAATAATAAACAACTATATACAGTTACTGTATTAATCTAAAATTACATATATTATGAAAGATTTTCTTGTTCTATTATTGAATAGAAAGAAGTTATTTTGATCCTTTGTTATCTGAGTAAAAATCACAGTTATTTTATTATAATAATTCTAATGTTTAAAAATGAGATATAAATTTAAAGACTCTTCTTTATTTATTATCTAATAGATTTTAAGATATTTATACAATTATATATATATTAATTATATATTACATTATTGAATTCCTTCATTAAAAGAAGATAAAATTCAACTTTTAGGATATCTATTTAGATTATAATGAGTTCAATTTTTTACCCCATCCATACCGCCCGTAAATCCTTGAATCTTTTTTCTCTTCTTTTCTTTTGCTTGATTATAATTAAAATTACAGAAAGAACTTATAAGTTTTTATATCCATTAGCATTTTCACTATACATTCAATCAAACCTATTCATAGTTCCCCATCTCACTTTTCGTTTAAAAGAAAGTATTGAAATTTCGTATTGATGTATACAAGCTATCTATACTGTTTCTATTCATACTAACACCAATTTCTGTTTCCGTTTCCGTTTCCGTTCCCATTCCCACCCTATTCCGCATCATATCACTCCAGCCATAATTATGGATGCTGGATACCCAGATATGCACCCATAAAAAGCCCAGCACCTTCACCTTCATCTTCACCACTCCCAAATCCATAATTTCCATTCTCATCCTCCAATTTACAAAGAGCGGCAGAAATACTCTATCAATACCACATCGAACATAACGTTAATCCCGAATTCCATTTCCCAAATAGACATTCTAGACTTTAGACTCTTGATTCCAACTGGCCTGTTTTTCAGACAACACCTTTGCGTCAATTTCGAGATCTGCAAAGATATAATCATCTTCCTTCAAAGCTTCAACATGGCCATAATCCTAATAGGTTAAAGTCAGCGTTCATGTTACCAGTGAAAGCTACTACGGTCATGATAGTCATGTAGCAGACACCAAAAGCCCTGGAGTTCAAAGACTCAAAGCGTCTAAGTTGTCCTTGAGAAGGTGGATATCGAGAAGCATTCTGCAACATAAGTAATAGTAGAGAACTCTTACCTCTTGTTCCAATTCGTTCATTTCCTCCGGGTTATTATTTTCATCATTCTTTACTTTTGATTCTCCCTGCCCAATCAACAACATTTGAGTGCCTTCATATATCAAGTGCTTCGGTACCAAAGGCGTCCATCGTGAATCCCCGAAATTCTTCTGTAACTCATTTGAGTACAATACTACATGATCAGTATTTAAATATGTCCGACTTGAGAAGCTTGGGTTTTTGACCAAGCACACAAATGATCCTTTTGCCTTAATACCTAGGTTTTTCTGAAGTTGAAGTTCGGAGGTTTGAGGGTGAGTGAGGTGATATGCGAGATGATTTTCACGACCGGTTGAAAGAATGGCATATACTCCATCCGTGATAAAGTTTGCACGTAGTATTTGAGGTGATCTGCTCAGTAGATTAGTCATCTATGTTTTTTTTATCTCAAAGCTCAATGTATCATTTTTTTGTAAGTTATGAGAGCAAGGATTAGAAAGTACAATTAGATCTGGACTTTTACAAGTTACCTCTGGCAAACGACCGAGAGAAGTCAATAGTAAAGAAGGGAGAAGAGAAACATGAAAACATACCCATTGAACCGGTTCTGCAACTCTTTGACAGTCATATTCGCTCCATCCACAAAGCACAAGGACTTGTCTTGTCCACTTTTTGGCCAAATCTTTTTCGGTAATGACAATAAACATGCAGTATTACTATCTTCCCTCACCGGAATTTCGGGAATTGTTTCTTTAATGCTAAGAATTGGGCGCAACATGAAATATGTCTGTGCAATATCTTCAACACTCTGAGAGTCTCCTTTAAGACCCACTCTGGGACGATAAAAAAAGCTGATTATTCCTTTCTCAAGAATGGATGCAGGGATTAATCGCTCCGATGAGTCATTGGTAATAGTTGGTTGTATAGATTCTCCAGGGACATGTGATGGCTTGATATCGCCAGTAACACTAAATTCGTTGGTCGTGCTGGCATCAGGAACATGAACCCGGTCGTTAGAGACAGATGGGTTGTCTCCTTTGGTTGAACCTTCAATATCTTCTTCTGCCCTTTCCCTGCTATTGGCATCTTCTGTTATGTCGCCTTTATGGTGATTTTCATTCTCCCTGTTGCTTAGACGATAGAAAACAGATGCATCGTTGACTAGGGTAGGAGAAAGCCTTGGTGTTATTCCTCCTCTTTTTTGGCTCAGACTTGAACCGAAATTTTGTCCTGGGGGAATCACGCCGACGGCAGGACCAGAGGGCACTAACTGAGGCTGTATCTGATTAGACCTTCCCTCTGCCATTCCATTTGACCTCTCCTCCGACTTGTCATCTAACTTATCATCTGAAGTTTCCGATGCATCTGGTGCTTCGTTCAAGAGAGTGTTAACATGCTTCAGATCAATCGAATTCTTTTCATTTTGGGCCTTTGCATGCTCAACCATGGCCTCGTACTCACCAGTCGGATCTATCTTCTGTGGTGAATCGTTTTCGTCTTTTTCTTCATCTTGGACCCTTCTCTTCTTTCGAGTCTCGGTTGGCTGTGTTGAGGATTCTCTTTTCTTGGCCGCGTAATCGATTACATCTGTCTTTGATAAGTCACCTCTTCCTGCACCAGGCGAGTTTGGTGCACCTTCAGTAATTTTAGCCATCTTTCTTTCTTTCTTTCTTTCTTTCTTCCCTTCTCAAAGACCGGTATTCCTTCTCGAATTTCTTGTAACTCTCGTTGTTTTTGTTCTTCTTAGTTTTGGTATATGAGATGCTTTGATAGTAACACTAATGTTATTCTTTGCTCTTACAATATCAGGATTGTTGGATTTTGCGAAAATGTTGTTGTTGTCCTTATTCTTATTTTGATGATGTTGTTTTTGTTTACCTGAATCTAGAGAAAAAGATTCTTTCTTTGTGTTCATCTTCCTCTTTTTCGTTCTTTCCCAAACGCGTCAGACGCGATTCACTGCAGCTGCGACTGTCCAATTCAGGATCTCGATCATGAATGACGTTATTGATTGCCACAACCATTTCTGCCCTGTCGAAAGATTTTACATTTGCATTTGAGCCAATATAAACAAAGACAAATTTTTATTAGATAACTTGTAGGTAATAGAATGGTAGGATAGAGCTAATAGGAAGATATTGATATGATGTTCTTGGGAATACTATCTACATAGATAATTACGATTAAATGGAATTTCTTGTAATAACTTGAGATTAAGGTTACATTCTGCGAATCCGTTAAAGAAGGGGCGGAAAACACCGGCAAAGTAGAATGAACGCGTGAACGCGTGAACTCGTGACTTCCTCCCTCCATTGAAATAATTTGGACTTCATATTCCTCAAACGATATGTATTTTTGCAGGACGACTAGGACATTCAAAATACTAATTGGTGATCTTTCCCGCTCTTGATCCATAGCATTGGTGATTTTCTTGAACTGTCGCCACTAGGCTGACTGGAAAGATAAAATCGAAAGTTATTTTAGTTGATCTCTGAAAAGATCCAATCCTATATTTTTATAACTCGGAATGCCATTCAATATATTCAAAATGTACCCATACATTGCTCTTCTCGAAGAGAAAAATTCCAACGCTCCACGATTGCCTAAAGTTTAGATAATAGTCTCAAATCTAACATGTCGATTAAGTAGCCGAACCATTTTCTCCTTGTTGGGCATCGAAACTCGAATCTTATGAGCTCTGGAGGCCTATGACTTTGACAATTTCCTCTCCAATCCACTTCCCTCTTACATCGTTCCTTTAAAATCAAACCTTACCCTTCAAATAACTCTGAACATGTTACTTTTCACACCTCTTCCAAACCCATCAGTAACCGGCTTTCCGCCGTCATACGAAATACCTGCTGCACCCTCCCTGCCCTCCATCTTTGCCATTAACTCCTCATCCATTTCAGCAACCGTTTTCCTCTTCTTCCTCTCTTCTTTTCTCTCCCCATCGTTTGCGTCAATTTTCTCTCTTGCATCCGCTTCGTTTGCCCTCTCAATCGTATGTCTTTCCGCCTCCTCCATTGCTACTTTCTTTCTTGTTGCAGGTTCCACTTCGGATTTAGGTATTCCATCATTGTGAAAGTTTCTCGATATGATTGGTATCAAGGCTGGAGCACCAGGGCCTGGTAATCTCACTGGTAATCGTATGCGTGAGATAGAAATTGCACTAGCAGCGATTCTTCTATTGAACATAATGATAAGCGTCGAAGTGCCACTACAATATCTTCTGTATTGAGTTGAATCAAAACATTTTTTGGCCATGAAATTGACGCAGCTATCCTCCAACTGCAAATCTCCCCTGCGGTCGATCATCAAAAATTACATCATTGCATTGCTCAGACCTGCACGTGATCAGCTGGCTTACCTCTCGACCAATAAAGCTCATAAACTAACTCTGCGTCGAACTGTTTATTTCTAATCGAACCTAAGTTTGGTTCCAAGGTAAGAGTTCTGGAAACTTCTAACTGCACACTTTATCGAGAAATAATTGTAATCTTATTTTCAACCCTCAATTATAAATAATTCATCAAAATTCGAATTTTCAATATTTTCTATTCAAATTCAAAATGGTTATCAAAATTCAAGATAAGAATAATAATTATGAATTTCATCAAAATTGGAGTACCCTTTATAAAATTAGAATCTTTCAGATTAAGGAGGATAGAAAATCGTAATCTTGGATTAAACAAAATTTAGATATACTTCGAAGTATTATAAAAGGTATCATTAAATCGAATTCATTTAGAATTATTTATAAAGGGAAGGTATATCGATTTTCTATAATGATAATTAAAGAGATTCGATGAATTATAAAGGAATTGATAAAAGATTGGAAAAGAAAAAGGATGATTTTTGAATAGATGAAATATATATTAGGAGTTAAAATTTCGATATATATTATTTGATATGAATTATATCGGTATGATTATAAATATTGTATAGTTTATTTTAAATCATTTATTTTTAAGAAATAAACAAAAAAGAGGTTGGATTTTATATATATATATTATTGATAAAAGATAATCGATATAATCTCCGAAAAATTTAAAAAGGATAATTGAAGAAAGATTATATAATCGAACAAAAGTATTTTCGAGATTGGAAAATATAATAGGATATAAGTAATTTATAAAATTGAAGAAAAGAAGTATAAGAATTATATCAAATTAATATACAAATCAGAAAGAATCTTTGTAATAATATAAAAGGCTTTTGATTAGAATTATAAATCTTTATTAATCTTTTTGAAGAAGAATTCTGATAATAAAGAGATAAATTCAATAATATATCAGGATTAGATTTTTATTCTTATTGTATTCTTTTTATTTGATAAATTAGAATCTGAATATATATTCATAAAGGATAATACAAAGATTCATTTGAAATATATTAGATTAATTCGATTAGAATATAGTATTAGAGACTTTCAATAATCCTTTTCTTTTTCAAATCTCAATTCAATTGAGAAGGTATAATATTGAATAAAGAAGAAGCTAAAAAAACTATTATTTGTATCTATTTCTATTGAGAAATTGAAAAGGGAATTCAAAAAATTGTAGAAGATGTTTGATTTCTTAAATTTCAGATTATATATTGAAAGATTGATCTATAAATTAAAAAATATAATTGAAATAAAAGGATTAACTATTATTTATTAATATATTATCAGATTTTCAATAAAAAATATTGTGATATTGATTTAATATTAAATTTTCAAAAGTGTAGGTGAAATTTAAAGGGGGTGCGGTGAGTAATGACCAGAACTCTTACGACCTTGGATTTCAGTCTTATGAATATGCTAAAAATGCAGGACATCGACAACCTTAAATTTGACTATTATGTCATAGCAAGTCTCATCTAGATACAGTGAGTGTTCGCATCCCAAATGTTCACCTACTGTGCTTACTTGAGTCAAGCTTGTCATCCGAACCTTATACATCTTCAGGAACCACGTCACTCCCTTACTCCTCCATTGAAGGTTTCGCATAGCTCACACCCAAGACTCATACAATACCATGGAGTATGAAGTATACGTCACATCCTCACGAATCTCTGTACATAGCAGCTCCTCAATGAACTCACATGTTGAGATTAGGTGAGGGACTCGAGGACCAGAGTGAACATAAGCCACAGGATGAATCGCTATAGCACCCTACTTACAGCTACTGGATCTCTATAGTTGTAGTTCTATTACACATTGCACATTGCACATTGCACATCGCATAAGACTCACAATCAATCTTACCTTACCGAATCCAAATACTCCCCTCCTCTTAGGGGCCGCAGAAGCAGAACACAAGACAAAAGTTATCTTACATTATCTTACATTATCAATCTATCAATCATACTAATTCTTTTTATTGCAATGCAATTATTCCCATTGACCTCCCTCCCCAATAAACCCCCCTAAAAACCCCCCGTAATAACATAACATACAAGCTCTCCTTATGTTTTAGAGCGCAAAACTTAGAGTTGGTACCGGTACAGTATTTAGCATTTAGTTGTATTGGTACTAGTAGAATAATGAAGGAATCATTAAATGGATGATTGAATGATTGAAAAATGTATGAGGATTTAAGATCTTACATCTTATATCTTCGTTCCCTGATATTGATACTAATACCAGCATATTTCCTCGCTGGCTGGTTCATTTAATTTGCATGGAGATAGATTGGAAGACTCTATCTATTTAAAGTAAAAGTAAAACCTCACTAATAAATGAGATACATTTAGTATTCTAAATAGTAGTGATTAGATAATGAATCTACATTCTCTATTTAAAACCCACTGATCAGGAGACTCTTCTGGAGTATAGAATATTAGACCTTGAATATTTATATTCAGCCGAGTCCATTTGTACAAAGCAATCTTGTATCATTTTCAAAACTCCTCGCCAATGGTATTTCCCAATTGCCCAATCTTCCAAACAAGTCAAGTCCAACCAAGTCTAACTACCAAAAACACCCCCATCAAAAATACCTTTTCACCCCTTCACCCCTTCACCCCACTCACAACTCCTCCTCCCTCCCTCCCTCCTCACCATCCCTCCACTACCAACTCCACTCCCTCAATACTCTCCATTAAACTTTCTTCCCGACTCCCTCTTTAGGCCAACCATAACCCTCCACAAACCCTCTTCCCTCACATACCTCTCCATTTCAATGCTTCTCCACCCATTGTCGAACCATCTCTTTATCTACTTTAACTTTATATCCCTTATTGCCTTTTCCAGTTTTGCCTGCACCTACTTTTTCCAGCACACCCATGCTCCTCAATACACTCAGTACATCTTCTACTGCTATCCATGTACCCTTACTAATAGCCTCCACGGTTGTTACACCACAGTTATTTTCCATAGGAGGTGTTGCCGGTAATTTAGGAGCCGGTGCTGATTTTGCTGGTTTTGGTGTTGATTTAGCTGATACAGTCGGCGTATCTTTCGACTGATTAAGCGTTTGAGGCTGCATCCCTACACCCTTCATACCCTTTCTCCAACCCTTCCCCATACCCTTTCCTGAAGGTTTCTTAGCCACTGGCTTTTGAACCACTTTCACAGCTTCAATTTCTTCTTCCTCATCTTCCTCTACACCCTCCATAATATCGTCACCTTCCTCCAATTCCAACAAATATCTCGCCACTTCTGCACCCCAGAACCTTCCATACCCCTTTTTTCCCAACTCGCTTATTGGTTTCTCTGGTCCTCCAAGTAAACCCTCCCTCCTACTAATTTCATAACTCACACCTATGAGTATACTTCCCAGACCTTTCTTTTGCCAAGGAGGGAATACCAGGATACAAGCGAGATTATTATTATCCCAGGACATTTTCTCTTTTGAAAAGAAACCTATGATTTGTCTTTCGGCAGTATCGAGATCTGTGTGAACGAGGAGGAAATAATTGAATGACTGGACATCATAGAGAACGGATTTGTTATCGAGGAAGAGTTTGGCGAAAAGGGAGAGAGATTGAGAAAAGGTCTATTTTGTAACGATATGTTAGGATGTATTTCATTGTGAGAATAATACAGGGGAAGAAAAAGGACAAAACTTACACCTTCAACCTCTCCATCTACTTCCCATACACTCCACTCCCCACCCTCCTCGTGTTCATAAACACAATTCCCAGGAACAGTTCCCTTTCTTTCACAACATTTCCTATGTCTCGCCATTTCTCCACCACTAACAGTATATCCAAAACACCAATTACAGACATACAATTTATCAACCTGTAATCCCTTTGCTCCCCTAGCATCTCTGTCACTTCCACCTTTAGTACCCTTCCCACTCTTACCACTCTTTCCACTTTTTCCACTTTTTCCACTTTTTCCACTCTTACTACTCTTTCCACTCCCCTGACTAACAGTCTGAGAATGACTTTCCAGATTCCCATTACCAATAATATCCCTAGGATAATGACTCGAATACCAACTCTTAAAACAAAGATTCCCAAAAACCACATCATCAATATTCCTCTCTTTTTCTCCATCCTCGTCATCCCTCATATCTTTACTTTCTCCTCTTCCACTTTTCTCCTCAGAAGGTGAACTCCTTCCCGTATCAACTTCAATAGCATCGCCATCCTGATCACCCTCCGATTCCTCAGCCGGAGGGGATGGTAATGAATTTTCCATGCTAACAGTAACATCTCTTTCTCTCGTCCTTTCCCTAGGTGTTTCTCTTTCTCCAATTGATTCCCTTCCACCTAAACCTGAAACGATAGTCGGTCCATTAACACGACTAGCCCCGCTTGTTCTTCTGCGTTTAGGTGTATTTGTAGATTCTCGTTCTTGCCTATAGGTAAGTTCGCTCATTGTTGTCCCATTCACAGTATTTCCATTTAAGCCATTTCCACCACTTCCTCCCTCCTCATCCTCTTCCCCATCAACCTCACACGCCCGTCTCCTATTCTGCGGATGCGGACTCCTCGTAATACCAAATTCCGCCAATCCTGTCTGTCTTTTTTCCCCAATACTTGTTCTCCCAGCACTAGTTCTCCTAGATCCATCATCATCAACCTCAAACCCATTTGCACCAACCGTCATTGTAGTTGTAGTCGTCGTAGTAGTTTGCACTGTGATTGTATTTGGAGAACTATTTTCGTTTAAATTCGCATTTGCGTCGCGCGAACTTGCTCTCCGTTCTCGTTTGCGTAAGGTTCGTGGTGGCATTGTGGTTCCTCTCGTAGCTGTAATTAAATTTTGGCTTTGGTGGTGTGGGGAGAGTAGGTAGGTAGGTAGCTAAAGTAGGATCTAAGTGCAAGCTTTTCAAATGTATCCTGCAGTCTGTAAACCGTAATTTATTTGCGATCTGATCGTATGTGGTTATGAAAAGTGCGACTGGAAATAAATATCTCTGTTGCTGTAGTGTAAATGTGATTGGATTGGATCAATGTTTCTCTTGCGACCTCCTGCTAGCTTCCGCTATCTCCAGCAGATTCCCGTCGCGAATAGAATATCAATAAATTGTTACCTTAAATTCCTATTCGGCAATCAATGCGCTCTACCTCAATACTGTTTCCTCTTGATAATATAGGTAGGTAAATACCCGTACGTGGAGTCGAGGAATCAAGTCGAGGTAACGGATTTCAACTGCAGCGACAATTGCAGTACAACTTTCAAGTGCAACAATTCGTTGCCACAGCAAAATCAGATCATCCAATATTCTTTCCCACTATATCATTGTTTCCACCATATAAACAACTTCACCCCTTTATTTCTTTGAAAATACCTAATAAACATACAAGAAGTAAATTATTCACCATAATATTTTCTTAAGTTTATTGATCGCGCTGAAGATGAAACTAAAGATGAAGCAGTTTACATCACCGTACCGCGACAAGGCTTCGGTCGAGGCTACTGTATCCACAAGGCTCTCCACTCAATAATGCAAGGCTACCAAACCGCATTCATCCACAACCACATACCTCACCTCATCTATCGAAGCTCTGCAAATCATCATGCGATAGTTATTAAACGTATCAGCACATATTATACATCACACCTCACATGCATATTGAATCAGCTAAATTGTCATTGTGTACAAAAATAACACTCTAGTCATTACCACCCAGCCAGCTTCTGCATATAGATCGGTGCAATTGCATCACATCGTATGCAAAGAGAGTTCAGGTTGCGGATAAGAAAGGTAAAACTAATGTAGCAGCGGGATCTCCATCATTCATGTCCTAATCTCGAACCATATGTAGTTCGTAATTTTCGCAATCCATGAACAGAAATCCCAGTTGGGAAAAGAGGTAATGTAGCAAAACAAGTTGTGGTTATGAAGTGCCACCAAACCAAATCTTCCCCTCGCTTCACCATCCCATGCCAAAGTTGCATTTGCACCCAGATTTGTATACATCTTCGTAATCCTTCCCTTCCAATTCCTAGTTCTCATCTTACATGCCTTCGAAGTCTCCCCCAAGATCATCTTCATCCAAGTCGCCATCTTGAATTTCCTTGGCCATTTCGCGTTCGCGTTCTCTTGCTTCTTGAGCATTCTTGAGTTCCAACCGATGCTGATTCATTGGGAATCTCATAGCCTGTTATCATAGGAATTAGCACGAATTCATAAAACCGTAGAGGAAATAAAACATACCTTAACACTCTCATCATGAAGAGCGAGACAAGCACGAATTCGATCATGGAAAGCTTCACCGGGCTCTCTGGTAGCATAAACATCCCCAACCTCTTTACTCTTCATGAAACCTTTCTCACGATCCAAAGTTGCCTCAATGACACCATCACGAATTGCCTTTGCTACAATATACTCTGCAGATTCCTCACTGTTAAGCTTTAGGCGTATGCAGATGTCTCGAAGGGAAATTCTTGAATAAGACAAGGACATCATCCGAATACCGGTCTTGATGACGTTTTGTCGTAGACGAAGAATTAAAGTATATGTACCATCACGTCTGAAAGTTTCAGCATGTTGAGTGATTACAGCCTCGAACTCTGCGATTAATCCTACTCGTACTGCTTGTACGAGGTTAAGATAAGGTTGTAAGGCGCGTTCAAGACTGGCAATTCGGAATGTTGCACGTTCAGGAATATCTCCCATCAACAACTCAACCACAAGAAGAAGCTTTGTCGCAGTTTGTGAGAATCCTGCAGCACTTGGACTCGAAGGCGCTTTACGAGTAGCAGCCGTCAAATGTTCATGAGCCTCAGTGTATCTCAATTGAATAGCCCTGATACGTCCCAAATAATACAAATATCTTGCAACTTGGTTATTTGAAGCACTTTCGGGGAATTTGGTATGCGAGATGAGGAGATCAGCTTGAGTGATGTGGGAGGTAGAGAGGTAATTTCGCAGAAGAAGCACGATAACAGTTGATTGAGTATCGATGTCTTTGCGCAAAACAGCAGTCCGTAAACCAGAAAGAAGAGCTGGTCGAAGAGTAACAACGGGTGAAGCTGGAGAAGGTGGAAGTGGTGCTAATTGCTCAGCAAACAATGACCAGTAAAAGTACACGCGAGCAGAGAGAGAATCTAGAGTTCTGCGATTGAGCCCATGAGTGACAGTTGTGAGATGTTTGGAAAGTGTAAATCCCTTCTCGTTCATCTTATTATCAAAAAAGAAGCTTTGTACGAGAATGCCCAAGAAGATGTCGATCTCTGGAATGATTTCTTTTGGTTCCTTCTTCCCATTTTTAATGGATTTTGGATCAGAATCGATTTCCATTTCACTTGATGAAGCCTTATTAAATGTAGCATTCTCTCTGTCAATAGAGATGAGTAGAGCTCTAGCTTGTTGAGTTGTTGTTGGGTAAGTCTCCGTAATAACTTGCGCCAAAATATCAGCTGTAAGATGTTTTCGAATAGAAGAAATGGACCTCAGTGCTCGGAGGGTGTATCTAGCATCGAACAACGCAACGGCTTTCTCTAATAACGGGAAATTGCTCTTGATATCTGCGAAGAAGCGTAATGTGTTAGTGTTTGTTGGTTGATGCTCCGGTAGATTTTTGGTGGATAATGCATGACATACCTGCAACAGCCTTGGCCACCGGATCAACATTAACAGCACCTGCATTCTCTTCCCCCTCCACGGAGCCATCCATAGCTACATCTCCGTCCACATCTTTCTGGGGAGGAGCTGATAACTTTGAACTCTTTGATGGTGGTACGACGACTGTCATCTCCTCTTCAATGCCTTCCTTGGTCTTTTTTCCTTTTCCACCTTTCAAGGAGCTTTTCGCATCATCCTTCTTTGCACCGTTGATTCCGTTTTCGACCGGATCTGCGCCGTCTTTAAATGGGGTTTTTCCTGGCATAGCGGCAGGTTGGACAGTGTATATCAAGGTGGATGTCGCCCTTTCGTGACGTAGACTGGTGGTAGAAATAAAGTACGTTTCTCAAGTCGCTTTTGATGGTTAGAAGAGTCGTAAAATCGCTCTTATATCCACAAAATACCTCTCTAGAAGCTCAAGGTACCGTACGAAATTGGAAAGGGTTATTGATTAAAAAGTGTGTTAGATGGTTGAGTTGTCAAAAGAGTTGTAGTAGCTGTCTTTCAGATCTTGGATTACCTTTACAACATCAAAGCTCAAGATGATTGATTACGTTGGATTTAGCAACCGGTAACGCAATTTTAACGCGAGTCATCGGTGCCTGGCGATTGCAAACTGGCGAAAGTGTAAACCTAGCTAACAAATCGGGGTTTTAAAGGAATATATCAAACATTATATCAAAAACATTCCATTCTCTAACTACTTATCCATATAGGAAATCCGCCATCAACAATCTAATTCCCAATTTCCAATTAAAAAAAATCCAATATTACACCAATTATCAAAATAAAGCATTAGATTATCTAAAGTGCCTATCTATAGAGAGAGCATCAAGATGAAGCTGGTAAAATATAAATCTACAAGTCAACCCAACACCCACTCACCCACTTACCCATCCATCCATCCGATGCATCCCTAGCTGTAGGATATCTGAATCACGTGTATAAGAACATGACTCGGGTCCATGGTCCATGACTTATATACATAATCATATAAGAACTACCTAGGCAGGTACTTAGAGATTGATTTCTGCGTTGGGGTTGTATATATATACATTTATACATATATATAGTCGCTGGAGAAATAATACAGATTGTCAGATTCTAAAAGAGAAAGAGAAGAGAGACAGATTTATAATCAGATATCTCCTCATGATCAGCACCACCATTATCATTCCTATACATCATATCGACGGGCCCATAAAGATTAATAAGGTGTTATATTTAAGTACTATCTAAAAGTACCTGTATAAGACCATACTGAGCGATAATGCACAAAATGCATTGAAAACATCATAATAGCATGCCTCCAACGCCAAATATAAATCCATGCCATATGCACATCAATTAAAGATGGAGTACCTTGACGCCACTTATCATCCATCCCATTTCCTGATAGTATTCACCCAAGAACTTATTCCGGTCCAAATCCATCACATCATAAACTCCTTTCATCTATTTGGACACTAATTACGAAGTGATGTAGACATATCGATTCTTTCCCTCAGTCACTACCCTTTCCACCCGTGACCTTCGCAGCTTGAACGGCGCTCATCTTGTTGATCCATCCCGAGCTTGGTGCGATCTTTCGAACTGTTCGGATCTCGTCACTGGCGTAACCTGGGATGCGAATGTTGTAACCGCGCTCAAGAGTAAGTTGAATATCACGGATCTCCAGGATCTTAGAACCACGTTCTTTGGCGTTCTTGCAGGCGGCTTGGAGGACCTGATCAACGAAGTTATCGGCGACGGTAAGAATAGACTATTAGATTGTGTTAGTTTGGTATTTTCCAGGCCTTTTCAATTGTGAAATTTTCATTTTTACGGTAAGGGTGATCAAGCTTGTAAATTCAAATAATGGAAAAATGGAAAGTAAGCATACCTCTTCAACTTCAGCAGTTAATCCACCACCTGCAACATTCTCTCCGCCACCAGTAACCTGTCTGACAAGCTCATCCAATTTCTTCTTACTCAAAACACGATCGCCTTCACCATCTAAAACGTAGCCTGGGGTCTTTGCAAGAACCGGTTGACCCATAACTCCGTTACCGGCACCTGATGGACCACCAGTAAATGAAGGGCGTGATTGACCCATTTGTACTGGTTGCGGTGGTGCCACTGCTCTTTCTGGTAAATGTTTGGGAATTGGGAGCTTTTGTGAACTTGGATTTTGTTGTTCCCTAGGCATAGCATTAGGATGAGTATGCGAGTGACCCATAACCGTATTAGGTGTACCGTTCGTTTGACCGCCCGCACTGGAATAACTTTGAGCCGCGGTTTGCAATGCTGCTTGATGAGTTAAAGCCCTTGGAGGGCCAGGATTTGGCGCACTGATTGACGTTGCCGATTGAGGAATAGCTGATTGAGGTGAATTTGTTTGACCTGGACGTTGTTGGTTATTCTGCATTTGAGTAATTGCAGTATTGATTGGACCTGGCATTGCTGGTTCGGGCTTGACACTCTGCGCCTGCCCAGATTGAGGTTGGGCCATAGCTGCATGGGAAGCTGCGGTCGGTGTAGGTATTTGCGGGCCTTGGGATTGGTGTCCTTGTGGCATAGGTGGCCGATTACCGCCACTCATTTGTTGATTACGAGCCTGCTCAATAGCAGCATTGACAGTTTGAGTATTTTGTAGAGCTGGATTGGACGGCTGCTGCAAATTCATGGGTGGTCGAGGTGCTCCTTGTGTCTGATTCATTTGGACACTGCCTTGAACTCCTTGGTTGCTATGACTTGCAACACCAGCGGTATTTCCATTAACATTGTCAGATGGACCAGCTCCAGAAGCTTGCGATTGTTGAGGATGCTGTGGTTGACCTTGCTGATGAGGGTTTTGTGGTTGGAGGCGTTTCTGGCTCTCTCGAACGTCTTCCACAAACTTCTTGGCCAAACCATGTTGTTTCCTGAACTCTGCCGCTCTTGTCTGATAATCTGTTTCATCTTGTTCCGTTGCAGTTCTTTCTTCCCTCTTCTTCTTAATATATTCTTCCAAACCCTTCAGCTGCGAAGTTGCCTTTTCCATGGCCATCAGCCCTTTGGCATATTTGCTCTTGACTTCTGCCATCCACTTAGTCCATTCTGGGGATTGGGGGGTGTATTGAGGCGGAGCAGTCCAGGGGAATGTTTTGATATGTTGTAACAGCTTTTCAGGTAGCTGACCAGCAACTTGAGGTCTTGGCTGTTGCTGGGAAGAACTTCCAGCATTGGACCCACTAGCTTGACCTTCCTGTGAATGTGGAGCTTGTTCGCTCTGCTGTGGAGCTTGGTTCTGTTGAGCCGCAATATTTGAAGGAGCTGTTGCAGGCTGCATAGCTTGTTGCGTCTGTGAGGTTTGTTGATTTGGTTGGTTTTGTTGGTTTTGTTGAGCTTGAGCCTGCTGCTGATGTGCTTGTTGAGCTTGCTGAGCCTGTTGAGCCTGCTGCGCTTGCTGTACTTGTTGTCGCTGCTGCTGTGCGCGATAATTCTGCATCTTCATCGTGACCGACTTGGAGAACTCCATCAATTTGCGTTTGGCTTCTTGATGTGCTGGTGAATCCGCAGGATTATTCTCAATCTGAGTCCAGAGTCCCCTCAACCCGTTTTCCCATTTCAATTTTTCTTCATCCGTAAAAGCTCCAGGGGGAAGCTGGCGCATCATTTCAGGTTTGAGCATTGTAGGTGGTCGAGGCGGCATGCCTTGTTGCGAACCGCCAGGTTGGCCCTGGCCTTGAGGGCCGTTATTCATTGTGTTTGCTTTAATTAGAAAGCTTGAATAGTTATAGTGAGAATGGTTGTTTGCATCGGCGACAATACTTATAAATGCTATTGTCTAATGTGGATGCGTAAATGTTGTCAAATGTTCGATAAGTTTGAGTTGTGAGGTCAAGGTCCAACTCTAGACCTAGACTAATGGATACTGCCGGGCGGTCAATAGAAGTCTTAAGCGAAATGCAGGGAAATTTGAGCCTTGTAAAGACCTGCATATTTTCCCATGGGGAAGATTAGACTGATATTCTTTCTACATAGTATTTACGGAGTACACTCCTTCGCTGACGTTATCCATTATTACATATCTGATTTGAGAAAGGTTGTTCTCAAATCCATTCCGAACTTTTACCTCAAAACAACCACCCGTTTTATCTTGGCTTTCCCCCAAAGTTATTATAAATTAAACTTGACTTTGATGTTTATTTCCATTTTACTGTAACTCTCTACAGCAGTTGGGACACTGATCATTATGGCTTAGCTATCATGAGATGATTTTTTGGGTTATCAGGCCATCAAATTTCATAAATTCTACACTGGCCAACCTCGAGAGCTATTCACTTATACCCACCTCATCCTCCTGGGCATCCCACTGTGAACATTCTCACATCAACCTCATATGATACTATAGCTCTAAGCCTCTTTAAAATATGTTAAACCACACATATATTCAAGAAGCATAAGGCATTTCCCATAACATTGTAGAGGAACCGAGTTCCCAGATACCCATCAACTCGTCAATATACACGTCCTGATTTTTTCCTGTCCCACCATTTATATGGTAAATACCATCCCAAATCATATTCATAAATACTAATTCTCATCTCCTAATTATCGAAATGCTTAACTATGACTAAGAGAATAAGAACTCACTACTGCGAACCCATGCCACAGGTTTCACAAAATCTCCATGGCTCCACACAAGCACGCATAATAGCCTCAAACACCGGCGATAGTAGATGGTATATCTATTTTGCATTTTCCTATCCCTCTTTCCTACAATTGTTTCATCCAGCCCCACCAGTCTAGAAATAATAAAATAATCCGGAACTATGAGTTTCCAGTCCAAGTCCCCAGCTAACTATCAGCTGGTACTGCTATCCTTACATCCGCTTATGCATGCAACGCTATGATTGATATAATTGAATAACTGACCAAACACAAGAAAAATCCTCCGGTGATAATCCTCTCGCTCAAAAGTGTAAACGTAATATGCCACTGTCAAATGTATCGTGCCTTCATGCAATGAAATGCCGTCTCATTCATAATTCATTAATTCGTCAACCTCTTTTTGTCATCGACATCCAACTATTATCCCCTTTCGCAATAGTTTAACTTTTGGAGCTTTATTGCTCTCAAAACGGAGAGTCAATATCCATAGTTTCCTCCAAAACATAATATGGCAACTCTCTCAGATCATCCACCTCGGTATCGTCTTCAATGACCTCGTCACAACTATCTGGTTCCTCCAATTCTGGAATGCGCGGTGGTGGATCATCAAATATTAGACTTGCTCTTTTGTCACCCCCATGATTGAATGTCTTCCTTCGTAGTCTCCTAGCGCTAGATCCCGCCTCATTTGCACTTAAATGATCCGGTTTTAAATCCTCGTCGTCAGTGTCACTCCCGATACTTTGCGCCAATGAGCGCTTTTGTACGGTAGCTGAGCTGCGACGTCGGCGACGCCTTTCTTCCCGATTGCGTTGTACCCAAGCTTCATGCTCGTCTAATGGCGACCCATCTTGATCTTCATTGTTGAGAGCCTCTGTGCAATCGTGCGCAGTGAGATCGCGGAGATCATTTAGGAAATGTGGATCAAGTTCTGCTAGTGTGGGCATTGGCGCAATATGTCCTCGATCGGACTCTGCGTCTTCGTATTGGTGGGGTCGTATTATGAGTTCCTCGTTGCAATCATAGTCTTCGAGATCGCTGTCCGTTATTTCCTCCAGTGTGAAATTACCCTTGTCTATTACCCGTGAATATCTGCGAATTGGCGATGAGAGTGGTGATTGTGCGAGTTGGGAACTTTCTGATCGAGGTGGGCTTGCGCTGCCCGAGGACTCGGATGAGGGGGAAGTGGATCGCGGGGATAGGTCTTCGGCTCGATTATAGCTGAAATGAGGTCCTCGGCCATTGGGTATGATTCCATTTGACTTAGGTGAGGGACGAAAAAAGTTCATTGGTGGTTGTTCAGGCGGATATGTGAAAGAAGAATGAGTCGGCGTCTCAGGTGGTGATGAAGGGCCGACGGGTTGTGCGAAATTGAAATTAGGAGTTGTAGGCCGCATTTTTGACAAATGCGATCTTGTGGTTGTTTGAGTAAATAAATATAGGTAATTCTTTCCCTTTCCTTTCAGCGCGGGGCGGATGTGTGTATTGCGATTGAGGTCAAGGTGTAAGAGCTTGTGGTGAATATCTCCTGGTAGGAGAAGGAAGATCGGGAGGATCACAGTTCATGATAATCTCGAGATGTGCTTGGGGCGCCAAGAAGCCTCGCAATTAAAGATTCGAGGCTATCCGTTAAGTGTCAAAAAGGGTCAAGTCCGGTCTCAGAGCTGGAAACGAGGGATCTGAGGGACGAGGTCCTGGTTGAAAGTACAAGGGTCAGCGTAACTTGTAGATCTAAGTAAATAAGGCGACCAATGATGAACATCGAATTCAATTTTAAAAATAAATTGAATGCGGGTCAATTGAACTGAGACCGTCAGATGGATGAGAAAGGGGAACCCAAACTTGTTTCGAAATGTTGAGGATGAGGCGTTCGAGGAATGAATATATCTGAAAAGTCCCAAAAATGATGTAAGTTTTCCGAAAGAATACTTTGGGGAAATTCCGGGAATTCGAGGAAAAGTGTGTGTTGCAGGAAGCCCAGAGAATGTTCTTATGCGTTTTTCGTCTCCACACACCAATACCGTAGATACACCCTGAGAGCAAAGGTGTTTTGGTAACCAGTTGGGAGGGACGGGAAAAAAGCTTGACCCGAATCTTCGGGTAAAGCTCGAATTGAAAGAAGGCTGGATGAAGGGGGGGAAAAGCAGAGCCCACAACTTTCAATCAAGCAAGATAAGAGATATATGGACACTCGGTGATGTCAATCAGCCTATAGGTATTGGGCAGAAATTATCAGGGAATAACCTTGTTCACCAATGTACGAGGAGTAGTAAGTAAAGTTGCTTTTTCTTGCTTGCTTTAGCTCAAATGGATGTATCTGTCTGTAACTACGTAGGTAGTGTGAGTAGTGGGCGGCGAGTCGTCAATCGTCAATGCCGCCACTCGACCAGTGATGCATGTGCGGTCAATTGGTTGGAGTATTTGAATATGTGGAATATGTGGAATATGTAGTATGTATGGTGGCTCCCAAGGTAAGTTTATATTGGATGGAGATATGGATGGCAAGTTTTGGTGATTTCCAAGCATGAAAAAGCAAAATCTCCCTCGTGGGTCGTGAGATATTCGAGACGAAAATTCACGTCGAATCCTCTGAAAAGGAATTAAATTGAGTAGCCTATCCTACTATAACACTTCCGAGTAGGTATCATCTGGCAACGTATAATGGTGTTGCAATGTGTTGTCAGTAACTCCAAATTGATAATGAGCAAGTAGCATTAAGAAGAAGATGGACGAAGGAAAAAGCAACAAAATTTAAACAGCAATTAAATTTTGAGGACAAGGAAAAGGAAAAGATAAATGTAAATGTAAATAAAAGATTGACGATAGAGTTTATAGAAGAAGACGAAAATAGGCCCAGGGTAATATGCAAAGAATGCATTCTCTCATGCTGGAAAGCTTATGTATCTACCAATTGCAATTGTTGATTCAAATTAAGTTAAAGAATGCGTTGTTCGATCGATCGAAGTTGCTAAAAAGAGAAAAGTAAGAGAGAATGAATGTATTGTAGATGTGTATGCGGAGTATGTATGAGAGACAAGAGCGACACCGATACAATACATCATGTTGCGGTATGTATGTATGAGTGAGTAATAAGCAGTCCTTTGAGGTAAAAGATGCAGAAGACTTGGCTTGCATTGGAGGGGGAAGAAAGTCAAGATGTGATTCGTGTGTGAAGGAGAGAAGTGCGCATCATGTGATTGTGAGGTAAGGGATAAATTAAACGTACGTTAAGGTTGCGCTTCCTTCCGCATGAGAAGAATGATTATCTAATCCGGCATCGGGACGTCTTAATGTTACCTAGTAGGTAGTAGGTGAAGTGGGATCTGGAAGTTGTCCCGCGTTTCAATGCATACATACCCTTGCCGGTAATTGTAAAAGTCGCCGTTGTAAGCAAACACAATCATCTCAAGCAAAATTTATTCAGAATGTCTCTACTAGAAAGGCATCTAGAACAAATTGCTCTTTCTGCAGATTCAATAGCTTCATTACCGTGAGTAAAATTGACCCCTCCCTCAAAGCAATTGACTAACCTCATCACCCCAGCTTTCCCCCTCCTCAAATCTTTACAAATGCTCTCCTCTCCAATCAAGACATCACCGCTCTAATCCGCGACACTGAACCCCACGAACGTGCTCTCTTTTCTGTGCCTCCACCCCCACCACCTCCAACTCAAATAGCTCCCGAACCAAAATCTTCTTCTTCCCGCCGTCAAACTGTTTTCAACGTAACATCTGGCGAAGTAGCTCCTGCATCAGGTCCTAATGGACGAGCCCCGCGCCGCAATACTGCTGTTGCTGCCGTACTTGGCGCAGAATTACATTCTCAAGTGCGCAAAACGGAAAGCGGAAGGGGAGAAATTGATATAGAGGTTTTGTTGAAGGGGGCGGAGAAATTAAATAGTGTATATCCGGTACAAGGGGTTCCGGAGAGGATAAGAGCGTTGAGGAGTAGATATGCACAGTTGAGGGAGAGTGTGAAAAGACATGAACAGAAAGTGCAGAAACAAACAAGGGAGTTGGAGAGGATGAATAGAGGAGATGAGTTGGAGAGTGGTGGGGAGGAGAATCAGCAGGAGAATGAGGAGCCGTCTGAAATTGAGATTACGGATGAGGATTTGAGGAGGGAGGAGAGGGAGATTAGAGAGTTGGAGAGGAAGAAGAGAGCCTTAGAGGAGAGGGTAACTGGGATGGAAAGAGATCTGGGAGGCTTACTGAGATGAGTTCTCAATGACTGACCCTGAGCATGGCGGGATGAGTATGTGCATTTCGATTTTACGATTTATGAGGCTGCATAGTTTTTGATACCCGGATTATGGAGTTGTTGCTATGTTCTGTCATAACTGTGATACTCTTTGAAACTTCATGCGTGTTTGCTTGTTTTAGCGCAACAGATCCTCCGTTGGCCGAAGCAGAAGAGTGCTTTTAGGTAAAGAAGGAGGGAAATAGTTGATTCCTTTTAGAAATGGCCAAATGTTCCTTCTCATTACATTGCTTTTCCTATTTGGGCTGCTTAGTGTGTTCAACCTGTTCACTTCGACACCTAACACAATCGGATATATAAATGGCATTTCCTTTTTTTGGTTTTACACTTCCGGCACATATTGAATAGAGCTATCATTCAATCCACGGAAGTCATATCAAAGCCATTGCACCAGACACTTGGTGTTGTCAGGGCAAGCACACTAGTCACTATAAATGAACACGTTTTCTACATATTTAGAATATTGACCAAACCAAACCAAGCAAAAGCCAAAAGTGCAAAAGTACAGTGATTAATTCATGGGTAATCTTACCTTTGGATATTTTTATCTCTAGCAAACCCCTGAATAGCAGGTACCTAGATACTCATATTGGAAATAGTCTTACTACTCACATCTCCTTATTCATGAACATCAAGTATTGATACCACCGTGTGTACTTCACTATAAGTTCTCCCTCCCTTTGCTTTTATAATCTAAACTCATCATAGTTCTCTCGGCTCTTGTTTTTCTATTCTCATATCAAGGACTAGATGGTTAGGACTATTGACTTTCATAAATACATCTGAACTTTTCCTGCTTATTTTTCTTCTTGTAGTTTTCTTCACATTCGGCAGCTGTAGGTATTATTATTATTTGTACAATTGGGGATCATCGGTTAGTTTTGATATCTTTAGGGGATTCTTTCTCGGATTAATCTTGGCTGAAATTTAATCTAATGATTTTATACAGTTTTGGAGTGATGATGTATTGTGTAGCTTTTCCCCCCTGGTAGTAGAATGTAGAGCAGAAAATCAAAGGAATATTGGGTGTATGTATAATAGTCGGGGTGAAGCTACCGGGACGCTACCTGGAAGTGGATGATAGAAGATGTAATAGATGATTGATAGGTGAATTGTGAAAGGGTTTAGCTGTATTTATGATATACTATTTTGCTATGATCAATAATGAGTTTTTAATATCTTTTGGATTGATGTCTTCACAGGATGCTCTGTCTCTGGTGCTTTCATTTATCACCAATTCTTTGCAAGATGATATATTATTTTGCCATCACCAAGTTGAAAATCAGCTAAGGAATAAAATAGTTCGACAACCATAAGGTTGCTCAGATTCTACTCCGCTTCAAAGTCAAAGACTCATGAATAATCAGGGCGTTAACCTTGATTAGTTGATGACTGCAGATTGTGTATATCATACCTCTGTAAAGTTCTAGTTAGCGTATACTTTTATCGAGAGAGAGATCTCATACTTCTACTTTTCAAGCTTTGAGGTCTCCAGTTGTGCATCAAAGGTTGGAGAAATCCTATATTCTTCTGAATTGAGTACACCCCAAATATCCTTAATAGAATGAGCCTTCATCCATAATAACACCTTCAATTTGCTCAATTCAGATTTTAAGCATTCATCTAGCATGGATGTATGGAATAATGTAGTTCATCATACTGAAAAATCTTCCGCTGTTATGTATATATATATATATATATAGATACCTTCTCAGTTCTCTTGGTCTCTAGAGTTCCTGTATAGAAATTATTCAGGATGAAATGTCCCATAAACTTATGATTGATCGGTGTATCAAAACTCCAAGCAGTGGGTGGTAGAATTTGTTCGTGCTGAAATTGGAATGCGGGATTACGTTGAGGTGAATCTCATGTTGCTGTTGTTGCTAATGTTATCCATGAAGAATTTATTTATCTTGAATGTAACATCTTAACTGCTGTTCTTTCTCCCATGATATCGCTGAAGGCATGAGATTTCAGTTTTGTTTGTTGTTTATTTTAATTATTACCACTGCTTCAAAAGAAAAGACGGAAATACTCCTATCAATGAATGGAACCACTCCTCAATGTCATCAACAGCTTTTCAAACCAAACTATCGCAGAGAGCACACCTTGAATATGCTTCCGCTTTTGCCGGGATACATACTCTTCAAAGACTAGAACTAAGATATTTATACTCTTCCTTCACTTTGAAGTACGAACTTTAGCTTAACAGACAATAATTCTTCTAATGTCCCTCGGAAACTCGTTCTAGATGATTATATAAATCTAATATGTACGGTTTCAATCTCATTTTCGTTTCAAAATAAACTGCTGCGCTTCATATCTCTTTCTGGAGAAACCTATTACCCATTTGGAATAAGTTGTTTCCGCGGGCTAATTTGGATCTTGCGCGAGGTTTGATGGCTGCTGTAGTATGGCTGTATATTCGCATTGGGTTCTTCCACTTGAAGTATTTAGTTATTGTCATCGCATGTTTAAGCTCGTTGTTATCACCTCTCAATATACTGTTAATATAACTCTTCACTAATGTGTATATATAGGAGTAGATTGTAGAACTAGACATGTAACCTCAAATTTGCCCAGCACTACGGGTTATTGTGGCACATTATTCAGATACCCGCATCCTTAACTTACGAGTCCTAATCTAAGTTCTTTGGAATGTGTATCAGCAGTATTGAGACTGTTCATGTAGATTCAAGAGGAAGGTTGTATTTCATCCATGCCAATGAAGGAATGATTTGAGGGCGCCAAGGAGCAGCAGAAGTTTCCGCTCTGGGTTGGACAGAAGTTAGACAGTGTAAGTAATGGAAACTTTCCGCAATTTTAACCCCCTCATGAAACAAGCTAGAGAAGAGTCAACGAGCGGACAAAACATATCTGTTTTGCCTATCACCTGTCATTTGATTACACATTGTCAACGCTTTTTGAAAACATGGAATACGCTTTTTCCAATCTATTTGGCCCGAGTATGTCGCCAGTCCGCTCTTTATCTTGATGTAAGGTTTTCGCTGGTGGTAAGTCTTATTATCATTAATATCGCTGGGGTACATTCTGTATCGACCATCAGTGTAGCTCCGACGCTGTCCCGAAAATGCTAAGAAATTGGCCTTGCCTAAAATCCCGAAAGACAGGCGAGAATCTATGAGCACACCGAATTTGTCTGCTCGATTTGACATCGAAGAGCACCAATGCAATTCCCAGTACACACCCAAACGGCAAGTTCGAGTAAATTACAGCCTCGCAAGGTTGTCCTGTTCAAACGTTCCACACATCGTGTGTGAATACTACTCTCTACTCGGGTGAGTGAACTTGCTCCAATAGCTTGCAACTGTTCAACTATTTACATCGGCTTCACCCCTCCACAGTAATTGATGATTTGGAGCCATGAAGTTGTGAAAATTAAAGTAGGGCCACATTTTTGGATTGACGTGAGATAGGTTGTGCGTCTATGAGCTCGAGGAGGTAAAACCTCCATTCATTGATACCATGCTTTAACTCTGAGTTTTTTCATCTAGCAAGCTGGCGCATAATTTTCATTGTTATTATCATCAACCCCATTGTCCCATCAAGATGACTTCTGTTATTTTCGAATTGCTAGAGGATCCTGACTCAGGATTCTTGAATCACCAATCAATAAGCAAAGCAGCAAATTGTTATTGAAAGTTGATCAAGTTCAGACTGAAAGCTCTCTGGGAATCGTAACATAGACCGAACATTCATATCCGAAGAATAGTAATCAATGCCGCGGCCGATCCACAATTAAACTTATGTAAAAACGGAGGTCGTTACGTGCGGTACCTTGCCTGCATTAGCCCTGGTAACGATAAGATGTTAATAGGTTGATTTTTCACGCATTGCTTGTCTTCCGAACGAGTACAGGCGTCTAGATGCTTTGCTTCGTTTCAATACTTTCATACTTCGGTAAAAAAAAAACCCGTGCTAGAAAGTATAAAGCTCGAATTCTGGAGAAATTGCGTTATTCATCTGGGATTTTACCATGCATAGAGTTTCGAGTTGTGCGCCGGTAGGTGCTACATAAGGAAGTAACTGTACTCCACTTGCGGGCAGCGGAATTCCTCTTCTCCGCATTCCTTAAGGTTGTATTATGAACGACGGTGATTTTGGGTTAATGCTATACACGAATTAGAGCATGGCAAACAGATTTCATTGTCGCGTATCGGAAAATGCGGTTGATAAAAGTTATCTTCCGTCCTCGTTTGTCTCACATATGGAGACGGCCTTGCATGTTAATGTAGGGCTCTACAGGATATTAAACCTTAGAAGAGGCCTTTAATCTTGTAGCCGGACTATCTAATCAGTGTTAAGCGAGTTTATAAGAATTTGCATATGACGAACTCAAACTTTAATCGAGTGAAATTTACCTATAAGGTTCTAAGTTTTAAGCTTAATTAAGTACTAACTTTCAACATCGATTTGATAGATCGAGTTGCATTGTAACTTATCATAGTGCTTATATCCCGTAAGGCCCCTCCATAAGACGCGTAAATACTTCGTACATTGATGCCTATCTAAGCGCGATACTTTTGCTTTGAAATCCTTCGGAAAATAGATGGAATATGAGTTATCCCTGGTCAGATATTGTTATGCAGGTTGCCGACAAAGTGACAAGAGTGGCTCAAATGGTGGGCAATTACTAATATCTTACGTGATATTGACAAACTAGCTAAGATTCTTTTGATCAAACCAGGATTTTTTGTGTGTTCGGAACTCCCAACTTGTTGGGAACTCCGCCACATGGCGGATCATGCTCTAAATCCATCGATCTAAAGTTCGACAACATCTCACAATCTTGTTTCCAATGGATATTCTTGTAAGCACCAGGAAGGAAATGTGGGTTCACCATGCGTTAAATTTGATGAGTTCGTAGTAGCTGTGTGATGGAAGGGGATAGATGCAGTGAAAATTCGATAACACAGAGTCTGGAAAAGATTACCAATTGTTCGAGAAACATTCTATAAAATGTTGAGATTCTTCACATCATTCACGTTTACTTCTTTGTTTTTGGTTCAATTTAGATATCCATAGAAGTTTCTTCATCAATTACCACTTATACTCTCCAGTCTATTCAACCTTACCACTCTCACCATCACATCACGCTTCATCATGAACGCTATCCTCGGGAACTTACCAAACGGTCATGAGCCCAAGCCCAATCAAGGTGTCCTAGCATACAGAGCTCCTTCCCTCTTGCAACCTCATCGAGCACGTGATGCCATTCGTGATGCTCATGATGGAAAGATTCCACCTCTCATTGGATTCTTTGTCGGTTTACCTTGTCCACCTATCGCAAAGATAGCAGCTCAGTTGGGTTATGATTGTGTGTGGATTGATTGGGAACATACTTCTATGAGTGTTGAAACTATGAACCAAATGGTTCACGATGTTCAGTTTATGAGTGAAGGAAAGAGTTTTGCTATTGTTCGGTATGTATTCATATAGTGTCTACAATGATACATCGATTCTAACAAATATCAAGTGTTCCAGGGCATGATCACGCATCTATAGGTTATGCTTTAGATGCTGGGGCTTCCATTCTCGTTCCTCAAGTCGATACAGTCGAACAAGCCAAACATATCGTTTCATCTGCCAAGTTTGGAGCCGTACGAAATGGTACTCGTTCAGCCCCTCCTGCCCGTTTTTTAATGGGCATCTCCGATACCCCCATCGACTCCACCAAAACTATCTGGGAAAACGTAAACAACCAAGCCGCCATAATAATTCAAATCGAAACTCTGCGGGGAATTCAGAATCTTGATGCTATCCTCACTGAATGTGGTGAAAATATTGATTCCGTCTGGCTCGGATCCTTAGATGCGCGTGTCAGTATGGGTTTACCTGGTATTTGGGGTGATGAGAAGGAATGGACTGATGCGATAGCTTTGTATGAGAGCACGCTGGCGAAACACAATAAGCCTGCGAGTGGGCTAGCCATGGGTTCTTCTACGGAAATCAAGGTAGAAGCATCAAGGGGAAAGAGTTTGGTGGTTACCGGAAGTGACATTCTTCCTTTGATGATGCAAGCTGCAGAGGCTGTAGAGATGCGTCAACATTTAGTGGCTCATGATCACAGTAAGATTTTTAAGAAGTAGTGATTGCTGGGGAAAAAATGGTGTATAATAAAGTTGGGAGACATTTCAACACAAATTATCAATGGAGAGAAAGCATTATCATGTATTATAGAGATTAGACCAGCCAAGAATTGAAATATTCTCACCCACCTCAGCCGCCGCGCTGCCTCAAAAATCCATACTCGAATATAAAAACGATCAAGTGGTCCACATTATTGCATCCAGAACCAACTATGATGCATGTCCTTTCTGGATTTCAGGAGAGTCGGAGGAAAATTACGAAGTTAGCCAGATACGATATCTCCGGTAAAAAGCCCATCGTCAATCTATCTGAGTTCTATCATCAATAGATCAGAGTCTCTTGAACTGTGGTTTTTTTCCGCTTTCGACTGCCAGAAATTCTTTATATATTGTCAATACATCGCTTGTTTATTCCCTACTGTCATCGCCAGCATATATCATCATAATTTTCTAGTTTCTCGCTGATTTCCAAATGACAGTACATACTTATATAAGTACTCTGTAATCGTATGAAATCGTCTTGAATATTTTAATGGCAGGTGCAAAATATCTCAATGCATTATTTGGAAAGCCATGAATCTTTGAAGATCCCCCAATATATCATATTGTTATCTTCCAAAGTTGATAGAGGACCGGCTGGAACCCCCTATCATGTACTTCAGAAAAGTCCTTAAATTTTTTCCAGATTACTTCAATGGAAGTATGTGTAAAAATGAAATAATAAAGTATTAAAGAAAAAATCAAGATCTTTTATTCATGATCACTACTATATACAGGAATTAAGCTTCTCAAACATACACTAGATTATAAAAATCCCAGAAATCGAACTTCATACTATATACCTTTCAAAAAGGAAATATCTGGAGAAAATAACATGATGGTGACTGTGATGATGATTTTAATTTTCCGATTCTAGTTATTTAAAGGATTTTGCACTGAGTTATAATTGTATAGTTGAAAAATCAAGAATTTTTTATTGCTGCTTCAATCTTAAAATATATTTAAATATCTCTAAACTTAGTGACAATAATAATTTTCATGTTATTTCTATTGAAAAAACTATATTCATCACTGACAATTATTCTCAATTTTTTTATTTCCCCTTGTTATATAATTATATCGACGACTTAAATTCAATTTCACCCATATACTATTCTCGGACTGGGAAAAAGCAAGACCTTAAAACCCTCCCACATGAATAGTTCCAGTTCCACAATATTATAAAAATATTGTAAAAGTGATAGGTCGAGATACGTGCGTCCCGATAGCACACTGTGAAGAGGAAATTGAAAGAGAAAACTGAATTAGATTATATTATAATACATCACTTATAGATAAAACAAGGTTCACAATGATTTTGAGGTTAATACTATATAGGTTCAAATATATATATATAGAAGATTGATTATTGTAAAAAGAAGAGGCAAAAGACTCTTTTTTTATATCTAACTACAGAAGGTTATATAATTGACTAGTTAAAACCTTTATGTATTTGGCCTATAATTCCAACTTTCTCACAATATACAGAAATATCTAGCTGATCTTTTATACACCTCATGTCATACTCTTCACAGTTTTCATTTCGACCTGGATTCATTAACGTTATCACACTCGCTTAATTCACCCTCAGAAGAGAGAGAAAAACAAAGAATCATTATAAAATGATGCCATTGATCTTTCAGGTACTGCATACCACGCGTAAAATTACATGAGAAATCAGCAAGGTGGAATGAAGCTCACTGTTTCATACATGCCTGTGTGAAATTTAAACTTAAAGGGGAGCTAATAATTGTAGGGGTTGTTGTCGAGGGTAGTAATTAATTTCCTTATTGCTACTTTCTGTCAGCCAGGAATTTATGCTGTTTTGAACTCTTTGACAGTCAGCGTTGTGTGCTGTGCTTTGTTGCCGTCGATTATTCTCAGCAGGAAAACTGCTATCCTTATTACCATTCATCCTGTAGGATGCTAATTGAATAATTCCTCTGGACTTAGCCGAGGAGTGAAGGTTTCCTGCAGAGTAAAATCAAGTTTATGAATAGGTAATTAAGCGAATCTTCTATTGAGCATTTATTAGTGATATTTTCAGTATTTATTTCCTTATTTAGTTACTTAGATATGAAGACTAGTTAGGTCTGATACAGTCAGGTATTTCAGAGTAAAAGTATTTCCATGATGAATTGTGACACACAGTTTACTCTTGAGATGTATTACTGTCCGAGATAACGTCTTCGTCTACTTCATATATGTTTTTATGATAAAAGTGCAGAACAAGACAGTCTCAAAACGCCGTACAAACTTTATAATCTCTTATAAATGATATGATTATATACAAAGTTCTCCGATGAATGTATACCATAGCTGATATAAGTTTATTTATAACAACATTCTAATATATTACATAGAGATAGTCCATCTTGATAACTTGTTGACTCATTAGAATCTATTTTAAGATAATAAATATATATTTAATGATTTAATAATCTAGTTAGATCTTTAATTTTTGTGAAAAATGATAATTATTAATAATAATAACAATGTGAATATATAAAACGACATTGATTATTTTATAGATAATCAAATATCAAATAGAATATTAAATATCTTATAAATATTATTAATGATGAATGAATTCTAATGATCTATTATTGTATTATATAATTATATTATATTGAAGTAATTTTTATATTTAATATAAATTGAGCATTAATATATATATCGGAATTAAAAAACCTAAAAGAAGGATCATAGAGCCACCTTGTAATATATAACACGAATCCCGGTATCTAAAAGATCATAGTAGTGTTTAAAAGACTATGATCTTAAAGAAATCTAATAGTTATTATTTGTTTTCAATGATATAATAACATTTGTTATCTTTTTCAGAAATTAAATCTCGTTGTTATATATCCAGAGTATCATCTATCCTCTTCAATCATTGCTTTTGAATTATTCTTGTCACCTCATCTTGAATTTTATTAGTCGGGCAATGTATTGTTTAAATCGTTGAGGATTAAATTCATAACAAGATATATTTAGTTCGATTTGAATTGAATTTGTTTTTCTGAGTTGGTTTGCTATCTTCTCTCAAGAATGACTTTTATATCTATGATTTATTCTTAAAAATCTTAATAAAAATAATATTTCTTTTATATTTAAATTGAAATCATTAAAATCATTCAATTTAACTTTGTTCGTTCAATTTAACTAATTCAACTTAAAATAATAATAATAATAATAATAATAATAATAATAATAATAATAATAATAATAATAATAATAATAATAATAATAATAATAATAATAATAATAATAATAATAATAATAATAATAATAATAATAATCATAATAATCATAATTAATATTATAAATAATCATAATAATAATAATAATTAATATTATAAATAATATAAAATATTATTATTATTATTATTATAATTATCACTTTTAAATAAAAGAAATTAATTTTCAATTATCAAAAACAAACTGATATTCTACCTGCAGCCTAATATATATTTAATATTTAAATTTATTATAAACTTTTTAAAATTTAAATTTTTACTAGACTTTCTTGAAAAGCCAGAGGTCCGGGGGGCGCAGGCCTCTGGTGTTTTATATTTGAAGGTTATAACAACTTTGAATTTTGAAAATCTTATATTTTAAAAGAAATATTTAAAAGAAATTAGAAAAAATTAAGAGAAAAACAAAAAGTTATTTTATTATTAAAATTTTATTATATTTATATTTATATTTATATTTATATTTATATTTATATTTATATTTATATTTATATTTATATTTATATTTATATTTATATTTATATTTATATTTATATTTATATTTATATTTAATTTAATTTAAAAAATATATAAATTATAAATCAGATTTTAATCTATAAATAATCTATTATAAATTAATCATTCATTATAAATCTATTTTATATCTTTTAAAAATTAAAAAAATCATTCTATTCCCGCATTATATTTCCTGTCCTATCTATAGTCCATGTAACTATCACGAAATCATTTTATAGAGTATTACAAAATAACAGTTAACCTATCCTTACAAACTTGGACCTCCTTAAAAAGCAAAGCAATTTGTATACAAATTTGTATAGCAATCGCTTCATATAGTCTCCCCACTTTCAGCAAGCTCGAATATATAGTCTGATCCTCAATCATATGATATGCTAGCTCTGCTAGCCAGCTAGCATAGCTAGCATACAAGAAAGAGATGAGTATATAATCAAAAATAGTTTCATAGTTTAGGAGCTTCATGCTCAACTTAGTTATCAATTAGTTTACCTACATTCCAATTGATCTAGTAATATATTCATCTTCGAATGGATAATCAGTGATTATTAGCCTTAACCTACAACTACCAACTATACGAAACCTGAGGCAGCCGCTGCCTCTACCAGATCGTTACAGTAACCTCATACAAATATATATTGTGAGAAAGTTGGAATTATAAGCCAAATATATAAAGGTTTTAATTAATCAATTATATGATCTTTTGTAATTAGATATAAAAGAAAAGCTTTTGTTTTTCTTTTATAATAATCAATCTTTTATATATATACATTTGAATTTATATAATATCAATTTCAAAATTATTGTGAATTCTGTTTTATTTATAAATGATATATTATAATGTAATCTAATTCAGCTTTCTCTTTCAATTCCCTTTTCACAGTGTGCTATCGGGATGCATGTATCTCGACCTACCACTTTTACAATATGTATGTACCTGTGGGACGATGTCGTGATCCGTGTTTGAAAATTTGTGTGTGTGTTTAGGTTACCTGAGTTATCTAGCTGTATAGAAGGAGGATTTGGGTAGGATCATCAGATTCGGATGAATGCTTGAATTTTTGTGAGATGTGAGATGTGAGATGTGAGGGAATAGATGGTTTGGTTGTTTGGATTGAGGCGGAAGGGAGGGGGGGGAGTATAAATGTAAATAGGTAGGGATGGATGGATGGGAGTTTTGGATGGGTGTTTTGTTGGGTATGAATGATTATTACTTGGCTGTACCGAGTAGGTAGGTAGATAGATGATAATGTATTTTTTTTTTAATAAAATATTGAAGTTTTGGACTAGAGAGGTAGATGATGGATGATATCTAATAGATAAATAATATATAGCATTTGAAGGAAAGAAATAATTGTAGATGTAGGGAGTAACCTTAATGTGAACATGATCATTGACCGGAAATAAACTGCGGTCAGAATCAGTACATCAGTAGTACAACGCTAAGAATAATTGAATCCTTTCAAACCACCCCATCGATTACCAAGTACCTAGTTGAAGCAGATGAAGTGATACTAATAGTCAATCAGTCATACACCAGGAGACTCGTCATTCATTATATTATGGCTTTAATAATGTGAATGGTTGAAAAGGAAGGAAATGAAATAAAATGATTCGTAACGAGTTTCATGATAAGAAAAAGGTTTGTGTTTGTAGCAAGAGGTTTCTACCTGATACATGTATGGATAGACGATGATGTTCCGGGCGATAGAACCTCAAAAGATGATTATTATCAATTGAAGAAGTGTGATAGAAAAGAACAAAGAGACTACTCTTATAAATATATTCCAATGATATATTTTATACTCACCGCATTCAAATATCTTCAAAAAGGAGTAAAACGCAACGAAATGAGATAATCAAAAGCTCTCTATCTTATTTAAATAATAAATATATTTCAACAGGGAAATAAAATACGTATAACATACGAAACCAATCATAACCCCTATCATCCACCCCACAACGCCATTTCCTTGGCTCGTCAATGGATGCACAGACTTTCTGATCCGCCTTGTATAACTGCCACTTAGGGAGGGACGGATGTACAAAGTAGGTAAGATTACGCATGTGTTTTGTGCCCTTCAAACCTTTAGTGGTAAGGGGACGCCTCAAAGTTTGGTGTTTGACGTCGGTGCTTTGGATTTCCTGGGATGGAGTTTATGTGTGTTCGTCGGTATGAAGAGGATGGAAAGGATGAAATGAAATGGATGGAAAGGATGAAAATGAAGGAAATAAAGGAAATAAGGGAAATAAAGGAAATAAAGGAAAATAGATGTTGGATTGTCTGAGAATTGAGAATCATAGAATAATACACTATTGAAGAATTCAATGGGTAAACTTAAATAGGTCCGTCCCTAGGTAAGACGACGATCGATTGATTATATATATGAAAAACAAAATGAGGTCAATACAAATAAGATCAATAAAATGACGATACACAGATCCATTTTATTCTATTGCATCTATCTTATCTCTATATCCAGCATTGAACTCGGTCCCATCAAGATCCTTCTTGTGACCTGCCCCTGATCTACCGGTACTACGATACGAAAGCTTTCGATATTTCCTTACCCGTTGCCAAGCAAGCCATTGGCTTTTCGAGTGAAATTTGGACATACCAGGTAGCTAATTTTATGGACAGACTGATACAAGTCTGATGCGTTTTATCAAGGTACTGGAGTCTCGTCACGATAATTATAATTCGTACAGAGCGAGGACTAGCGACTGGGATGATATCTAGATGCAGTGCCATCATGGATACTAGGACTAGGGTTCCCAAGTAACAGACAAACAAACTCCTCAAGGCTGGGATTAAAAATTAAAATTGGAGAAAAGAAGATGATCAACATTATACCGATACACACCCTAATCTATGTGAATCGCAACTGAAATCCAACAAACGTCAACCTCTCCCCTCATACAAAACCGATATCCACATCTTTGGAAGTTTTCTTATCCTTCAGAAGTGCAGCAAGTCATTCATTCTCTCCTTTCCCCAAACTCCACTCACCACTCACCCACTCACCACTCACCACTTCACCACTCACCACTCACCACTCACCACTCACTCCTCACTCCTCACTCCTCACCACTCGCCACTCACTCCTTTCGGATCACGGTATCAGTGCATCATCCTTCTACATGACATGAAAACTGGATCAGCTTTTCTGGAATAAAGGAATTGTTTCCATATATGCCTCTTGATCTGGAGTTTCCCCGATAATCAATTATATTCATTATCGGTGAATTTAACACTCGTTGGATCGGAGTCATCAGTCAGTTAAATCGCCTGTACTCTTTAATTTACTTCTTTGACCTTCGACTCACGATCTTTAACCTCAACCTTCGACGTTCAATTCCTACCTTCAATCTTCAATTCCTACCCTCGACGTTCAATTCCTACCCTCAATCTTCAATTCCTACCCTCAATCTTCAATTCCTACCCTCAATCTTCAATTCCTACCCTCAACCTTCAATTCCTACCCTCAACCTTCAATGCCAAATTTCACGCCAATAGAAACGACAGCTATGATTTAAGATTATTAAGAGATATTTACCTTCACTCACATGAGATACTTACCCTCACTCACATGAGATACTTACCCTCACTCACATTCATTTACGTACGACCTCATCCATTTGGGAACTTCTCTCCTTCTCCTATATCTCCACTTACCTGCAGCTGTCAACGCGGCACTTTTTAACCCTAGCACGAACTTCAGTCAGGTACAAAGTCAAAACAATTGGTCAAGATCCACCGATTCACTTCAACGCTGGGGACTTTCCATTTATCTTATGCATTCAACACCGGATAACACCTTCTACATTCATTCATTTTCACCCATCCGATTAACCTTCCCTCACTCTCTTTTATTTTGGTATTAAATGCAACCTTCTGAAACTCTAGTTTCCAATCATCTTCATTTGGACGCTATCCTTTCTTTCCGACTTCAATTAGACTTCTATCCGACTTTAGGTACCTGACCTGGCCGTAACTCCATCTTATAGCTTCGCGTCGTCACGAATTCCCAAGGTACCCATTTTCAGGGTCCAGATTTTATATCGAACTTGCATATCTCGCAAAGAACTCGACAATTTTCGACTTCTTACACACACTCTTTTATCCCGGCATCCCCTAACACTTCTTATCGAAGCATCTAAGAATGCCAATGTCCTCACCCATTCTAATGGCGTATCCAGGCCCTCCTAGAAGACCTGGAGGTTTCATTCGATATATACTTGGCGCATCAGCCATCCTTCTCCTTGTGCTCTATTTCAAAAACTCGGCCGAAACTTCTTCATTCCAATACATGACCCCCGAAGTCCCCTACACCTACACCTACACGCCAAAGCCACCTCCAAAACCACATACACAATCTCCAAATAATGCATTACCTATTTCCATGCCAAAATCAAAACAAGAACATCCGATCGATACCTTGATCGAAAATGCAGAAAAAACTTTCCAAGAATTATTGCAAAAGGAAAGCCATGATGTTAATGCTGCTGCGGCAGAATATCGCAAACGAAGAGGACGACATCCACCACCTGGGTTTGATGCATGGTTCAAATTCGCCCAAGAACATGATGCGGTGATGGTGGAGGATTTCTTTGATCAAATATATCATGATCTAGGTCCATATTGGGGAGTGACTCCGGCGAAAATGAGAAGTCAAGCTAGAGATGCGGGAATGGTCATTAGTATTCGAAATGGAAATGCGACGGCCGAAAGTGATTGGTTTTGGACTCAAATTTGGTTGCAATTAATTTCAACCATACAAGAGGATCTACCAGATATGGATATTCCCCTCAATGCTATGGATGAACCGAGAATGGTTGCGCCATGGGAGGTGATTAATGAAAACATGGAGATTGAAAGAGCTACGAGGAAATTAACAGATACCAGTTCAGTATCTGAGGATTATGGAAGTTTACCAGCTCCACGACACGCTGATGATGGAGAGGAAGATCCTCCGGAGAGGGAATGGGAGGTTTCAGGTATGTCTTGAGGATATGGCTTTGGCAATCAAATAACTGATATTGAAAGGTCCATATTGGGGAATTGCGACTAGAGGTTGTCACCCAGACAGTCTTGCGCGTCGCGCTGAGATTATGACAGATTTTTCGAAAACACCTGCGATTTCAATGGGTCATTCTTCTTTACATACTTACAAAGGTTATGTTTCGAACTATAGTCTTTCGGCCGATTTTTGCCATCAACCTGATTTACAATCCCTTCATGGGATGATGATAAACCCTCTCTCAATTTCTTCCACAGAAGAATTATTCCCTCTTTTCGGAGGCTCTAAACTGCCCACCAATAACGAAATTTTATTACCGGCACCAATGTATTGGGCAAAAGAAGAAAGATTTTCAGGTGGTGATAATCATGGAGCCCCTTGGCATGAGAAGTTAAATAAAGTCATTTGGAGAGGTGTTGCGACTGGAGGAAGAAACAAGGACGATAATTGGAAAGGGTTTCAACGACATCGTTTCGTTTCCATGACAAATCATACATCAGTTTCCCGAGCTGAATCATGGGAAGCGATTCCTCCAAATTTCGCACTGCCTACTTCCATCTACAACATTGGCGCTCAACAAGAAAATAGACTTGGAGAATGGGTAAATGAATGGTCAGATACTGGATTTATTGAATTGATGTGTGATGAGGAACGAGAAGATAAAACATGTCCGTATACCGATCCATACTTTTCAATTAGGAAAGGTCAAAAAATGTCTCAACAATTCAACAACAAATATATTCCCGATATCGATGGAAATTCTTTCTCCGGACGTTATCGTGGATTCTTACTCTCCTCTTCTTTACCAATTAAAGCAACCATATTCCGAGAGTGGCACGACTCGAGACTTATTCCCTGGAAACATTTTGTTCCAATGGATAATCGATATATGGATTTCTATGGTATCATGCAATATTTTCTCGGTTATGAAGGAGAGAATTTTCGACTTGAAAATCACGATAGAGAAGCCGAGAAGATTGCACTAGATGGTCAAGAATGGGCGAATAAAGTTTTGAGGAGGGAAGATATGCAGATTTATGTGTTGAGATTATTGTTGGAGTATGCGAGGGTTTCCAATGATAATAGAGCGAATTTGGGATGGGTTAAAGATCTTTTGTGATTTTTTGAGGAGAGGATGGAGGGTGTTTTTTGTCTGGTTTTTTTTTCTGTTTTGGTCTGTGTCTGTCTGGTTTTGCGTTCAATCCAAGTGATGTTGAACATGGCATGTTGACGCATGACATAGGGTTTGTATTTCATTATTTCATCTTTCTTCGGTTGGGGGAAAATCATAGTCATTTATTTTATTTGCTTGTACATTTATATGTATGTCTAGCGTACGATTGATTTTAAGCGGTGGCGAATGGTGTAACGGATGATGTTAAAAGTTTGATGGGATGTAGTTTAAAGGTTTGAAATTGGGTTTGGAACTGGTGTTGGGGTGGAATTGGTTTGGAGCCGGGGATGGGGTTGGAATTGGGGTTGAGATTTGAGGGTTGAGGATGGATGTAGGGGGATGAGGAGATGGATAGATTAATGGGTTATTAGATCTAGAAAGATGCATGGAATGGAATGCCAGGTGTGGAAATGTTTAGTGAAGAGGTAGAAAGGCTTTTCCGTGAGGGGGAGAGGGGTTAAAGAGGGAATTCGGATAGAAAAGAATTAGAGAGCTGCGATGAGATGAGATAAGATGATAGAAAGAAGAAATTAAGCGGCGAAGAATAAACGAATGTATGTCTTGTCTTGATTTAGCTGTATTCTGAGCAAAAATACAAAAATGTAAAAATGTGAAAACATAAAAAATACCCCATAGATCCAACTAAAATGACGTATTTGACTTGATATTTAAATAAATGAAAACAAAAGATAGATATCCGCATTTTCTTATGTATTCGGTATTCCCCGTTGTATCTATCATACACTATTCACTATTTATCATTAACTATTCACCATGACTCCATTCGCCATACACCATACGCCATACACCCGAGATGTGAATCAGTAATTAGCCGGAAAAAAAAAGAAGGGGAAAACGCCAGCTAGCCAGCTTATGTACCCTATGTATGTATACCTTCTCCATCCATCCATCCATCCATCCTATCCCTTGTACCCACCTAATCCTACAATGACCCATTTTCACACCTTTCCTCTACGCCTATGATACCTATCCCTCTTAAATGTCAAGAAAGTTCGCTCCAATGCCCATCTCATCACTAATTCCCCACTCATCCACTCTTCTCCCCACCACCACCACCACCACCGCCAAACCTCCCATTCCTCACTCTCCCCCTCTCCATCTGCTCCACCAACTCCTTGTTCTCCCTATCCTTTTCCCTTAATCTCTGCGCCGCACTACTTCTATCCAATTTCCTCGCCTCCCTTTCCGCCTTTAACTTATATTCCAATTCCTGTAATCGAACTTGCCATCTTAAATCTGGTTTATATTCTTCTTCACCTTCTGTTCTCGTCATTGCATTAGAACTAGATGTTGTAATTGAAGGAGCACTATTTGATGCAGGAGCTGATGCTGAAGAATGTCGCGTCATGGTTGAAGATCTGGATAAAGAATTATCGATTCGCCGACGCGGACCTGTAGGTACAGGTGGGAAGGGAGAAGTAGGTTCATAAACACCTGTTCTAACTTCATTTGCTGCTTTGAGGTTTGAGATTTCCGTTTTGAGACTGCGGTTTAAATCTTTTAGTTTGACAACTTCGGCTCTACTGTCCATACTATTAAGCGGGACTGCAGATCTTGCCATTGTCTCTAATCTGTCCAACTTCTTCGTTTGCATCTCAAATCTATTTTCTAGGGTTGAGTATTCTTTCCAGAGTCTCCTATCCAAATCTTTGACTCTGCCTCGGAAATCCCCAACTAGAGTTTCAATGGTTTTAACAGCTGCTAGAAGGTTCTTTGAGAAACCTGGAAACATTGTCGAAACTGCTTCTAAGGATGGTAAAGCACGACCATTAATAAGTGAGTTATTGTGAGACCAGTCTGTTCCACAAAGACTAGCCAACCTACTCCACATGTTTAATAACAAATTATTCCTCTCAGTAAGTTGTTCCTTGAAATTATTTTCTAGCTGTGCTATCTTTCTTCTATCTTGTTGACGAGATGTTTCTAATTCCAGAACACGAGATTCTTGTTGTGAAAGAGTTCGTGTGGTATGTGATGACGTCTTTTGAGATGTTTCGTACTGATTCTTGGTAAGGCGGTGTGTTGAACGTTCTTTGTCTAACATATCCGCTAATTTGCGGGATTCGAGTGCGTGAGATTCTAGGAGGTCGTCACGTTGTTTGATCATACGTTCTTTTTCGGCAAGAGAAGCTTTGGCCGTGTCCAGGTCTCGAATAGTATTTTCGAGCTCTCTTTGAAGTTTGGCGATGGACTATAGGAATTAGATTAGTGCATTGTGAAGTATGGGGTGAAATAAACTCACATTCAATAAACTTGACCTAGTACCATTCAGATCACCAAGAGCCTCCCTGAGATTATTCTCAAGTTCCATAAGTCTTTGCTTCCACTCTGCAGCCTCGACTTCTCTTGAAGTGAGACTCTTTCGTAGTTTTCTGGATTCGTCCTTGGCAGTTGTGGCTTCACGATTCAGGTCATTAACGAACTGTTGAATTTCTTGCTTTTCCTGATTAGCAACAACTTCTCTTTGGTGCCTTTCCTCATCAAGACGCTCATCAAGTTCCCTAGCACGTTCTTGTTCTTCCTGGAGACTTTGCTCCAGATTCCGAATAGCTGCCTCAAGATCACCAATCTTAATCTTATCTCCATCTTGTTCTTCTCGGAGGAATGCAATCTCATTTTGACTCGATTCTTGCTGGACATTCAATCGATTGACCTTTTCATTGGATTCGACATAATTCTTCTCAATTTCCTCAAGTTCCCTATTGGCATCATCCAATTCCCTTTCGAGTTCTTGAATTTTTTTGGATTTCCTTTCATGATCATCCTCCGATCTAACAACAATATCACTCAATTCTCTCATCTCGTTCTGCAAAGCATTGAAATTCTCTTTCTCATCAGCGACTTCAGCCTGGAGACGCTCAATCTCTGCATTAGCTTCCTCTTGCTCTGCCGCAAACCCATCAAGCTCTTCTTGAGCTTCTTTGTGTAAAGATTTGAACATCAATTCGGCTTCTTCTTGACCTTGGAGGGCTTCATCCCGGTCAGCTTGCATGGTGAGTAAATCATTCTCGGCAACATCCAAAGCTTCCTGCAATTCCTGAGCTAGACCCTCAGCTTCCTTCTTTTGTTCAACGGCCGTCTCAAAATCCTCCATACAAGACTCAAGTTCACGTTGTAGATCCTGGTTATGGATCTTAAGACTGTTGATTCTATCTCGAAGTTCGGCTTGCTTATTCTCGAATTCCTCACGTTCAGCCTCATTCATGTTTATCTGTCTTGTACCTGCACTGGTCCTGGATGATGATCGTTCATGTGCTCGCGATGCTGATCGTTCAAAAATGCTCTCTCCAGTCACCGAGGTACCACCTCTCCTCTGGCCAAGCTTCAAGTCCTCAATTTCTTGGTAAAGCCTCTCCTTCTCGCGATTCCGTGAAGTCAACATTGATGTTTGTGCTCCAACCTCCCGTCTCAACTCTGCATTTTCATGTCGAAGTTGTTCGTTATCTCGTCGGATCTCCTCCACCAATGTACCTGCCGTACTATATGTACCATTCCTCTCATCTGGCATGCGATCAGACATATTGGAGTTTGATTGTGAAGGTGACCCCACATGTCTTTTGTTTATGTTGTAATTATTAGTTGCATGATTGAATCCATGTCCTCCAGCTGTCGCCTCTGATTTCATTCGGAAAATTTCTTCTCGGAGCACTTTTATCTCGTCATCACTCTGCTCTCTACGGGCAGTCTCTTGCTCAAGAAGATCTTTCCAAACATCCATTTCTTCTCGTGTTTCGATATTTTGACCTCGTCTTTCACCCATCGTACGAACTAGATCTGCGAGATTCCTCTTTTCATTTTCCCGAAAAAGGCTTTCATTTCTCAACCTCTCGATTTCCGTTAAATATTCCTCGACCTTTTCTCGTAGGTAAAGAAGCTCTTCCTCCCGTTCGAAAGCTCCTTCTTGGTACCATCTTTGACTTCCTTCCGTAGATGTACCCGATCGAGCTGTGGATGGTCGGTCCTCATCATCCTTAAGTTGTTTCTCTAGGTCCTTGACCTTTTTGCGAAGAGCTTTATTATCTCTTTGCATAACCGCCAAACCTGTCTTGAGTTCAACATTCTCGGATATCATTTCCTTCACACCCTCTTCAGAGAGCTTGTCTAATCTATCGCTGAGAAACATGACTTTCAATTTCAGATCGAAGTTCTCCTTGGATAATCTTTCAATTGTGCTACTTTGTTCTTTTAAGGTGAGATTTTTTCCATTTCGATGACCTGGGGTGGATGCAGCAAAACTTGCCGACTTGCTGGGTGTATGTACGCCATGTTTGGTACGAAAGCCTTTGACCATTGATTCGGGTACTTGAACATTGCGAACGTGTCGTGCAATGATTGTATCAGTGGGTGGGTCCATAGGTCGACTAGCTGCTCGAGGTGTTTCGGGGGCGGAATTTGTTTGATGTTCAGTCCTCCCACGATTCATATCTTCCTCAGCTAAAGTCGCTAATGGCCCTTCAACTCTTCCAAATGAATCAGCAGTCTCATCTATACCCGAAGCCATACTTCCCAAGCTTATAGTCCTGGATAACGTCATACTCCCACTTCGCGATAATCCTGCCGAAGGGACCGCGCCTCCAGACTGCAAAGCATAATCTGTACCGGGTGTAAGATCGCTTCGATCGTCATTATGTTCAGGGTTCGTAATGAAAGAAGAGATAGAAGATCTTTGACTTGAATGTCGACTTCGAAGAAATTTAGGCCTAGAATTATTGCTTGTGGAGAGTGCAGCCCCAAGAGTCGCAGCAGCATCGATCGCCAAATTTTGGTTTATGCTTCGAGTCAATGATTCGTGGTTCGGGCTTGAGCTATCATTCGTTGATTCGGAAAATGCTCGTAAATTTTGGCTGGATCTTGTTGGTGTAGCCTCCATGTCCTCATCATCTGATTGTGCTTTTGAATGAGAGGTTGATTGTGATGATGATTCGAAATTCTCTCCCATACTTGCCGCTGACATTGCTCGAGATATAGTTCTTGCAGCGGCGGCAGCTGTTGGGGATGACGAAAGAGTTTCGAGAGCAGACGTCGTGTTCCCAATTTGTTCCGAATCATCATCTTCCACTTGCACAGCGTATCGAGGGGCAGGGCCAGGAGTTTTATATGCACCATCTGGTGTAGGGGGTGAACCGGAACCTTCACTCTCACTACTATTAATGTTCTTCTTGGGCGTTTGTGTTTCAAGTGCGGGGGACTTTTCCCCATTCCGATTCGCATCAAATAAATATGTATCATCAGCACCAGCCTTGCCATGTTTACCGATTGGTGAAACAGTCGGAAGAAAACTCGATTCGACATTATCCAGATGCTGTTCCATTGCTCTTGCATCCATAGCACTCAGCAGACCGTCACTTCGATTATCTCCATTATCGCTATGAGCATAAAGCATACTGCTATCAGCTGGAGGGGACAGAGTAGGTAAATTCGTAGGGTCAGGAGATTGTATTCGATTATTCCCCTCAAAAGCCTGCGAGTTCATAGACATTGAGTCATCGTTATCACTCCTATCTGCCATATGGTTCCCCATGCTATGAAAGTTGAATGCCTCGCTTTCCGTATCCTGTCGTGCAGTTTGGGGTCGTGAATCCGTTGCCGACATTGTTGACAAACTTGACATTGTGAAATCATCTCCCTCGGCCATCTTGCGCCGCCGATAGTTCAACGAGTCACATTCGCTGTCTATCTATTCGTATTTGGTCGCAGGTTTCATATGCTGTATGCTGTATGCTGTATGCTGTATGCTGTGTTTTCTGCGTCAGGAGTAATGCGCTCGGCCCCTCGTGGATAATAAATTGAACTGGATGGGATGGGATGATGATGGCAGAAGCAACGAACGAGTCTATGGGCTTGATGGAGTGATGAGAAATGGAGTGTATAGGCGGTATAGCATGTCATCCGAGGAGTAAACTGTCAATGATGAGGTTTTTGATATTCACTTTGATCTTGGAATGTCGCCAAAAGTTGATCTGCACTGTATGTAAATTCGCTGTCAACAATTCAATTCTAGAAAAACATTCGGTTACAGGGATAAATTTTGTCAGGACGACCAACAATGTTGTTTCTCGCACGCTGAACACACTGACCACATACTGTACCACCGACCAGAGCTCAGGGTTAAGCTAAGCTTATAACAGCACTCTTACCCCACCACAACACAAATGTCGCATCGCAGTGTGAGGATCGAGATCATACGATATTGCATCTCAAGCGATCAAATACCATACTGTTCATTAGAGGCCAGGTGCTGCTTTACATTAAGGGTATGGTAACCATGGCATTCATTTCACATCAGCCGGATAGCATGGCATTGGCTAATCATAAATATAAGGAGCTCGATAAATTCCCACACATATACTCATATACACATATTCAAAGATGCTGTTGTAGGTATTAGTTTATTCAAGATCTTGTAGTTGATAGCTCTCGAGTAAATCTTGCCAGTTTCTCCTTTTCCTCGGCAATATTTCTATCACCAACTTTCATATTTGCAGTAACCCCCAAACATATCATACCAACCTACAGTATCCACCAAGCCAGACGCTTCAACATAATAATTTTAACAACCGCGCCCTCCCTCATCCATCTTTATTCCGATGAAATATCTCCATTTTGATATTTACTGGTTTCCACGTCTTCTCTTCGTGCGCTTATGTTTATATCTCTTTGGACCAGCGATATTTAGCCCAGTACCGGAGATAAAGAGACATTGGTATTCGTACGGGAACAATTTACCTTATGATTTCGATACGGCGCTTATTGAAAGCCCTAATGGTGGAGCTTCGTGGTGTGGAAATATGATAGTTTGAGTATCTGCACATATGAGGTCCGCTTGAGAAGAAAAATGACCTAGGCGTAATACCTTGGCTGTATACGTCAGGGCAACAATTCAGTTTTATCTTACCTGCTCGCTATATTATGGCTTGGTCCTCCAATAAGTCATGCAGCACCGAAGACCACTCATATTTAATGTAATTAATAACTATCATGCGATATCAGCCCCGGATTCTACTACGCTTGTAGAAGAAAAAATACCAGGAATTGAGCTTAAAGAGGAATATATCACGACTTCAACAACCTTTGGAACTTGGCCATATCCCTCCTTATTCTGTGAAGCGACACGAAACTTTGACATGGAGAAAGCCTCGCCAATCTAATTTTGGCACTCAGAGCTGTGCGTGACAACCAACTAGGTTTTATCACTTGCGCGACGAATAGAAGCGGGAAGATGACTTCTGAGAAGCATCTTCCTTTTAATCTGTTGTCGACCCTCATGAAATCAACTCGAGTTGGTTCACTATTAGATATGAGGAACTTGATGTTCCGGATGCAGCTGAAAGGGCCGCTATCCCACTCTGCTACTATTCAATCTCTATTATCTCATTGAGTTTACTTGCCCCGTAATATTTCATCCTAGCTTGTTAACGAATTTAATCTGCCCTTTTAACGGGTATAGCCGCCACAAGGAATATCAAGATGGTGAATATCTGGAATTAGATTCCAGATGTGGCCATCATCAGTATGCAGTATGGTAGAAATATTCTCTACAGATATATGCACTCCGCTCCGTGATCAGACGTTTAGAATCTCACGTTTTTCCCGGAAGTACCAAACTACTATGTGTTTAGTACAGAACAAAGAGCCGATGAAAAGAATCATGACTCTGTCGGAAATTGAATCCTGACCCAGTATGTCCGATGGATACTTGCAAGTAGGATTGAATGCACGCATGATGAAATTCATCGAGATTGCTTAACGGAGATAGACGACGAAAGCATTCTATGTAGATGTTGATGAAAGTAAATATGAAATTAGGGCAATGAAAAAGCTGGGTAATAAGTCAGCAGTAAGACTACCACAAAAAGGTCATCAAAGAAGTCCATCTGGAGTGAAAAGTTTCAGCATTTGGCTTCTATCTTTCCATATTGGTAAGGCAAGCTTCTAAGCTCAGGATTGTCACAACATGCCATCCTATAATATGTGTCAGATAAATACGTTGCCGTCTGCAGAAGATACACTTGCTTCGTGGTGACTCTCTTATAGAGAGTCCTGTAGATCATACCGAAATAAATAATAGCTAATCACTGGATTGCTAATCTTAACCACAGTATCAATTACACTATCCATAGCGAATATCACAAGATACCCCTTATGTTTGCTTACCTTTGTATGCTGGCTCTCCGACGATTCCACTACTCATCGTAACATTCAATTCACTCGTCGCCATTGCTAGCATCGCAACAAAATATGATTAAAATGCTGAATGCTGGGGTTCCTAACCTGGGAGGGTTTCTTGTGCCACGGTATATATTGTCTCGTACACATGGTTTCTGAATCTACCACGTATGCCAAACGACTTAAATTTCTCCGTGTATCCAAGCATCAAGCATTAACACATCCTAGATACTTTTCGCTGGCTTGGCAATTTGCAAATACACTTTTGTAGCTTATCCGTATAAGGCGAGAGGTCAGTCAGTACCTAACTCCATGCTCAGCTATGTGATATCCTTGAGCTGACAATATATAGGTAACCTTAGCTAGGTAGGTAACAAATTGCAGAAATAATAGCATTGATCATGAGCTACGAACGCAAGATTAGAAGCGTAAGTGATGCGTTATATAAAGTTGCATCCTTGAGCAGCTGAAAATTTCAAAGTGGCTTGAACTATATTTATGTTCCGAGGAAATTCCTAGAGATTCTCGCTTGATGGAAGAAGAACATTGAGATATTAAGTTGTATGATTTCATAGAAATGCTTCCACTCTTTCTCAGATGTGATGAATATTTCCATAATAATAATCATCCAAGTATTGCAGTACGTACTCGATCGACGAGCACAAAACCCCTTGGCGTACGTCACAATCCCACCCCCACATTCAACGACACCTCCACAAGAATCTACCCAATCACAAACCCCAATCCCGTCATTTCCCCTCCCCCACTAACCGTTTTCATAAAACAAGCCCAAGCAACGACGAAACCAAGCTTCATCAGCTTGGTTTCAATGTTATACTCGTAACCTTATCAAAGGAAAGGAGGAACGAAAGAAAGAAGGAAGGAAAGAAAGAAGGAAAGAACCAAGGCACAAATATGATAGAACCTTAACCTTACGCACTAGTGAAAATGGCGTCGTGGCGTAGATTAATAGAGAGAGGGAGAGATGGAGAGGTATAAAAGGTTCTCAGTAACCTATTTCTCTCTCTCGATCTTTCTGTTTCCTTTTCTGATACAATAACCTTATCAATAACTACTCTACTCCAGTTAGTTAATCTCACAATTATACTAAACAATCAACCAAACAACCAAAACACCACAATGGATTTCGTAAACAAAGCCAAAGACGCCATCAAAAGCAGCTCATCTGGAAGCACCGGGACAACCAACACCAACACCAACACCAACACAGCCAGCGGAGCCGGAAAAGAAGATTACGGCGACAAAGGTAATTAAATTATATATCCTCCCCCTCTCCCCTCTCCCCGAAACCCCTCCATATCCAAACAACCTTCCCTTCCTCTCCTCTCCTCGCACATATTCCCAAACCTATAACAAATTACATACATAACTAACCCCTACCCCCCCAACCCCAGGTCTCAGTTTCCTCGAGAAAAAAACAGGTCATACACTATCCCGAGATCAAAATGAGAAGATCACAGATGGAGCGAGGAATTTATATGAGAAGCAGACTGGGTATGTTTTTTCTCTCCAATACATTCAATGGTTTATTACTTTTTGGGGGATGTTCCTTTGGCTAATGAATGAATGAATGGTCTTGATATATAGATCGAAGGTTAATTCCAAGTTTTCTAATTAATTCTAATTAATTGGGGAGTGGGTGGGGTGGGGTTTGTGATGGAGAGAGGGATGGTTTTTTATACTTTCGTAACTTACTTACTTACCTATGATGGGTGGTTGGTTTGGAGATAGTTGCGATGGGGTGGGATGGGATGGGATGATTGGATTTTTTTGGGTTCGGTTATGCGTCATGAGGATTTAATGAAAATGAAAATGAAAATGAACATGAAAATGAAATAAAAACGAAAATGATATCAAACATGACTGTCTGTGGTTTTATTGCGAAGACTAATGCGACTGCTGCAATACTTGTGTGGTGCGCAGCTATGAGAACGAGATTTATCTGAAGCCAGAATCATTATACTCAATATGCATTTTAGTAATTATACTTGTATATCCTGCATATCCTTCTGAACACAATACTTGGAGAAATGCGAATCACGATCTCAAAAATCCCCAATCTAAACTCCAAAGCCTGATCCAATTATCATGATTATCATGATTATCATTTTACTCATCACGAACTTTGGCACAGAATGACATATATCGTTCACAGATAAAGTATTTGATATATGAAATAGATTGCCATATCATATCATATTGTAATCTGAAACATCTGGTGTATTCGACCTTTCACTACCCCAATTCATTCAACTCGAATTAATTTCATCATCTTCAACACCATCCCGCCCTATTAGCTCTATCATACTCTTGCTGATTATACTTCTCCCAATCGTGCAGAATATGTTGTCCTTCACCTGGGCGTGCATCCCTGAGCTTAATACCAGTAAACCTCACAAAACCATCCTGATGCCCCACGTCCCTTCAACCTTATTCCCACCATTTGAGAATGTCATCTTATAGAGTTCAGAACCTGATCTTAATTGAATGATATCCTGGATATCTTTTCCCCTCCATCTATAACATCTTGTAGGATCTTCGGCGGATATTCGTCATTGGTATCGAGGATATATTGATCTCGATGATCATCCCGAGCGCTGCGCATAGATGAGAAACGGATTATACCTTCCCATTCTTGAAAGCAAAGACGTCCGTGCATCTCCGTACCATTTCGATGGAGTTCATTGCTGGAAAATATTTGGAGAATGTAAGGGTCACGATATCCATAATTACGTCGCAGATCACGACATTCGATTTTCCAATGTCCCGTAACGTCCCATGGTCCTCGTTAACATCGGCATAGTCCTCGCCCTCAACCTCATTATCCTCAGCATTCTCATCCTCATCCTCTTCACCCTCGTCTTCGCCAGCATCAGCGTAACCCAATCTATGCCGATTAACCTCTGCAATTAGTGAATCCGCTCCCTTCGTTGATATTTGTCCAATCTCAGCTTCTCACACCCAATTCTGTTAACCTAGATCGGTCTGCAGCGGAGATAGACCCTCCGAGATATGCCGCTATCCTCTTCACACGTTTTATTTCATCTGCACGCGTTTGCTGCAGACGTGATGAAGCTTGTCTAGCAACTCCGGCATGGTTAGAGCTTGAGGAAAATCGAGCTTGAGCATTTGCACGTTGCCTAGCTTCTTCAGTAACCCCAACAGATGGAACTTCCTCATCCTCATCCCCATCCCCATCCTGCGCACGTCGCTTACGTGTGCCCGAACAAGCGTGGGATGGTTGACTTGGCCATCCAGCCTCAAGGTTAAGCGCATTCAATTTATCAGCTGCTAAATTGTTCTTTTTTGAGCCGATAACCATAATTTCTGATATCGATGTTGAATGAAATAGACCAAACATACTGGCCGCGTGATGTAGACCAGCTCTGTAGCCACCATCCAGACCCTTCAGTTCGATTGGAGGACCACCTTCGTCAACTTCGTTTTCGTTGCAAAAGAGCTCATACAAGAATGTGTTAGGATCATTTTCCCCCAGCCTTATATTGATAGTTCGGTTTGCCCGTTTATATTTTAGAGCTCGTTGCTGAATTTAACGTTCAGATCGTCTTTGAGCCTCAAGTTGAGCTTCTCGTTCGAGTTCTTGCCTTTCGAATTCCTTCTCGTGGTATACACGTGCCAATGCTTCGCAGCCTAGCTTCACAGCAATGTCCGTTTCATCAGTATCAGCATTAACCAAACGTATTTTGAGAGAAGTAGTGTCACTGCCTCTGGGTGACAAGCCTCGAAATGCAAGTTGGGCCTTCCAGTACTCGACTGGTTCGTGGCGGTCGCGACTATTAAAGGGTGGTATTGACATTGTATAACCAAAACATGAGAACTGACGACCTCCATAGCGATAATTTATGTTGTTGATGATTTCAAAGAAACCAGGGCCATCTGGATCACAAGATTCCTTCATGTTGATTTAGTATGAGGGATTAGATGCAAGATGGGAATGTGAAGATGTACAAATGTGTAGTCTTGTATTGATTAATTTAGAGTAATAGATGGTAAGTAATCAGCACCGTATGCAAACGAAACCTGCTCCATCTTCATTTCACCAAGAAGCAAACGAAATGGGAAACGAAATGAATGGCGGGGTAACGCGTCGAGTTTGAAATAAAAACGCCCAAATTTTCACGGGTTCACGTGATTGTGATCTACCCATGGAACTGGAACTGGTATTAGACAATGTAACTTTCTCAGGTAAGAATTTGGGCTCAAAAGCAAAGTCGAATGATCTTCGAAAAGACGTATGAAATCTTTGGCTTGAGATCAATGTCAAGGTTCCCTTCCAAGCTTGGTGGTCCTTCCGATGCCAGTAGCCGTACCAGCGGTTCCATTGCTTTGGATTAAGGTATAAAGCTCGACCTCTTGGTTATTCGTATGCTTTGAACGATGAAACGATACATACGCTGCCCTCATTTTGGTTTGAATATATGAAGCAATAAAGTCAAAGACATGATAGTCAGTATAAAGCATCTTCGATCATTCTTCAAATGGGAATGGATGCTCGATGTGCTGTTGATTCAATGAATTTAAAGGTTGTGGTGGTGCACTTAAATCCGATGATGAGCGTCGACACATGATCTCGCCGCTAACCTTATAGATGTTCCTCATTCTTGTGGAATCAATCAATGATTCAACAACCTCTTCTCATACAAGAAGGAATACTCGACGAAATCTATAATTCTTTTCTTAATTGTGAATGTTTCTACAAGTATCAAGGTATTAATATTTTATCCGTCCCAAGCGCCCCATTTACTACTCAAACCAAGGAGGGATCCGAATGAATTGAATTCATTTTCATTTCAAAGACAACCTTCCAAATTAGTGACAATACATACAGTCCAGTGCGACCATGTCATAATGTCACAATGTCACAATGCCATCAATCATCCATATCCAACATCCAACATCATCAACATCATCAACATCATCAAAAACCTCAAGATTTCTTTTCCGTGTTCGTCCGATGCATCTTACTCTCTTTTACAAATACTTTTCTCATTGGTTACCCCTAATCATTCTAATTTATCATGGGATCTCTTCTTCTCGTGTATATTATCACTTAGGGGAAACTGTGGGAAGGAACTTCCTTTAAGTGTTAGACGCGTCGCGAATACCTGCGCTTAGGGGTCAAGAAGTGAAAAATTAGGTGAGAAGAACTCTTTGAAAGTCCGTAAGCTAATCTTGGAAAGCCCACCAATTACTTGATGAAAAGGTAGCGTCGTTTGAGAGTATGTGAGGATGTGAGATATTTGTTTTTTTTACAAATACCTCGAGATTTCCTTTCCTTCTTCATTTTCACTTCATTTCAATTTTATCTTCTGTTGATTCACCGAAAAGTGGTTATTTACCATATCCATCCCGATCTACCTAGTACCTACAACCATCCCCACCACTAACACCCCGCTATCAATAACTATCAACAACTAAATCGGAAAATCCGCGCACTACTAAACCAAAAATAACAACATCTTGTTTTGCACCCAAATAACACGTCTCAAAATGACTACCACATCAATGATTCAACCAAAATTCTTGTCGAAAGGCGACCAACTTGGTGTCGTTGCCGTCGGATTCTCTGGTGGACAAGTAAGCTACCAACCCTCTGAATCTCTCTCACAAAATTACCAACTAATCTAACAAACACAGTGCAAACCAGGAGTTGATGCAGCACCTTCAGCACTCATCAAAAGTGGTCTACTTACTCAACTCGAAGAGGAATTAGGATACAAACTTCACCATGATAACACCGTTCATTCTTATAAGGAATTAATCCCTTCTGAAGATCCAGACCACCGAAAAATGAAGAACCCACGCGCAGTTTCTGCCGTTACACAGAGGCTTTCTGAACAAGTTTATGAACATGCCAAAGAAGGACGTTGCGTTTTGACTCTGGGTGGTGATCATTCTATTGCTATTGGTTCAGTTTCCGGAACTGCAAAAGCAATCCGTGAGCGGTTAGGAAGAGAGATGGCATTGATTTGGGTTGATGCACATGCCGATATCAATACACCAGAAACCTCCGACTCTGGAAATGTTCACGGAATGCCAGTCGCATTTTTAACGCGCCTTGCTCAAGAAGAAAAACCTGAAATGTTTGGATGGTTAAAGGATGAACATATGGTTAGCGTAAAGAAGGTTGTTTATATTGGCTTGAGAGATGTGGACAGAGGGGAGAAGAAGATCCTCCGCGAAAATGGCATCAAAGCATTCAGCATGCATGACATTGATAGGTTTGTGTTCCTGTAGCACTAATCCACTTTGCACGCCCACTAATTCTCAAATCCAGACACGGTATTGGCAAAGTCATGGAAATGGCTCTCGGTCATATCGGTAACGATACTCCAATCCATCTTTCTTTCGACGTTGATGCTCTCGACCCCACCTACGCCCCTTCTACTGGTACTCCTGTTCGTGGAGGTTTGACTTTAAGAGAAGGAGACTATATTGCTGAATGCGTTCACGAGACTGGTTCTTTGATCGCAATGGATTTGGTAGAGGTCAACCCAACACTTGAACCTGGTATCAATGATATTGGAGCGCATGAAACCGTTAGAGCTGGGTGCTCATTGGTTAGATGCGCTTTGGGTGAAAGCTTGCTATGAACGGTGTTTTGAATATCGGAAATAGATACAAATGAGATATTGGAAAATATACCCTTAGATCGAGGTTGGCTATTTTATACTTTTGGTATTGGATTGCTTTGGTAGCCTTAAGACGATGGGGAATTAGTCTATCATTTACGGTTATACTTCGTAAGTTATTCACGATAGAGGGGTAGGCAGGTGGATCATTTCACTTTCACATGTTAAGATAGATGAACAAATCATGGCCGAAATCATATAAAAACATATCAAACCTTCCCCGCACCTAGTAAGAATATACAAGTTCACCGCCGAGTGAGAAAGTCATCGTCATCACCGCCGACATGTCTCTTTCGAAGAAATGCCCCAATTTCAAGCATCCAGTCTCCAGTATTTACGATGCTGACTACCTAAGTACTACTAGCCTCATAATTTTTTAGGCTTTTGGTGTGATGCGCTGTGTTGCTTTATATTGTGTCGTCATCCCAGCTTTCCCAGCCCCCAGTCACCGCTAGGCGCCCAATTATATTATCACACGGCAAAAAAATATGACAAACCAATGCAGGTCCCTCTATTCTACTTTTCCTTCTTCTCGTTCTTTTTCTGTCCCTTTTAGATATTCCTCCTGCAATACTCTATACTTTTCTACATCCTCATCTGGAGAATAGCGATGATAACGCACTGTACTGTTTCCTCGCGATCAATCAATCAATCACCACCAGCTAGCTAGCTACCCAAGTACCACCAAAAAAGTAAAACAGGCACATAAATCTTCCGCTGCACGCACGTCCCCTGGTTCAAGTGGTACATACAATCAATCCATCTTATCGAACGAGTGGAATTGAATCCTTCGAGTCCGACTGGAGGATTTTTTTACAAAAGGATATCGACACTTCAGCGAAAGGAACGACAACTCAACATTCAAGCGCGTTTTACGTTTTACGTGGACAAGTTATCGTACGGGGTTTTTTGGGGCAGGGGATTTATTTGTGAGGGTGATTTTGGTAGGGTTGTGTGAGGGAGGGATAGGTATAGATAGATAGATATTGCGGACTTCGCAAGGTTTATCTAGAGGTGAAAAAAGAGGGATTTGTTATCGAAGACTTTTATACGCGCTGAGAATCCTAGGCTGAGAACGAAGGGGGAATACACAATTGAGGTTTGAGTCTTTTGGATTTGAGTTTATAAGTCTTTGGAATTTGTTAGACGATACGGCAGATAAGAAGCTAGAGGAATATAAGAAAGGCCAGAGGAAATAAGAAGGAATTGGCTTGGAATCATTTTGTCTGCCCATTTCGACAAACATCAATACCCTACCCCCAATTATCCACCATACCACACTTCACAAAAATGGTTTCAACACTTTCCTCCTCCTCAATCGGAATCCGCCAACGCTCCGTCCTGAATCGAAACCACACCAAATACCACTGGCCAGCCGGTCAACTAAATTTCTGGATTTTCTTCATGCTAATAGCATCCTCCACCATCCTCGGAATATCCGCCTACTTCCTCTCGGTCCAAAACCAATTACATCTGGGCGTCCCCTGGTATTTCCCCTACTGGATAGTATCTGCCGCTCTCGGAGTCCTCTTCATAATAGCCATGCTATGGTTAATATCGCAACGACAATTATTACCCGGAATCGTCATCCTGGGCACTTTCATCCTGTTTGTGTTATGGTTGGTTGGACTGATCGTGTGGAGTATCGAACTTTGGGGTCCGTCGGGTAGCGTTAATGGGAATTGTAATTTGTATGTTACGGCGAATCCGCAGACGGGTGCCAGTACAGCGACGTTGGCGTGGTTGTTGCAGCATAGTATTTGTCAGAGTTGGATTGCGGCGTGGGCGTTTATGTTGATTGGGGTTATATTTTTGTTTTGGATGTTGATTATGAGTTATCAGGTTTATAGGATGGATAATTGATAGGTGGGGAGGTAGGAAAGTGGGGAAAGGAGATGAGGGTTTGAATAAGGGATGATAGATTTTGGAGGGTTGGCTTAATGGATTGGGAATGGATGGGACTTGGGATTGGGTTTGGAAATCCATGGATGGATGGATGGATCTATCATTATGGGAGGGACATGGATGATATGTATGAGGTATTATTTATCAACGCGAAAGATGAGAAACGAGAAATGCATCACATGTGGCGTTTTGGGAATTAGGAATTAGCAATGACATGGAATTATTTATTATCAAATTCAAATCAAAAATAAAATTATATTCAAATCTCGGACTTCATTTTTATAATTTATATGCACTATAAGATCGTATCATACATCGTACAAAGGCTAGCGGCGGAATGGGTGCTGTGAATCAAGTGAATAGGAGAGAGTCTCGGTTAATAAAGTTTGTTTTCCGAGTAATCTTATACTGTTTTGAACTTGTATGTAGAGCCTCAGAACGAGATATATTGAATAATGGTAAAATTCTGAATTGAAATATTCCATCATAATAAAAAAGATGCCATGCCATGAATCCATAACTCACTCAATATTTCCCCGGAACCGTCATTGCAAGACGATCTAATATATATCTCCCAGCAGTAATCGGAGGATATTTCGAAGGATTATCCTCACTCACACAAGACGACAAAGTTTCAACCATCTCATCATAATTGATAGAAAAGAATAGAGGAACCGAGTATCGAGTCTTAGCAGTCCTATTGACAACTCGATGAATAGTACTCTTATAAAGCCCATTGGTCCAACGCATCAGAAAGTCTGCAACGTTTACTACGATTCCTCCTTCAATGGGTTCTGCGCTTACCCATTTTCCATCTGGACTGAGGACTTCTAGACCGGGTGTTTCGTCTTGGAGGAGGAGGGTGAAACATTCATAGTCTGAGTGGGCGCCAAGACCAAGCTCTTCTTCTTCTTCTTCTTCGTTTAGAGATGATAGGGGCTTGGGGTTTGAACTTGGTCGGTATTTTATTAATCTTCCTATTCCTCCTGGGTGAGTAACTAGTGGATCGAAGTAATCCTCAGGAAGTGATAGAGATAAGGCGAATAGACGGAAGAGGTGCTTGCATAATTGTAATATCTAGGTCAAATCATTAGAAAAGGTAAGATCTCAGTATTGTGGAAGTGAATCAGCCTACCCTGCCATAATAATCCGCAATGCCCTCATAGAATCCAGGAATTTCAGATTCATTCGGCCATTGATTTTTACCACCAGCAGATGTCCCATCAAGTTCTACATATTTTCCATCTCCACCAGTAGGATCTAAACCATACTCATAACCCCAATTAAAAGCCTCCTTTGTTTCTTTTGTTGTGAATTCATTCACAGATGAATAACTAGCAGGTTCATATCCTCTGAATTGATCCGAATTCTGGACATGAATGGCATCTTTTGAGGATTGAGGTAATTCGCTGAAAAAGCGTTCGCAAAGCTTAAATACTTCATCACAAATACTCTTTGGAATTCCATGACCGGTGATGTAGAAGAATCCTACCGTTGTACATGCTTCATTGATTTTTTTGGCAACTTCTTGACGTTCGGCTAAGGATGATGAGAATGATGGGGTTAAATCGATGATGGGAAGTGATTGGAATGAAGGAGGGCCAGATGTATCAGCAAGACGAGATTGTAGATAATCTTGAATTTCTTGTGCAGCACGACGTGAATTGTCGTCGACAGTATTTCCCATTTTCGAAGTACTAGTTGCTGCCATGATGTTTGGATTTGAAATTGTCGTAATTGTTGAGTTGATCGGAATTCTGTTGCGGATAGAATAGTATCGACCAAGGTGGGCGGGGTTGTTATCGTATCCTTATCAAGAACGTGGTGCAGGTCATGACAAACGGGAACTGTGCGAAGAGTTGCACATCGGATGAGTCCTCAAATCATAAACGAATATGAGTCTTTAAAGCACATAAGCAATGGCAGAGGTAACTTTTCGATGTAGGATATTCTTGGATGGATTGACACGTGACGGCGATTACAGTCGTGTATGTGTTTGGCAGGAAAGCGCATTCACTTTTCCGATTGAGATTTGGTCGTCCTTCATTCTGATTGTTAGTTTGCCAAAATTCAAGATCAATCTTGATCCATGATTGGATGCTTTCAACATTGTCGGAAGATCTTACAATTGTTGTCATACAACCATACAACCATACAAGCTCATCAATCTAACAATCTAACAATCCCGTCAGCATGACTTATTATTCAGGAGCACCTGGGGAAGATTGTAGCATGTCAGCCGACCAGGAAGGTACGTCGTGTTGTCGCTATCTTGTTTCTTCAGATCATTCTGACTTTTCTCCATGAAAGCTGCCAGCGAAGCTCCAAGACGTAGTGAGGAAGCAACTGATGATGGCAAATATTTTATGGACATTGACAAACAACAGGTATATGTGCGCTATCCTTGGTTATTATCAATGATCTAAATGGGACCCATCAAGACAAGGAAGCGCAAGAGAGACTCCGAGAGCTCATCAAATCACACAAACCGAAAAACATCTAGGGAATCGACCCCCTCCCGAAATGGGTACCTGCGCACAGCCGGAGCGACCTCGAGAAGGCGAAATTACACCTTTCTATGCTCGGATCGATTATCATACGGAGGACTCACGACCAGTCGGGAAAACAATCCGTGACACTTGGATTGACTTCTGGAGGCATAATGGAACCTGGCCGACAACAGAACACGACAAAGCAATGAATTACGTTCAAAGTTCCGTAGATGATGTGCTACCGAAAAAATTGTCAAATGCGTGTATCGGCTCCGAAACACTAACAGTGTTCGACCAGTCACCACGGGAGCAGAAGAGAGCTCCATACAGACATCCTTATTACTAGTTCAACTTCGTGAGCGAGGCAGCTTCATGGAAAAGTATGAGAGAATCAGCGCAGAGAGTCAAAAACTCTTTCAAAAGCTTCTAGGCTCGTTTTTAAGTTCTCCGCAGTCTCCGCCAAAAGGTACACTCTTCGAGGATAAATTTTTCGATTCTACTTTGGCATCGATCCGAGGTAAAAACGAGACTAGGGTAATCCGCGACATCGGTCAGCTGATCGTACCCTCTGCAGAAACTTTAGCAATCCGCGGTGCTACACATCTAAATATTCTTCGAGAGACTACCAATGCCCGTTGGGATAACGCCATCCCTTTCTACGGCCCACTCCCGCAACCAGATTACAGCCTTGGTTTCAAAAGAGGAGCATTCACTCCGGAACAACTACAAAAGCTTCAGCCCTTTGTTGGAAGCCACTTGGAAGATTGCTCTTAATTCGCTGCCACGCATGATATGTACTTTCCATTTTTAACATGCGAAGTGGAATGTGAAAATTCTTCCCTTGATATAGCTGATAGACAAAACGCTCATAGCCAAACCATTTTATTGAAGGGTCTATTCCATCTGTTCCGTCTTGTAGGCAGGGAGAGCGAGCTTCACGGTATACCCAACGGCTTTTCATTCTCGCATAGTGATGTAAATGTGCAGATCTTGGCGCATTATCTAGTCATCACTGATGAGAAGAAACCAGAATACTACCAGGAACCAATTGCCAAGTTCGGTATTAGAAAAACAGTACTAGGGGATCACCGATGGGTTGCATGGACTGTTACGAGGAATATTCTCGACCTATGGGTTCAAGATCATTTCAAATTGATCTGTTCTGCTATTGATATGCTACCGGTCAACTTGAATTTTCTATCAGAACCTCAACCAAGAGATGTAGACTTGATCTCTTCACACTCAAGGATTGGCCCAGCATCTTGAAGATTCCAACTCAAATGGAAAACTAGTTGCGCCGAATAGCCAGCCAAGCGTTCAGCAAATCAGTCAGCACAACGGTTCAAATCAGGCACTATTGGTTCTAAGAAGTAGTGTTGCACTAGATGTTCAGCCAGTTTCTATTGCACATCCTTCAAGCGAGACTGAGCCAAATTATCTAGAGCAATACCTGTGTACTACGCGATTGTTAGAAAGGTGTATTGATGGGGAAGTACTCGGTTTAAGCATTAGCCCAACCTTCACTATTCTTTCAGAGTATGTTATATTCAGAGGCCTCTATGTATCAATTCTGGCCTATAAAACCTACAGAGTTGCGCATCATTACATTTGCGAGTGTTGCTCATATCGGAAATCTAACTTAGCCCACGTGGAGAGCATGTTGGAGGTGAAACTAGTCAGCCGCTCGTTGATACACTCATAAAGAAAGAGCAAGAATAAAAGCAATAGATAATGTCTAGTTTGGAGTAAAGTATTGATAGCAAATTTTGTTCCAATGGATGAGAGTCCCTTAACCAAGGGGCATATTAATCGTAATGTCATTATACTCAAAACATCCCTAACGCCCACGTGCCAATCTGCAAACCACTATTCAAATGCACATCCCAAACTCCACCAAAACCGCATCAGCTCTCACACAATCACGCCAAGCTAGCCGGTCATGCAAAAGGAAGTTCCTTTGGAATCCCATAATCATCACAACTTGAGAATCTCCATGCCCCCTTCAACTTAGGAATATATATCCAGCGAAATATCAACCCCACAAACCAAGGAAATGGTGGAAATCTCGGACCATGAATGCCAGATTCGTATGTCACATCAGAATTCGTGATTAAGAACGGGACATCTCGCACCTAGTAAAATATCAGCTGAGTTCAATTTCTGATGCCCAAAATGTCAAATCATACTTTGTCTGCATGTTTCTTAGAATATTGAGCCATTGCTTTACCGCATTTCTCCCAATTAATCGACGCATCTTTTTCAAGATCTTCCAAAACTGCAATCTCGTGGTGCAAATGATTTTCAAGATCAGTTCCGAAGACATCAATCAGCTCCGTCAACTTCAATCCATCATAAGGCTTCGCATTATCCTTCACCCCCGAAACATATAGATCGAAAGCGAACAAGCCCGGAAGAAATTTCTCATGCTCCGTATGATTAGCGATGAACACACCATCTCGCGAACTTTGCTCATCGAGCATTTTGAAATACACAGTCTCCTCAGCTGCATGATGCGAATGAAGATTCGAAGACCAAGCATCGCAAAATTTCATAAAATCTGAAATATCGCTGGTTTCTTTCACATTGGCCGCTTGGAGGTAAATGCTGTTCAGACCTCTCAAGAGGATGTTGTGGACCAAGGCCATTTCGGACGCATTACGAGAGGCTGCTAATTCGGGTTTTCCCTGTTTTTATGTGAGTTTTTGATCTCGCTGTCGTATCTTTTGGGGATATCATATATATATATATATACCTCTAAAGATGCTCTTGGGGTGGAGAGTAATTTGAAAGGGCCATCTGCCCATTTTTTGGTGGACTCCATGACAACTATGTTATGGTATAAAGAATATGATGATTTCGAAAGTTCGATTCATGGTAGGTGAATTATATATTAGATATATACATGCCTACGGAGTAATAGTAGGTAAATAAATTCCCCGCTCATTCCACATAGCAGCTGATTTGTGGCGTGATTGCAAGCGAGATAAACATATGTTCGCGACAGCCTTGTCAAACCTACTGGTTACCTTTACATGAACTTGGCTTTTTCAAACGACTTTTATGGATTGTCTTTTCATTAATGGATTTGGTAAGTGTTGTTGTGGTGGCTTTTGATGTTTCTGTTGCTGCTCACGTGCACTTTGCATTTGGTCGTGGTGAAGCTTCTAGATCTGATACCAATGTATTTTCTGTACAGGCAGTGTGAAGTATATCTTGACTCTTAAGATTATTAAGAGCAGATCACGCTGAATTATTGGCGCGAGTAGCTCGTGAATATGTGACCACCACTCGATCTATCATTCCTGTTGCTCTTTCTTACCAGGGATGAAAGAATTGATACATTGATCCATGGGTACAGTCAGAACTGGTGCTTTTTGTAAAAGACGCATTATGAAGTAACGCGGTATCTGGATCTTTCCCATGGCGGACATCAATTTTCAATGCTAGTTAGCCAGGAGATCGTGATCGAGAATATGAAAGAGCCATACCGTTTGAAGTACTCATTATTCTACTACTATGCGGGAAAGCTATCCACCAATTATATTTAGTGTCACCAGAGATAGATTAATCTGCGCCTGCATACTCCAAGCATCTGATTCCCAGCCACTATAACACAGACGAAGCTTAAGAAACATTAGATGACGAAGAGGATAATCTCATCTTGTACGGAAATAGCCAAACTAATTATACCTGTAAAACCAGGTGATTCCTGGATCTGGAAACTCTCATCTACTTCCCCCATATTGCTAGCAAAATCTTTCCCATAATTACAAGACATGGTGGTAATAATACTCCGCCATATTTTCTAGTAGTAGAAGTGCAGAGATTCAGGAGTTCGTAGATTTGAGAGTGGAAGAGAGAATATCCAAGATTTGAGCATCTAGTAGCCAATAAAATCATTGTAAGCTGCGTGTATTAATATCAAAAAGAAATTGTGAGAATCAGATGCCAATTTAAATGAACTTCAAACTACTAAACTGATATTTGGTCGAAGCAGACTATCCAAAGGCCTAGACGGGTAAAGTTTTCGAGGTAGGGTTTCCGAGATGAAGTCATGTACAGGATGCACGATGCGAAGCTTTTGCTAAATACCATTTGTCTATTAATCAGTAATCTATAAACCAATGAATATTTTTAACATACAGATGGGGAGAATAAAGGCATATCGGCGACCTTCCTCTTCTGTTTATTGCATATATAGGATCATCTTAAGTCTGGCCAGGGATTCTAAAGCTTTTGTTCATCTTGACTTGTAATAAAATGCTGCTGTGAGTTAATAGAGTTAGAGGTATTACTTCAACTTATGGAACTCAAACACGATTTTTCTGTGCTCGATTGTATTTGTCTGATGAGAGGCAAGATATTATAATGTCTACATTCATGTGAGTCAAACTCCAGCTATACATCAACTTGGTATCAAGGAAAAACAGGCAAGTCAGAGAGATTGATATTGATTGAATTCTGAATAGAAATATAGTCATGGCCCTTCCAGCAAATCGTCCTCTAGATTGTCTGGATCATGGACCATACTTCCACTTTTAGTCATTAATTCAAATCTACTCGGGCGAAATGGCCATTTCATCCATGCCTCCATAATCTCCTTTAGCATTTCCGTCGTCAGGCATCTCGCCGACAAATGTTTCAGGTCAAACGATCCTCCTTTTGAAGGGTCGGTTAAAGAGGGACATTTGTCCGCTATGAATTCCAGCGCGCCAGGCCATAAGTTCTCCAAAGATTCATAGACTGTGTCGGCCGGGTGTGCAAAAATAGAACCAATTATGTATTCGAAGACATCATAGTTCTGGGGATAATCTTGACGGAGGATAGGCCAAAGAGCTTGTGGCTCAATGTCCAAAAGGCACAATTCGGTGTGCGGTCTGAATTCTTTTGCATATACTTTGAGGGGCTCCACCTCTCTCTTTTCGAATTCCATACGAATGCGCGCACCATCGAGTCGGACAGTATAGATCTTAAAGGCAGCTAAAGGAAGATTTGCAATTTTATCCTCATACGTCTTGATCATTGCCTTTATTTCATGCTTAGACTTCTCTATGTCCCCCAAACTCGAATCTTCTTTCATGATTTTACTATGGAGCTCGTTGATGTTGTTGTGATCATTGATGAGTTGTTCCGTCAGCAGTCCATGAATATTGATGACTCGTTTCTTTGATTTCAAAAAGATATAACGTGCATATTCCTCGGTGTAGTTTCTTTTCTCCTTTCCTGGCTTGGAGTTTTTGACGTTCTCAACTGGGTTCTCCTCAACGGCTTTCTCCTCATATTGATTCAGTGTTCCCTCGTCCCATCGCCTTTGCAGATCCTCATATTCATCTATCCAACCTCTTCTGAAACGTTCAAAATCTTCACTTTTCACCCGATGCCCACCTGTAGCAAGTGATTGCCTGGCTGCTACCTCCATTGGTCCTTGCCTATGCTTGGGAGTTGTTATGCCCATTTTATCCATGTTACGGACGACGTCTATCGACTTATTCAATGCAAACTCAGAATCTCTCACAAATCGATGATTGTCTACAGTTGAACTCGCGATTTCTCGAATATACTTTGTGGTTATTTGGGCTTCCACGGCATTTTTGCGCATTTGTGCGATGTGACGTGTTAACCATGATGTTTTCTCTACATCAGGAATCCATATCAGCATACGTATGAGACCATATTCATGGAATAAGGCATGCGATCTTGCTGCGGCAAGAAGTTGATACATGACTAGTTGTGACATGGACTCAAATCCGCGATACTTTTTTCTGGGGTGATGGGCAAGATTCGCAATCACGAGAAGGGTACTGTTTGGCTCGTTGATCTTCGGATCATCTGGTGAAAGTTTTACCTGGTGTGGTAAAAATTCCGGAGTGGTAACATGCCTGAGATGTTCCCAGACGGTTCCAGACTTCGGTATGTGCCGATAAGTAGAACCTTCCGCATCAAGGAGTGGTTGAAGATAGGGAAGATATTTCTTGGCATCAGGTTCCATGAGGAGATGTGTTCGCGGTTTAAGCAAGTCGTGAATTTTAGATGACCAAATTCCTAAGCCTGGATTTATGTCGATAATGTCGCAGCCAGTGTGCTTTAAAAGCGATGAGCCAAAACGATCGATAATGTCATCTAGAATAGATTAATAAATGAAAATCAATAGAGAGAAAATAATGGTACTTACCACACAGTGCCTCGTTGAGGATGTTTACACGTGTTCTATCTCCCATGGCTGAACCCGCTAGGTGAGCTTTTGAGAGGTATGTTCTAAGGGCGGGAGAGATCTTTATGAACTCTTCTCTATTTGCCTCTACATCATCTTCCTATTCATCAGTCAGCAGTTTTTTACACAGATTCATCTTCTCCTTACTGGTTCTTCTTCTGCTTCCTCTTCAAATTCTGGCTCAAAATCAATCGCTTGTTCAGGCCGATCTTGTTTTAGCTTTACTATTTCAACTGCGGTTCCATCTTTTCCTTCAAGGCTTCCTTCAGCAAGCTTTTTACTTCTGCGCTTCACCGGTTTCGCTGCCGTTTCATCCTGTCCTTCCACGCTCGCATCATTGACAAGCTTTTTGCGCCTACGCTTTACTGGCTCCATTGCCGGAGCATCCTCTCCTTCAACGCTTTCGTCATTGATAAGCTTTTTACTTCTGCGCTTCACCGGTTTCGCTGCCGTCTCATCCTGTCCTTCCACGCTTGCATCATTGACAAGCTTTTTGCGCCTACGCTTTACTGGCTCCATTGCCGGAGCATCCTCTCCTTCAACGCTTTCGTCATTGGCAAGCTTTTTGCGCCTACGCTTCACCGGTTTTACAGCCGACTCATCTTCTCCTTCAACACCTTCCGAGGTCACAGACTTCCTACCCTCAGATTTCTTTGCTTTTACCAGCGATGCATCTGTTTCTTCAACAGTTTTGGAAGTAACGGTCTTCCGGCGCGTTCGCTTGGCTGGAGGATCCTCATCAGTTGATGTTAAAATATCTGAAGACTTGGATGTTTTAGGTAGACTTAAACTTGATGAACAATGAATTTGTCGAAGGCGAGAATGTTGTAAAATGACTGGACATTTAAGTAGATTGGATCTACACGAACGTGAATAAATGCGAAACATCAATATCTATGATTGGTTTGAGGATCAATGAGAGAATGACAGTTGAGAAACTTCTGAATTGAGAGAATGTCTCCAAATCATATAATGTACAAATGTAGTGAAAGTGTTGATCGTTCCTCTAGTTGATGAGAATAAATATTAGCCTTGCGCATTGGGGAGCGAAAAGTTTCTTGTTGAAGTTAGGCAAGGCTGAAAGAAAAGAAAAAGCTCAAATGATTGATGAACGTGCAATTAAATTAGTTGATTGGTTGGTGGCCTGACCAGTGACTAGTGTGTGGCTCGTGTGTTTCAAGCTGCGAGGCTGCAAGGCTGTAGGTTTATCTCAGATCTGCCGTGTTTTTCATTCACCGCCTTGGTCTCTTGCACAGCTTACATTGGGCACCTTGAGATCTAAACCTCCCTTGAACAAAGAGTGATGTGATGGGGAAAATCATCCTTAAGACAGACATAACAACAAGACCGACAACATCCGACAAGGCAACCGGATTAAATGAAAAACTATTACTAACTTCTCTCTATTCCTTTCACCTACTCACAAAATCTATGATCTTGTTGAACATATAGCATTTACCTGAACACTCTCACTATCCAATTGTACTGCGCGCCCAAGGCTTTCATTCGTTTTATTTATACAATCTGCACATCATGGCGGGGTCAGCATTACAGATCTCGAAGCCCATGAGCATCAAAGAGATTTCCGCAAAAGCCTCAGACTTTGAATTTAATCCTACTATCGCCTTAAAATATTGGTTAAGGACAGCCGATACACTCTTAAGAGAGGTTAGTAAAATGCTCAATCACTTTGGAGTTCTTTTGAATGCTGATTTCCACAGGCACATATTTACCAAGCAGAAGACAACGATCAACAAGCCTACCTTTTATTCATGCGATACGCCGCTTTGGTTGCAGAAAAGCTACCAGAGCATCCATTTGCGAAAGACCCAGAAACTAGAAGTGGTTTAAGAGCAGCTCAGAAATCCCTCCCGGATGTTTTAGACAGACTAGAGAAGTTAAAGCCCGGGATAAATGCACGCTACAATAACTGGCAGAGGACGCTGGAAAGAAGGAAAGAAATTCATACAGTACGAGAGAATGATATATTGCGACCATCATCTAGAGCAGATTTGGCTGCTTCCGATCCCGCGATTGCCGGAAATACAACTACTTTAGCGGCTGCGGAGAACGGGGAGCTGGCCGTGAGGTTGGCACATAAAGAAATAAAAAGGAGAAATGCCGTGCGGCGTGCCACAAGGCAAGCAGGTGTTAGCGAAGAAGAAGAGCAGGAGAGACGTACGGCAGGACTGTGGGATGATTGGGAAGCAGCATTATCCAAATCTGGTCGTAATGATGAGGATGATGACATGCGCCGAAATATGGAAGCTTCAAGGAGGAGGTTGGACGGCTCACATGATATTTCGCCCGATGGATTGAGGAGGAGATCTGCAAAACCCCCTTCTCGACCTGCAAGATATGTGCAAACAGCGCCTAGGAATGGTAGCAGCGAATACCGATATCCGTCGATTTCTAAGTCTCAACCTCTCATCATTGATGACTCAAAACCATACCCACCTCCCGATTATCTTCCTCCAAAACCACCTAAAGAAGAAGAGCCTGGGCCGCCAAGTTACGAAACACCTCCACCAATACCTGAAAAACAATCATCACATACGCGCGAGAGCTCATCATCTGAAATGGTCGGCGAAGTTTCAAAATTCACTTTTCGACCCTCCGCATATCTTGAAAATGGTAAACCCCTTCGAACAGTTTTTCTTCCGCCTACATTGCGACGAGAATTCCTTGCCTGCGCAGCCTCAAATACACGAGCGAACCTAGAAACTTGTGGAATGTTATGCGGAACGTTGATATCTAATGCCCTCTTTGTTTCTCGACTCGTTGTTCCAGAACAGAAGAGTACCAGCGATACGTGTGAAACAACTAATGAGGGTGCTTTTTTCGATTACTGTGCATCTGAAGATTTAATGGTTCTAGGATGGATACATACTCATCCTACACAAAGCTGTTTCATGAGTAGTCGAGATTTACATACACATTGCGGATATCAAATCATGATGCCGGAAAGTATTGCAATTGTTTGCGCACCGAGTAAAACTCCTTCGTAAGTAACCATTTCTCTATTTCCCCATTGATGAGGGGCATGTACTGATAGTAAATAGATGGGGAGTCTTCCGTTTAACTGACCCTCCAGGGATGCCAGCTGTTTTAAATTGTAAACAGACTGGACTTTTCCATCCGCATGAAGAAAGAAATATCTATACGGATGCACTTCGACCTGGTCATGTATTTGAGGCAGAAGGGCTAGAATTTCAAGTCGTTGATCAGCGACCAAAGCGGTAATGACATTGATGAGGTCTATAATGATGTCACGAGAATATAGTGATGGTTTTGGTTGTTTGGCAGCGTAGGTGTTTAGGTGGACTATGGTCAAAGATAGATAAAAGCTCTCGATTCGATGATGGAATCATATATCATCTTACAGTAATCATTTCTTGACAAATTTTTTTAATGAATTTCTATGTTTTTTCATGGGCCAATGGGGGTGTACCCCTGAAATCGAACCTTGAGAAGCTTTTATACAACCGAGTTTATAAATAATAATATATAAGCAATGCCTTGTATTCAATATGTACAGCTATCCAATCTGGCTACAAACTAACAGCTGTGCATGCCCCCGTTCACTGATGGAATGGTAAGTGTATACATACTGTTCTATCTGCAAGTTTGATACATACACAGGCTAGGCTCCTATTTTTCACCGATGAATGCTTGTGCAAGCCATGTTGAAACTTAAGAGATCGATGATTCATAGGTAGGGTAAGTTCATTCAAAATGTTCGTGGATATCAATGTCCACTATTCTTTTGATTGCTACCTGCGCGGAGAAGATGTGTATCATCAAATATAATATTATGATATCACATTTAGAAATATTGCTTCTGACTTATTGGTTGATGGGTCAGGATGCTTTTACATCACTCCTCCTCCCGGCTCTGCGTTCTGGCCATGGATCTGGTGATGATGGGAAATTGAAATAGTACGGGCTTATGGAAATTTATTGTCATCAATATTCGTATAGAATTGTGGTATGTATATGTGCATTGTATTACCTAGTTGTTGAGATTTGAAGATAAAACTCAAGATTTGAATTAGTTGGTAGTTGGAGAGTGTGAATTGCGGAAGTAGGGGTATTTAGATCTTTTTTCTTTTTCCGTTTTTGAAGAAGAGGTTGGGGGAAGGGGGGAGGGGAATGATGAATCTAGGAGGAAACTTACTTATTGGAGCTGTAGGGGGTAAAATATAACTCCTGTCTCGCACTCAATTAGCTATAGTCAATCATTCTCGCTAGATCCCTCACCACCGTACAAATCTTCGAAAAAGAGTTTTAGTGTAGAGGTTATTATGCGCTATGCTCTAGTTGTTCTTCTAATTAAGAACGTTGCTTAATATGCACTTGTGTTAATATGTTTATCCATAGATTTCGAAAAGCTCCACGTCATTTTCGTCATGTTGTAACCCTACACCTCTTGCAGATGCAGATGCGATGCAGATGTGATGAAAGATAGATTATCGCCATAAGACCTACTCATCGCTCAGCTGGCAGGATATTTTACTCTTGACATGGTTTGGAGATATGAAAATGGCTGTTGGTATTCATGATTTTTTTCGTGAAAAAAATCTGAGTACTAAAAATGATATTCAAGAAATCGAACATGATATACTGGAACATGATATACTGGAATACTTGCTCATACATGCAACTCGATTTCCGGATGATATAGTATCTGTTAAATGGAGAGGGTTTTCTCATTCGAATTTATAGATTGATACACGCCTTCAGTACAGTAAATTATAATACTACCGAAAAGGCATGCATCATTAAACACTAAAGCATTTCGCGTCCTATGAGCAAATAAATCCTGCTGAAGATGTGATTATAGTTCAACTAATTGAAAAATACATTTATATTTATGTTAAAGCTTAAAGCTTTCTATTACAATCATAAAATACTCCGTCTTTTTGAAGATTACAAAAAGATCCTGTTACAACCTACTTACCTATAGAGCCAAGTTACTCAGTATGTAGTTGAATATAGGATTATGACAAATTTGATGTCTGCGGTTCATTTCATCGAGATGCGGAAGATGGTGTCTGTATGTTGAGGGATGGGAAATGTAAAGTATAATTATACGAGTTTATTAAGTATATCTTCAGCTGGTTATTTAAAGGCTCCGCGTTTAATTCTGATGAACAGCAGCTGTAATGATGAATGGAGTTAAAGTATATCGAGATGTGACAATGAAAATGTAATTAATATCTCAGTATTTCATACCTCAAGAAATAAATTTTCAGAAAGTGCTAGATTGGATTGATATTTCAGCAGGATTTTCATCATGAACCTTTTAACTTCGGTAACAAGATGCAATTTTATAAAATTCAATAAATTTGTTTTAAAAAGTAGGAACTAAACTCCAGTAAAGTAAACTCCAACGCTGTGTGTATAGCCACTAACTAGTGATTATATCACAATGAATATCCGCTTAAGGATTTTCATCCGCGCCCTACGCTCGCTACCTAGGTAATTGATCAAGAAACCCCGAACCCGCATCCCGAAATGGAAAAATAAAACAAAATAACCAAGGTAAATCATAAAGGGTATCTCTCATCTCTGTACATCTATCCTCCACAATCTTCAAACCTCTAATGTGCATCTAAGCAAGAGGATCAATAGCTCCTTTAACAGAATCATAAGCGCCAGGTCTAACATGAGTTTTGACACCTGTTGATGGATCGAAAATGTGGCAGCCGTGCATTGCGGCGTTTGGAGGTGTGTATACTATTTCCTTATTAGTCATGAGGGGTAGAGATTGTGGAGAACGGATGTGATATAGGGAGAGGTGGGGAGAGGTAGGCTGTGGTGAAGTGGAGGTTGATAGTAATAGAAGAACTTACAATGCAGAGAGACAGCATATTCTGTCGCGCTTGGGTTGGCGATAGAGTGAAGACCTAACTATAATACCCAATCAGTCATGTGATTCCCCTTCGTCTTCCCAATCAAACGACAAATGTATAAGACAAAACCAAGGACAGGGGAGGGAGAAACATACATCATCACACATATACGCCACCTTTCCACTCCTATATTCCCTCACCCCTTCAACCTCCATTTCCTCACCATCCCTCCTAACCCCATCAACAGGAGTAACCCACCTTGTCTCCTTCAAACTTCCCTTCATAATCTTCATCAAACAATGACTCGCAGCATGATCATGAACTTTACTTTCTTTTCCAGGTGTCCAAACCAACATCAACAAATTAAATATACCCTCTACTTCTGCTACTAAATTTCTTGTATATTGTTTATTTGGATTTGCATGCGCGTATTTTTGCCAGCCTGTGATATCTGATGAGGTATTGTAGTTGTGGAGTAAGGAGGTGAGAGTTGGAAGATGGGGAGAGGAGGTTGTGGTGAGAGAATGCGTGAGGGAGCTGACTAGTGTATCGAAGGAGGATGTGGTTGTTGAGGCTGTTGGTTTGAAGAATGAGACGGGAAAATTGCCTACGAAATCTAAATAGGAGGTCGGTTAGCTTTCAGTTCAGATTTCACATTATCACTGAATAAATAGCAAAAATACCTCGTGGTAAGAAAGGGGTACTTGGTTGTTGACTAGAAGTGGTTGATTCAAAAGAGGTTGATTTTCTGGTCGTGCCGGTGATACCACGATTTGCGAGAATGGGTGAGAATGTAGGTTTGGTTGTTGATGATAACTTGGCACGAAGGGTACGGATTGCTGTGGTTTTCATGCTATTTGATGCCATTTTTGCGAATTCACGATGGATTGAAGATGTATAGATGCAAAAAGTAAAAATGTGGTGGTAAATTTTGAAAACAGTAGAAATCAGAAGTGATTAATGTAGAAAAATTTGAAAAAACTAGTAAAATTTGGCGATGTGTAGATTAAATACCTTTGCTAGATAAACAACCCTGAGAGACAGACCGGCATCGGATTGGCCGTAGTTAGCCGTCCAAATATCTAGAAAGTTGTTGAGATGATGTGAGCTTATCATTAAACCACCCCCGGATAGAATATGTATTGATGAACTAGTCCCCGGATCTTTCCCAAAATAACATCCAGCTGGTAGATTCCTTCCTTTCCTAATCGTTTTGTTCGATTTCTCCTTTATTTGGTGTTGATTTGAGACATTCCATCCCCAAAATCCTCATCCATCTGCGCGGCGCACACGCGTTTGACCCCACACATTGTGATAAAGTTTGTGACCGCTTTCCTCGTTTCGAATCCTCAATGAACCGTATCCTTGATTCCAATCGTGTAGTGTACCTGGTCTCCTTTCCTTGATTCGTTCAGATTAAATACTAACAACTCGTATGCGAAAACCCCCTCATAACATTTTCCTAAAGCCGAGTAGAAGATCATGCACTCCAATATTCTCGTCGTTTGTCGACCGTCACCGCCTGATAAGATTTTCGAGATGGCGAATCCTTATTGGCGATGTTGGTGGTTAAGCGGGGTTTCCAAGAGTGTTGTGGATCCACTAGATTGTTATCTATTGGTCTCATGTTAATTGGAAAAAGGTAATGTCCTCATCAAAAGTCACACAACTCGAACTGGATAGCAAAAGATACGAGAATGTGAGGAACAGATGAGAGTAATTGGTATGATAGAAATGTATCTACATCATCGTAAATGAATTGACCATGTAGTGATGAATGATGAGTGAAGATAGAGGTGTGAATTGGCCGACGACCAATATGATCAACTCAAAAGAATAACAAATCCAGGAGAGCGTGCATCCCGACGATAAATAGCAATTCGTAATGAAAATGCATCTCATCTTGATCGATCAAGGATCCAGTAATGAATTGATTCCGACTACGGAATACCTTCATTCTGCTGTGACTCCTTTCTCAATCATTCACCAATCCACCCCTCAATTCAGCCCATCAATCCCAAACCTAGAGTAGAAGGCCAACAATTCATTATGCTTTAATTGGATAACACTTGAACCAATCGCACAACAAAACTAGTGGGCCCAACCTCTTCATCTTCATTTTCTTCTTTCTCACACACAAGAAAGGTGATGCAAAAACCAGAGAAAAACCACAAACTTTTCGGGTCAAATTCGAGAACGTTTTTCGAGTCGAATAGACGATTATTGAAGAAAGAAGAGGAATCTTACCAGAGGGGAGATGTTTTCTTATATTCGATTGAATTACTCGTTGGTTTTTGACGCTAGTAGGTTACAGGGGCGATGATGTTTTTTCACGTGTGTTGGGAGGGTCGGAGGTTCGCTTTCATTTTTACCGAAATGTAAGACGTTGTTCTGGGAGACTTTTGTCGGTTGACCACCAACAGATATAATTGCTGATACTTTATAGCTTGGCGTGCTGAAGATTATCAGTGTTGATAATGAAAAGTGCTTTATTGTTGGAAGAGGGTGTAGCTAGTTATCAACTTCGAAAGAAGATTCTCCAGATTTTACTGGTAAATACTGTCCGATATTGGGAAATGAATCATGAATCAATCAGCGTTCGCTACTTGGGTCACAGAAAAGGGGGTTCTCATCAGTATACCTAAAGCCCTGTAGCTCTTTCAGTTTATGGGCACGAGAGGACTCGAATAGTTTTGAAACCACTGCAATTGAAATCAAAAACATTGAGTATCTATCTAATACCGGAGCGAGGAAGATACTAAAGCAAATGCAAAATCCGACAATTACCTCTTACCGCCAATCCCACAGTAAAAGATCAAACTTTTACTTACTCCAATTCCAGCTAAAATTCACCAGAAAAGCCACTCATCGAGTAATAATACAAGTGTATGTAAAACACTGAAGCAGTTCATCCAAATTTAAACAGCTTCATAGATCTACAAACATCCATCATATTCCTGTCAGCTCAAACAAAAGCCGGCCAGAAATCAGTTCTCCCATCATTCTCTTCAGATCTCTCCACTTCTATTGTCTCAACATGACCACAAACCTGCATCCCCTCATCTCTATTTCTGTAACGGCTCTGTGTTGGAACATTCCTTTCATATGTTTCTCTCATTCTATAAGTGCCGCCAATCACAGGGCGTTGGTGCAGAACTGGTAGACTTATTGATCTCTCTTGGCGGGAAAAGGTAGTAGGGGAGGATAATGGCGTGTCGGAGCGGGAAAGTGTTTATGAGGCGCCTGGGGAATGATTCGTTGGAAAGGTCCTGCAGTGATGGAAAAGACGAGAACTATGAACTTGTCGCGCGTGAGCAGAGGTGGTGCTGCAAGCTGCGCGGTACTTGTGAATGGCACGGGCTAGAAGCAGGAGTTAGTACACAATTGAACATAGAATTTAGAGGAAATTATTAGTATACCAAAGAAGCCTATCAATCCAACCAATGTCAAAAATTGTATGATTGAAAGTGCGACTGCGGCTTTTGATGCACGGGCCGCCGACATTAAGGTTTTGTCAAGCTTCTTTGCCCACGATTTGTTATCAACAGCATCCCAAAAAGGAATCTAAGAAGCTAGAAGCGCAAAAGTTATAAGGTAAAAAATGATAAGGGTTATCTATAGAGCCCTGGTGTAAGCCAATCAACTTGGTCAACATTTTGGAGTTTAGAGTTAAAGACAAACAAATGAATCCAGTAGTTGTAAAACTTAGAAAGTGACCGAGGCGTTATGAATATCTGAGTACGATATGAGTTGCTAATCTTTCCTCAGTAGAGTGTTGGGTCACATACATAAACTGAACATAGAACCTCCCATATAAACAAGAACCAACTCATACCTTAAATTTGTTAGATTGCAGCGTTTAACATATTCTTTATCTCACCATGACCAGGAAACTAGATAGGAAGAATGGTCAGTATTGTGAGTACCTCTCTTGATGCGGTCAAACTTACAAAAACCGGTGGAAATTTGGTGGAAGAGAAAGCTGTCAAGATGAGAATGACGAAACCGAAAAGCTACACCATATCAGCGTCTAAGGGCTTGGGAACTTTCTTGGCTTTCGAGAGACATACTAGTTGAAAGGACCGGAGGATAGTAAGCCAAGATGGTAGTTCTGGGACATGTGATATTGAGTTTCCGTGAATATTTGTAGGCTCATTGCCCTGCAAAGTTTCCCATAGCGGGCCAATGATCTCACGATATCTTCTGTGGGATTCTCTTGTGGATTGTGTTTTGGAACTAGATTATGATGCAATATGGACAAATTCGCAATCGGCGCTGAGGAGTAAAAGAAGAGACCCACTGCATACATAAATCCTCAAAGGATCCATTCTGCGTCTGCGTTGCGACAAATGTTGAGCAACCTCGGCGGTATATAGGGCTTAAAAAAATGCATTGGTAAGGACTTCCTTACACAGCAGATCTTTGAAGCAAGATTGACAGCCGACACTCCTTGAGTTTACATGTATTGGCAAGTCATCCTCGAATCAGATATCGTACATATCATGCAGATAGCACTCAAACAAAACTAAATCAAAAATACAAGTTTTCTTCTACATATTTGGGAACTGGAATATAGAACACGGCAAACTTTGAAAGAGGCTGGATATCGTCTTCAGGTCATGCATTGTAGCCCCACGTTTTGATAATATTCTATTTGAAGAATTTCTTAATCTTTATTGTCATCGACCGAATAGAAAACGTGTGTCATTACCGATGCTTTGCATGCATATATTGAAGGAATCGAATAGTATGCCTTTAATTACCAAAGTAAGAAAGCTGACGTCGGGGGAAGTTTGCCAATGGTAGAGGCAGACCCCGATTCCGATACACAGTTTAATAACTTCATATCAGCCGCGCCAATCGGATTCCCTCTAAGATTTGATAAAGTTGTGCCAATATCGTACAAAGGAAACTATCTTTCGTTAAGAAGGACTCAATCTGAGCTGAGAAGAGATTAAGTTTATCTCAATGATAAGGAGCTTGAACTACTCCTCCAACGGAAGTAGACAGCCAGATAATAGATATCCGAGGCTGTAGACAAAGCCTAGATAGCTACACAAGCATACACTTGTACAGACTTGAATGCTTCGAATTTCTGTGTGACATTTCAGCTCCATCTTGGCAAGCCGCCAAGTAGAGCGGCGGTAAGGGGCGTTTTGGGTTTTTGGGGTTTCTGAAGTATGGGGTCTGGGGCTTTGGAGGCAGCAAGAAGTTCTTGGTGGTATCCACAAAATTCAATCAAAATTCTGTGAATCGATTAGACCGTTATTTTTTTTTTACCTATCCTCCGTACTCCGTACTGATATCCATTCTTGGTTCTGTTGGATTGGGTTGAGTGTCGTGCAACGTTAAAAAGCGGATGCACGTGTTCCTCAATCCATGTAAGGTTAACCTTGAGGTTACCGGAGAATACCCAATACCAACAGAAAACATCCACGCCCAAAATATTTTCTTTCTTTCCAAGCAATTTCAAGAATCTCCATCGACTCTGAATAATTGGTTCCTGGCTGCTATTCTCATCGGCGCCAATAGACCTTCCCGTCCCTTCAAAGCTTCGACGGTAGAACCTGTGTCGACCACATGGAGTTGAACATGCCGGTGTCTTAATTATTATTCTTAGGACAACCGTGAAGGCCACATAATCTTAAACAAGAATTCCAAGCATTCCAGGTTGCCAGTGATCACGATTATCCGCCTTCTTCAATGTCCGGATGCTCCCGCCGCTGCCAAGATGGTTACGATTCGTGATATGGGAACAGACGTCGTCGTCCGAAATCTCACCGCCGCATCTCCAGATTGCACTTTGTCATCGCTTTCCGCCAAGGGGAAATGGAGCACGGAATGTAAATCCTTATCTATTGACATTGGATTTCATCTCATGTTTCAAGTCTCATGAGGTCAATTGTCTCTGGATAAACGATACTATCATGACTTGGCGACTTGGGAGTCTTAGAATTTGTGGTATCAATACACCAAGAATACAAGCCCACTTTGGGCAGCATTCAATTGAACTGGTAAATGTTTATATGACCACAGTTGTCATTTTACTTTGTATCGATGGTACACAGTCAGTCGCTGGATGTGCAACAGGAAAGATTGAGACTCTTGACCAAGGTATGTTGTGATACCTGCAACACTGTACTGTCTTACTTTGCATTGCAGTAAGCAAAGCAACACTTGCTGTAGCAATCCCAGTGGATGACGCGTCAGAAGTAGTCGATTCAACTAAGCATTAAAATTTCCCTTTAATACTTATCAATCGGTCGTTATCAGGATCACTGGTGGATTGACCTCGGTCATGGCGATCAATACCAAAAGAATCCAACGTCAAACGACCGAACGTCAAAACGATTCAAAACTAGGGTCTCATAAATGACGTTTGGAAAAGCAATACCACGAATAATCTGTTATTTTCGTCAGAAACTACCAGTGGGAATTCCATTTTCCGACTGAACTCTATTTCACTTGGCATTACTTCGCCTCTCTTGGCCACTTAAAAGTATCAAAACATACACATGCAGCAGCAACAACCCGGCGGAGCCTTCTCATTTATGGTTTACCATGCAATAGCTACGAAGATCTCTGCCAAGAGTCCCATGTCTGCGGCTCTCCAGATGCTGATTCTCCGACATACACCAAAGGTCTTACCCTGATAGCAAAGCCAAGGCGTGGAAACCTAGTCACTATTCCCCTTTGCTATCATTTTTCCATAAATTTTTGGATGTTTCTAAGAATAAGGTTGAGGTTTGATTGTGAGTACCGAGAGTACTAAGTATTAAATTTCATGTGTAAGCCTGGGCAGAAAGTTAAAGTGTATATTGTATCACGGCATCCACTTTGATGCCTTGCTCGTCCTTCCACATAAGTTGAGGCGTCCCTTGAGGTCAATTTAGGCGTTCCCTTTTTATTTTCGTCCACAAACTTGTACCTTATCTACAAACAGGAGTCAACAAGTGATCATTCCCTCGACCATTTCCTTACCCATCACCTTGCCCATCCTCTTGTTGATATAACTACTTCCGAGACTAGAATTTTGCCTCAAAGCTTGGTCATTATCGGTCTATCTTTGTTCATTCTATACCAGTAGTACCCTTGATATTCAGTATCTTCTCCTTTCATCCTTTTGGTGTCAAGATGACGGGAAAATTCACCCTCAAAGATCCAGTTCGTTGTGCTCACTATGCTCGATTCTTTCAGCATCTTACATTGACTGAGGCAAACATCCTCTTTTGGTTTCTGTTTGTGTTCGTTCTCGTACTGATGTGCATATCATCTATTCAACATCACAAGTAAGCATCCTTGGACACCATGATCTACTCAGATTTTCCTCCCCACATATTCCTAACGTTTTTCTCCAACCCTAAACTTTTCCTCGTCCTAATACAACTCAGGTCTAACAACTTAACGGCGGAACTTTCCAAAACGGGCTCCAGCACTCCTCGGCAAGCCCGCTGCCTCCGTCGTCGTCGCCTTCATTACCTCTCCATAGCATCCCTCTGTTTCATCCTCGCCCTAATCTGTGTTGTTCTCGAAGTATTCGCCGCCTTCAACATCGAATACTGTGATGGTGAAGACCTCATCCAGCTTTACTGGGGATTCTGGTCAGTCCTCCAAGTCGGTTCTCTCATCGCTATTTTGGGGGTCATGCTGCAATTTTGGATTGTACTTGGAAATGTACAGACGCCAAGTTGGGCCGTGGCTTTAGGGACCCCGGTATTGGTTTTTGCGGCACTGGGATATATTTTCAGACATATTGGAAAGAGCTGCTGGCAAAAAGGCAACAAGGAGAGTGAGGATGAGACGGATGTTGAAAAAGGCAGTAGTGATGAGAATGAGGATGCAGAGGGGAGTGCAAAGGATGAGGAGAAGTCGGGCAGTTGGGCTGCGAGATGGATTACTTGGGCTCCTGAAGATCAGCTGATGAGGGAGAGAAGTGAGGATGGCTTGGATAGGGTGAGGACTATGAGATCAGGCGATTGTTCGGATATGGACTTTGCTAGTAGGGCGTAAGTACTTTGCTTTCGTTTGGGGGTTGAAGTAGGATGCAAATTCTAATGTGGAGCTACTAACATTAAATAGAACAACAATATACACACCGGGTCAACCTGGAGATGTTAGAAGGACCTCGACATATTGAGCAATGAATCATGATGGTTGGCTCCGTTAGATTATGTTCGACGATACGATACACATGTGCTCAAGTGCTGAGCTCAGGATTGAGGAAGAAATGGATAGATGAACGGACGATCAAATGGACACTGAAGCAAACATGGAGTTTTACTAAAGCTGGGTTTAAGAGTTGGCGTTTAGAAAGAGAAGGAGTTTTACTTTGGATATGATATCAAGGAAGGGATTTATGATGGAGTGAATGCAATATGTGTTTTGGATAGCCAGTTGCATGGAGCTACGAAGATGATTAGCATACAGACAAACATTTAGACAGATAGATACCGCTATAGCTTGTAATAAAGTTGAGACTTTTTTTTCTGCATTACCAATCAGATGACCTTCTCAATATCTGAATAATGTGAAGTCTAGCCAACCTTCCCGAGATATATCTACAAACTCCACCTCGGGTCCTTTATCTACGAGTTCCATCTCATCCTATATAAAATCACATCGTCCCTCACATTACACAATTTCGCACCGCCGTCTCCATCCATAACTTCGTATACAACCTATGTGCAAACTCCAGATATTCAGGCATAGGTTTCTCCGTAGACTTCCCCGTTCCTTTAAAAAATACACTCTTCAGCTCAAACACCGCCACCCCCGCATTCTTATCAATACTAGCGTTCATTTCAAAAAGTCCATCGCTGTCCCTTACCCCAGTAGCCAAAGGCGAGTCACCGCAGCGTACGGTTATAGATGTGGGTGTTTTGGAAATCACCTCAAAGTGGTCGGTGATCTGAGTGCCGACTTCGTAAGTAGAGTTTTGGAGATCAGGTCGGTTCCAGAGTTGATGCGCTGTAGTGGTTTCATTTTGATACTTTTTAGAGAGAATGCTGCGCTGCGGTGCATAGCCTATCTTCCAATTAGCCTTTCTCATTTATAAACCCATCCCCGTCCTTATGCCGCCTTTACCCCTCCTCCTGGATCCGAAACCCATTAACTATATCAGAGACAAGCTAATAAAAATAATCAAAAAATAAATTCAAAATACATACCTAGACCTCCCCAAACCCCCGCACAAAAGGCCTCGACTAATTTCCCTTCCTTCTCAAGTAAATGCGGCTTTATCTTACTCAGTAACACTTTCCTTTGACATAAATCCTGCGTGGCAGGGTTACGATTAGGGTTCTGACGTATGTAGGCTAAGCTAGAAAAAATCGGATCCGAGGATGACACAGGGACGAATTTGGAATTTCGTGTCCAAAATGCCCAACCGGACGTGGCGCCTGCTGCGCCCAGAACGGCCGTCGTGAAGGTGCTGCGGATGAGTCCCATTGTGGTTATTCGGTGCAGGGAAGTCGATCTAGTGGTGGTGAGGGAAAAGGACGGGAAAGGAATGGAAGAGTGATGGCAGGAGAAACCTTGGAGTGATATGTTGACGAAATGGTTGGAGCTTCTAGTTCTACCATGTAATTGGTAATCAGCTGGATAAGGCTTATCGGGCTTATCGGGCTTATCGGGCTTATCGGGCTTATCGGGCTTATCGGGCTTATCTATTCAGGGGAAAGGTTTTGGCGAAGAGACGTTGTTGAACATCAGCACTAGAGAACGAACGGTCTAGACTTTTCCTAAAGGAGTAATAATTTATCTGGATGATTATCTTTCACTTGAAACTATTTCCATATTTAGCTGGCTGTTTAACTGATTACCTACCGGTTCATACGTTTGAAGCACGCTTCGTCTCATCCGTTCCCCTCGTTTCATCCGTTTGATATTGGGGACCCATACCGCCGGCGATAAAGCAGGTGGTAGGCGGGGTAGTGGTGGATCTTTTGATTTCGGTGTTCATCATTCAACTTCAACACGCCGTTTGTTTCTCTTTTGCTGATAATTTGGAGGCTGCACGGAATGGCGTTTTTTAGTCAAGGGACTCTATGACGCTTGATCAGTAGTACGCAAATTCAATGTTAATGCCACCAATTGTTCAAATATCTTTTCATGATATTTCTAACCACAATAGCCAAAACGTAAATCAAATGCTCCGAGTTATCATAAATCAGTCCTAATTTCGACCAATTTTCGCCCCCGTGGAAGCGAATCAGTCTCCTTCGCAAACTTTTGTTGCACGTCTAAATACCCTAGAATATAGGCTCCAGTTCACATTAGCACTGTGTAACACGGTAATTGATGAGGATGAGAAGGAGCAGAGACGTGCATTGATGACAACTTTACTTTTACACCGTTTGCCACAATTAGCGGCTAATGGACTCCAAGCAAGCTTTCAAACACTAGTACTTGGTTTTGGTAACATCACTTTCATTATGGGTGATGTGCATTCAAATTTTCGCAGCAGATATTTGCAGCTGGAAATGAGGATGAGAAGGAAAACCAATTTGAATGATTTCATCGAGATGGTGAAAGACAAAGAGCCTAAATATCCATGCATCAGGAGGTCTACAAAGTACCTCAAGAGTAAATTTAAAGGCTAGGATTGTAGAATCCCTCTGTGTGAAGTCATCACGCGTGCCCCGTTCCCGTTACAAGGAAGAAGAGCAAGCAAAATATCAGCATGGGAAATTCAAGATTGATACCAAACAAGACCAAGGAATATATTCTGGATGTTAAAATTGGCGTATGGGAATCAATTGCTCAGGAACTTCTCCAAATCTGTGATTGATTTGCAGTCATTTTCTTGGGAGGCCATTCACTGATGTATATGTTTTCAGGTAAATGGAAACACCTTTGAAGGAAAAGACCTTCTACCGAGCAAGCGCAAACCGTTCGTATTAAAGTGGTATCACAATGTGCGAAAGAAGTTCAAGCCTCTATATAATTGGGACGGGTGACTTCGATAGAATTCATCATCGCACCACTTGGTTTCATCCCGTTCCATGTCATTTCGAGGAAGTCTGTTTGTGATAGTCTGTTGATTTTTCTATTACCAACAGACTCTATTATTGAATGCAGAGGACCGATTATTGAATTATTGCCTCAGCAGGCCATAGATTTTCTGGTCATCCAGAGATGTGAGATACCTGTTGGCTCAGAGCTTGGGTTGATTTCACACCACTAAGTCGAATAGCGCCTCTTCATATACTGTTCAATGCATAGAGCTCGACAGGTCGGATTTTTATTTCATTCGGTGGGGATAGCCCAAGGAAAGTTCTGACGTGCCTCTGATACAAAATCTTCAGGCTTGTTCATTACAAGCAGGTTGGCAATAAATACAAGAACACTTTAGAAGTATATAATAACTTAAATACCTGTAATGGCATTCATATAAGGGTGGTAAAGCTGTCTCATCCTTATACTAGAAGATATTCTATTTGAAGGTAGGATAGAGTTAGTATTCATTTGACCGCATTGGGTGAATATATCTCCACTTTCAAATTGAAGTCATACCATCAGTATTTTAATCACTTTTGTTCTCTCCCGATTTGATAAGTTTGACTCTTTCCTATTTCACCCTTTGGCCCTCATTGTCGCCAAACTTTTCCAACAATTATCAACTTCTTCCTCTCAATAAATATCAATCCCTTTCCCTTAACAACCTTTAAGATAATCTCCAAATAACTATATCCATAAAGACAAAACTTCTTTATATCTATTTACTATAATAATAATCTCAAAAACATCTCTTCGCGAATTATTTCCAATTCGAAAAGTGAAGTAAGCATATTTGGAATATATTCGAAGCATTCTTTTATGGGGTATTTGATACTGACAATAAAGCAGTAGTATGGAGCATAGAGGAACGGAGGCGGGCGAGAATGGAGAGGGGGGGGAATGGAGGGGGACCGGAAAATAATATAGAACTTGAAGCTAGGGTTCTCGAATTCCAACAACGGGCAGAAAGATTACAACAAGAGATAAGAGGCTACCATCGAGCCATTACTAGTAATTTCAATCCTCTCCGTCCAGCCCCAATACTAGCTGCTGTAGCAGGGATCAATGCCCATCGGAGGATTACTCGATAATGATCTTGAACATTGATTAAATGTCAGACGGCGGTAATCTTCTAGATGTGTCATCAGGGATGGATTACAATTTTCCTCAAAATAATCACAACGAAGGAACTATGCTCCGCCATGTATGCCTAGCGGCTGTGAGCTGTCGTGGCCACTCATAGGTGATACTTGATACATTATCTAAGCTCTCATTGATCAACGATCTGACGAATACAGCGTCGCAGCTAGATTCCTCTCCCTCGGGTAAAATGGCCCCACCTATGTCCACCCCACTAAGTTTTCCGTCCCGCCGCCCCACTAGGTTTCTATTTCCACCCCACTATAGTGCAAAATTCTTCAATATAGATCTTTTCAACCACAACTCACCATAACAAATCAATATCTTTGATGGTCTAATGGTCATGATTTCCGCTTGTCATTCATCTGATATTACGCGGGAGATCGGGGTTCGATTCCCCGTCGAAGAGTTTTGAGTTTTGCACACAAAATTTCAGTTTTGAATTTTCCTCTTTTTTTAGAAACCGTTGTAAGGAAAAATCGTATATTCCGTTCATCTCAATTGCAAGGTCCTTTGGGAACCTCTTACCGGCTTAGGAGCTTGGAGTTCCATAACAAGTATCGTTTGGCACATTTGTGGATTCTTTAGTGCCTTCTTTTGAAATATCTTTTAAAAGTTTTAACACGCTGAATGGTAGGTCGCAAGGAAATAGCAAAATAGTCGAATAAACACCAAACACCAAGTTAAAAATTGATCATTCTTTGCGGGATTCAGTAACTCAAATCGCAGCCCCCTCTTTCGGTAAGCGAGGGTCTTCCCTCCAAAATCAAAGACATGTACTGTACGCTCCCATTTCCTTGCGCCTGTTCTTTTGTTTTTCTTTTCATAAGGCTATATATATCATGTATAAAGAATCCAGGAAAATCCCAAATGCGGCTTAATTTTGTGAATGGAATGAAAAGTTCTTTGTCAACTTCCTAGGAGCTTTCTGTTGACCACTGAGATCCGTACCAAAGGGCTACAATTCTTTATGGCGAAGCATTAAAATTTACTCCCTTAAAATCTTTTAGCAGCAACTTCATCTTAACTACGAATCCATAGTATATTTCACATCACTCCATCCAAACCCACAAAACCATTTTCACCATGGTAGAACGTCCCAGAATATTCAGACCCATAATGCCCACCACCTCCCTTGCCCAAATAGCACCTCCCGACCTCCTGGGCGGCAGAAAACGCAACCGCATCACCCGAGTATCAACCAGCGATGGTTCAGCTATTACGGAGATGGTTGACCATAAAGGAAAAAGATATAAAACTGAGGTCGAGAATCCTAGCCACTATGCTGCTACCACTAGAGCACCCCCTCGTCCACCCATTGCTCGTCCCGACCCTGATAAATTAGAAAGTAAAGAAAGGACGGAGATGGAACGAAGGCAATTTGCTCCGTTGACGGCTGATTGGTTTGTGAGGATCTTTGATCAGCTGTATAGAGTGGATGAAGACATATGGGGCCAGTGGGCGGTCGATTTGGATAAGATGAAATTGTTGCGGAGTGATTTTAGGTTTCTGATGAAGATTCTTGATACCGATCCTGGTAAAGCCACAGATAATTTTCAAGAATTGGGTCATGTGCCGATGACTATTGTTGACCTAGTAAGTTAGCTATTGCTTAGCGTCCTACTCATGAATAATGGACTTGGTACGTTGGTAGGTCGTACATGGACACTGACTGCAAGGTTTGGAGACAATTACTGACGTGATAACTTGTGCATTAGTACATTTATCTGGCCTGTGAATACAGGAACAGAGCAATAGCCAGGACGCTCGAAGGCGGCGACCTGTCCGGTAATAATCCAACCAAACAAAAGGTCAGTTGCATACTGATCGACTCTCAAATATTGTACTGGAATCCAGACAAGGGTAAGTTTGTGGAGCGTGAAGATCATGAAGGAAACGTTACAAAGACATTTGTGCAGCAAGACCTTCCCTTGGCTTGGCAAAAGACCGAGGAGGCATTAGCGCGATATGACGATGAAACTCTGCACAATCTCGACTATCTGTTGATTCCATACGAATATAAGGCTGCGCATACAGTTCTTCTAGGGATAGCACCAAAACAAAAATTCTGCTTTCATATCGACAACGCCGGAGTTTTGAATCCTAGATATCTGGATACCACTTGGAAGATGGAAACTGCCTACCACCACACATTCCATATGAATTTACTTGAAGCTATTGTATACTCAAGGTTCAATAAGGGAATATTCGATACTGTTGAGCTTCCATTATACGGACAATGGAATTACCGGACGGACCATAGATTTGTTGGTAGTCGAACAACAGATAATAGTCCTAACGCGTCTCGACAGGAGGATGTACATAATTGCGGTATGATATGCATGACCAACGCGATGAATCTGGTGTTCGGATATGATATGATGTGTTATAGTTGTCGAGCTGGTGACATATCCGATCTACCTCCACGGACGGGTAAGAGACCAAGGGTTGCGGCGGAATTTCTCAATGGTGGTTTCAATAAACCATTTGATTACCCATTGTTTAAGATCCCGACGAAATTGCAAGAACTCGCCATAGATACATCTTATAAGCATAACCTGAGACCACCTGCTCCTACATTCAGTAGGAAAGAACATGAAGAAGATCGGGACGGAAAGGAAATAGAGGAGACATGGAACGAAGAGGATGAGGGAGACGATGACGATGACGATGACGATGACGATGACGATGACGAGGACAAGGGTGAGGGTAAGGGTGAGGGTGGGGGTGAGGACGGGGGCCAATCCAGCCAAGCAGGAGCACGAACCAAAGTCAAAAAAGCCAATAAGGATAAAAAAGTCAAATGGTCTGGCCAAAATGCTTTAGATCCCGACCCACTAGATCCAGATCCACCAGAACCTGAATCTGCAGCTGACGAGAGACCAAAACGAGTCCTTTGGCCCGCTCAAATGGATCCTACTAGAACGGGAAAATGTGGGTTTATATACGCAATAGAAAACCCGCGGTTCACGCATCCGAGATATAATAATAGAACTGAATGCAAGAGGGCAGCCGTAGCAAACCAAATGGAAGACTGGAGAATGTGGGATGATATGCCTCTGCATATGTTTAAAGCTTGGATGGAAAATGTAATGGCGGGGAGGGAAGATGATCAGTTGACTCCGTGGATCGATGCACTCAAGCTCGATGGCCCTGAAGTTGTCCCCAAGCCAGAAGATCAGACCAGAACAGGGACGAGTGAATAACGAGATTTGTTTAGATATACCTCGAGAGACATGAAAGAATTGTACTTCTTTGGATTTTTATAATTCCCGCGATGTCAAGTCTGAATAGTATATTGTTAATATTTTTATTCATCCTAAAGCAGCATCTCAGGACTTCTTGAAATAATCATTCAATGTGTTCTTCTGTGGTGATTTCTCAACTTTCTTCATCAATGAATCTTGCTCAGACTTTTCGGACTTTTCAGCCTTTTCTCCAACCTTCATCAAAGCACATAATTCTTCGAATTCCGCAGTGTTGACAATTCCACCCGAAGCCTCCTTGTGACCACGAGCAAAATTTTGTCCTAGTCTCTCAACGAGATCAGTAGTGTCTAGATTGGCTACTGCCTTTAATGACTCGATAATGTTGACTGGTGGATCGCGCCCTCGAGCACATCGAGCAATCCGACATGAGAAATTTACTTTCCCGGGTAGGTAACCGTAATTAGCTACCATTACTATTTCTAGGGCTCTAGATTTCAAAAAGCCAGCCTGTATAAACGTTTTAGCCTAATGGGGATGGTTTCAATCTACTACTACATACCCATCGTGTAGCAATAACCGGGTGTACTTGAGCTTCGCTTTCGATTTTCAATACCGCAACTTTTCCATCTTTACTAAATTTTGGTGGTGTATGAGTTTGTTTTTCAACCTCTGCGTTGATCTCTCGTCGTGCTTCAGCGAGCCTCTTATTAGTCATAATTTCCTTGGGGTCTTTAGCTTCGAGTAATGCCTTCCAGGCGGTAATAACATCATATGTTCCAGTTCTTCGTGCTAAGTGAGGTTCAGCGATTGCTGCAGGGAAGTTCATTGAACATACGGGCATTAATAAAGGAAACACAGTCATTTATGAGCTTCTTGGTGTGCTTTTTAAAAGTATCTTTCATATCTGGAAATGGGGGTATCCATTTAATAGTATTCCCGAGATCCCCATGTGTTCCAATTGCGCAAAGGTACCCGCATTCTTGAGCAATATCAGGATGAAGTCCTCTGCAAATCTCGTAAGTCATAAGAGCAGTCGTTGGAACTGGCGGACAATGACAACCTGAAACAATCTTCCACCATCCATTAGTACCATTTGTACAAAGGGGCAATGCCGAGCTTACAGTTGCATCTTTTGGGAAGTCATCGCTCAAATGATGATCAATTATCATACATTTAGCACTTTTGTCGTCGATAACAGGCAGTCCACCTCGACTTCCTTGATCCAAAACAATCACATAACTCGGCTTCTTTTCCGCCATCGCCTTCCGTTCATATTCTTCATGAATATTCGAGCCCTTTCTCACTAAATGAACATCCAAATTCTTTTCTTCCAGGCCAAGTTTTATCAACGTGCGATACATGATGACTCCAGCACTCAATCCATCTGCATCCTTATCTGGCACAATAAGGGTGAGTTTTTGAGCTTTCGCGCATTCCCGAATGAAGTCATAGGCAGATTCCAATTGGTCACGTGGAGCAGGCCAAATTTCTTCTCCTTCAGGGGAACGACGAACAGGTGTATTGCAGTAATCATCCAGTTTGACGGATTTCTTTGGTGGTTCTGATATGGATTCAGCTTTTCTTTTGATTCCACGATCCATTGTAGGTAGACGAAGAGTTAAGGCCAGGGGTCGAATTGATAAATTTGCAGGCGAACAAGGAATGCAAGTTCTCGTGGAAGCTGTAAGGTTATATTGTTGAAGACTTCTTCGAGTCAAGCTTCGGGTGAGTGAAAGCATTGATAGTTCTTTTTTTTTCTTTTTCCTTTTATATACTAAGTATACACATGCACATGAGGACGAGGAATTGTTCAGAGGCTGAAGCAAGCATTGAGAAGGAGTGCCAAGGGGCAAAAACTATAATCATGACGTAATCCACTAGCGCCAACGAGACAATTCCTCTCCTTTTCTCCTCATAGGTGAATTTGTGAATGTCTTCAAGAAAAGGTAAGTGCGAGGTTCCTGATCACAATTATCACACATCATTTTACTCACACTTGCTTATGTGACTTGTCTTTTGCGCCGTATCACCCTGGTGTTATGGGCAATGGTTGAATGGATGATGTGCTTTGGTCACTAACTATACTCTATAGGGGATCTTAGCTGGTCAATCAATATAGCTGTATGCCTTGATATGTTCATATTTTCCTATTATAAACTTAATAATCATCTTGGAGCAAAGTTGCACTTTCTTTTCACAGAGCGGGGACAATAAACATTCCCTGAGCTTGTTTGATTCGAATTATTTCATTGCTTCACACTCTACATTTTATATTTCACAGGCGGTATATAATTATATGGAAACTCATTTTTCTTTTTTTTCATAACAAAGGAAATCCTTCCTTCTCTATCTTTAAGTGTTTTCTGTTTGAAATTCAAAAACTCCTATTGAGAACGCCATGAAGTGATCTAGCACATGATTCTCGCAAACGACGTTGGGCTCAAATTCGTCAGTGGTTGAGCCGGCTCAATCGCATGGCTCAGCATTCACCCTTAATGTAGAAAATTCCATTCCTCGGTGTGACGTGAAATTCGCCTTTCCACACCACCTTCCATAGCACCGAAATTCCTGACGGATTCCTGCATCACGGAGTTTATTGAGGAACTGGGCATGTCGCAAATGGAGGTCGTCTAGATCGCGCAACTGCTCGTCCAAGTTGATCGTGATACACCAATCATCCATGAGCCCTGAGTGTTCCTTAACCAACCCTTGGTGTTCTCTCCAAAATAACTTGAATTGATGGACTTGACAGCGTTTACGGTGGCACTTGCAGCCGTCAACTTCGGGGAACTCCCATGGTTCTTCGATTTGCTTATTAGTGGAAGATTGTTGGGATTCGCGCAATAGGGGTAATTCTGCAGATATCTCTAACGGCTTCTTCTCTTCAACAGCTCCAGAGAAAAACCACTCGTGACAGAAGTCACAGGGGCAGTCTTCTTGTTGTTCGTGCTTGCCATGAGCACTCTTTTCCAACATTTCAGGGTTGAGCTCGATGTGAATGGGCCAGTCAATGGGGAATTTAATGAATTGAGGCATTTTGATATTCCTTGTTGACTCGTGGACTTGGGCTCCTGCAAAAATTGTGGTGGACTTGTTGTTAAGAAGCTGAAAGTCTGGGTTGTGAGACTGTTGTTGCTATGTGAAGTTAGATGCTGATAGAGGATGAGAAAAGATTGGGATTGAGCTGCAATTAGTATTCGTTATATAACCTCAAGATAGTGCCTGTTCAAACCTTGTTTGACTTTAAATCTCGATGTATCGAACCCTAACATGAGAAGGTGAATAGGATAGAACACCTGAGTATCGAGGTGCTGCATTGGATCCGGCGAGACAGGCTGAAACAATGAGCATTGTTTGCATTCATCTCAGCCATTAAAGTGTGTTTATGGTTCCTAGCCATGTCCGAACAACAAAAATCCTTTGTTCTGAGTCTTTGTTCCTCCTACCCGAACGCTTACCATCTACCATGCTCACGCTAATTCAAGATTTTCAACTACCCTCACAGTTCCTAAATCTGTCTCTGGAAAAGATCTGACAGTATTCATATTGGGTGTTGATACATCAGCAGGTTCGAAACTTTGATCGCTAGCTTACTAGTCAATTAAGGGTATATCGCTTGATTTCGCTTAGTGAGGGGGAATTAATATATCAGAATCACATGGATAATAACGAATGTACTCAGCAGCCTTGAGGCCTTAGTAATTAAATCTAGGCTATGCATCATATTCTCTCAACCAATATATATATACATAATGCGGGATATTGAACATTCTCTGAACAAGCCAATCTTCGGAGTCAGTAGTGTAAATTGATTTTCGTATCAAGTCACCCCTTTTGCCAAGGAGACACCCGAGTATGGTATCTTTTGTTGCAGAGTTGAGTGAATAATGGATATCTGGGGATGTATCCTACATTGGATTTTAGAATAATTCTTCTCGTCTCGACGCCTTGCCCGATATGGCCACGAATGTTTTGGCTCACACAGACTTGGCTTACTGCGCTCTCTTTTTCTCCAGAGAACTCTGAACAATCTCAGGGTCACAGATGTAAAGGAAATCGTTATGAACCAATTGAAATCAGAATTATCAAGTAGAAAGATGTTAGTATACCAGGAAGAGGGATTCAGCCCAAAAGAAAAAAAAGCAAAGAGCTCCCTAGCCACTAATCCATCAACTTGGAGTCAAATAATGAAGTCCTACGCTTTGCCTCTGCTCCATAAATGAACCATCCAATAAAATTGGAGTAGTATATTCTACATTACCGCATTGCTGCACGTTGCCGAGAGCCCTCGATGTAGCTATCCGCATTGGTGTTTGTCAACAGGGATCTTTTCCCCTAAAGTGCCTTTACTCTCTTTGCCTTCCAAAATATTAAGACCATCCATTCGTTATCCATCCATCACTGAAATTTACAGTTACAACAAAATTATGTCTACCAATTCTGCTAGCCGCCTGGCTGCAACAAAAAGGGCTTTCCATAATATAGTCCAGGAACTCTTCCACAAAACTCAAGAGCCCGTAAGACCGAGAAATTATAGAGGCGCCACCTTTCAACAATCGGAGAAATATGTACTTCTGCATGAGGAAGAGCAACACCTTTCAGATCATATAGCAGTTTTGACTCAAGCTAAAGGAGGCCCGCACGATGTGTCGGTAGCTACGATTGAAGAATGTCATGAACGATATCCACCCTCTCTAACCATACGAATCGCATCAAATCAAACGCCTTCATTGAAAACTGTGGATGGACTGCGTAGATGTCTAGATATTGTTGAGGAAATTGCCCGTGAAGGTTGTTTGGCATATATTCAACACTATTCGCATTGCTAACTCATGTCCGCATGCAGAAACCGACCAAAATGAAGAAGAGCATAGATCCAAACTTCTTTCGGAAATCGTGAAGCTAAGCAATTCTCGTCTGCGAGCTCGCATCGCTTCACAAAGTAAAGGGCATGGTAAGGCTCGGCAATCACTTTGTGATAGGGCTGAGAAGCTTCGCAGCATGCTGTTGGTACAAGAGATGGATGTTGATAGTCCGCAATGGCGAACTTCAGTATGCGGTCACCTCGCAAATCTTATCCAGGATACCAAAACCTTCGACTCTGGATCTCAGTGCCACCAACTGGATAACCTAGTTAAAATAGTCCTCACTGCTCATGAAGTGTCGACGACCGGTGGTAGCCCGTCTCTTGAACACCAGTTCTATACCAAAGGTATCGATCCAGACATTGTTCATCGCAGTACTGTGCTTCAAATCGACAAAATAAGCAGGTATCTAGACATTCGCAACGACTTGATGCATTACTGTCAAAAACAAAGATGCCAGGGCTTATTCCGTAACATCCAATTGGAAGTATGCACTGCTCCCGAGATCCAACGTGTCCATGGCGAGATCCAGCTTATCTTCTTCTATGAGCAATACCCTGCGAGTTTGCCTCCAAGATGCATAGGATCCAGTAAATCGGCCTGTTTCTTGTGCGATTTATTTATTAGAAAGCATGGGATGTACCATATTTCACATTCACATGGCAGACTATATGTAAATTGGACGATACCTGAAGGAGACTGGATGGACGAAGAGAAGATCTTGAGGTTTGATGAAATTTTGAGGGACATGAATCGGGAAATGGTGCAAATCAAAGAGACATTTGTGAAACCAATTGGGTATGAAGGGAATGGTGCTGAAAGCAGAGTGCATCTGTTGACCCTTCCGCCCAACCGTGTCGCAACCTCAAGTGATGTAAGGGAAAGAGAGGCACCTAAAGAACAAGAAAATGGTGCTGAAGTCGAAGTTATTTAGAAGTCTCGGTCCGAGCTTTTGGAGGACTCGAACTGTTCAAGGCTCCCTGTCCGAGCTTCCTACCACTACAATATCTTCACACCCAAACCCAACATACACCCTCAACGACCTCCCCATCAACCTCCCCATTCTACCCAATCACCCTCAGGACCCAACAATCCTTCAGCTTAACAACAGAATACATATTCGACATTCTCAACATGAAATGCGGCCATCTCATCATCGAACGCCATGAACCACACGAACCAATCAAACAATACAAAAACCAGACCAAAAACCCCCCAAGCATCAACATCAGAAGTGCGAAGCTAGAAACCGAAATTGTGATTTCCATTCCACAATCAGATATAACTTTAAATGCAGATGCCAATGCGGATGTAAGCGCAACAACATTTCCCATAAATGATAAGGAACCTTCGAGATTCGCGTGAACATTATATGAAAAGAAAGCATGGAGCGATTAATGAGGAAGAAAGAAGCCACTCTTTTTGAATTCTTTAAGCAAAGTTTTTACATAAACACTTAATAAATACCCTATAAACATCCAAAAAAATAAAATAAAAACGAAAACTATTACACTAGTATTAAATATATATAGCTGCCCTACAACCGAAAAGCTTTGATAGAATGAGGTTCAGTTTGAAGAATAGATAAAATCAAAGTGAAGCTCGTGAAGATATGCTTTGGATTAAGTAAGATCCTACCTTGAAGCTCGATCCTGTTAAATAAACGATATGAGAAGGAAGTGGCCTGGTTGACGTCAACTGCAACTTGCAGTCCACTATTCATCCGCTTATTGCCTTAGCACTACTTACTTGTATAAACCTCGCAAGCGAAGCGCATTTAAACAAAAATTGAATCAGAAATATCACAATCACAACCCAATTTGGCAGCCTTGGAAGGAATTGTTACTACTCATTCATGGTATTACATTTAAAAGTTGTCTGGTCCTACTAGTATTCCGCTTTCCTCGTATACGAGAGACCTAACGCGCCTATCACACAATCATATATCCATGCCTTGTTGTGTGCATTTGCTTGCGTGCCTGTTCCCAAAAAAGATCCCATCCGTCCGTCCGCCTGCCCATCCATCCGCCCATTCCAAGAAAAGTGGAAAAACGATAGACGTAATAGACGTCCACTCAGTGAATTCCCCAGTCTCCCCTTTCCTTCCCAATTCCCAACCTCATATCTTCAGTAAACATCATGTCAAGGTAGAGAATATCCCTTGACTCATATCCCTCTCTGAATAATGCAAAATCCTATGATATCACTTCTCCGGACCAGCCAGACGAAACCTCTACAGCTTCTCGCTCCATATGATTTTCTCGTCGCACTGAGAAGGCACCCGTAAATGAACCAAAGAAACAAGACGAAGCGCGCAAGAAACATCACAACTACCACCAATTAAAACAAAATATATCGAGGAAGATTAAACGAAGAAAAAGAGGTATAAAGCTTGCATCTGCACAATGTCAGGAAATCGTCATATACGCCATCAAAACCATGCCACCCAGGTATATCGAGATCAAAAAACACAACTCCTATGAGCCACCACCCAGCAGTATCGGTGGCTTTGAAGGAATAAAAGAATTTTCATACAGCCTGCCATCGAGCGAGTAATCGAAAGCAGGTATTTCCGTGGAAGGAAATGCATCCATAATTATGAGGATGCGGAGTAGTCGAAATCTACCATCCTTTCTTTCTGGCGAAACGCTTGTTCAGGAGAGCAAGAACCTTTGGTACGTTGAACTGCACATACTCAAGGTCAAGATCTTCTTGATTATCCTTTTGCATCTCGAGCAAGTCATCGAGTTTGAGATCAAGCTCCAAGAGACCACGATTTCGTCCTGGTAAAGTTAGTATGGATTAATACAAGCAGATGAAAATAATCCGTACCTTTATAGTGCAACGAAATGACGAAAGTTCCGGGTAAAGGACTTGTGAAGTTGAAGTAGATGTTGGCTCTTCTGTTGTCAGGTACGTTACTCTTCTGAATAACGCCTTGCTTCTCTAACTCTCCATGCGTGAATTTGTATGGTCCTAAGACTTGGTGCTTTTGTTGCTTTCGTTTGGTCCCTTCGCTTTGACTGCGAACATTGTGCAAATAACTCTTGTAGGTTTCCAGTTGACCGACAAGATAAGTGTTGTGATCGCGAATGGTCTGGAAGACCTGGTCGAGTTTTTGAGTTTCAACAATAACCCCATCTTTGAGCGACCCAAGATGTTGAAGTTCCTGCTCGACTTCATCCCGCAAAAGACTGAACTGATCCGATTTGTCGATGACTCCCAACTCTTGCAACTGGCTCAACAGTTCCATTGCCCGAATACCTTTCCGCACCATAACAGCATCGTTGCGATACTGACCCGCTGCATCAGCAACTCGCTCGAGACGAAGTGGTCTTCGTGCCACAGCACTGTTACTTGGAATCGATCGCATGATTTGAACAAATGTTGATTTAGCCTCCATGAAGAAAACCTCTTCTTGGGTGATATCAAGTGCAGCCGTTAGATCATCAATCGCTGTTTCCCACTTGCTGAAGAGTGGCAGATTGATTGCTCTGTTGTCCTTTCTAGGCAGTTGTGCTGGAGCCGGTCCTAAATCTGCCAAGATCACAGCCAAATGTGAGTTCTCATCCTTGTTGAGTTCGGCAGTGTGTTTGTCGAGTAAAGCGTGAGTAGCATAAACTTCATTGAGGGTAATTGATAGCTCCAAATCCTTCTTTGATAGCGCGACATAGTTGTCCATTTCCAAACTTTCGTAAAAATCCTGAACTTCGCAGAGATCAAGCATAAACTTGTTGACTCGTTCCTTGTTGTGTTGAATGAATGGTTGAAGTTTGGCCATGTATGGTTCCTTGGCATATGAGGGTTTGTTGGCCAGATTTTGAAGCATCTTAGCAATCAAGGTCAAGGTACGTCGTGGTCGGTCGGCTGGAGTTCCATCAATGAGCATATATGATTTAGGGGTGACAATAGCGGGGTTGATGAATCGCAAGAAGAAGAAACCTCCAATGAGTGTGCAGATCACTTGGTCATTGGCATCTGGATACTTTCTCTTTGTGAGGCTTCGAATTTGTTTGCAAATCCAACGAATACCGTATGGTGTTTCCTCTAATCCATCAATAATTGTTGTGAGAAATCCATTTGCAATCTCCATAAGCATTGTTAACCTTGGCTCGATAATAGCCTGGACCTGTGTATTGTCTGCTGCCTCCTCTGCGGTTACTCCTCTGGGCAAGGAAGCTGGAAGCCCTCCTGTCTCCAGCTCAATCTGCGCAATCATTGTTTCGTAAACCTTGAGGGGATTGATCTCCAAGTCAAGATCCTTCAGCTCGATGAGTCCATTGATTCTGTCTGCCAAGACCGTCTTCAAGTAGCTTTGGCCGGGACCTCTTCTAGTGTATGTAGTCATCATGCGGGATACTGGTGTGTTCGCTCGGAGGAGGGAAGAATATTCAGGGGTGTTATCGAATTGATATGTCAAGACAGACTATAAAATGCATATCAGTACTGAAAGAGGTCAAATCACAGGGTATATGTCTTACTTGAAACATGGTCAAAAGAAGATGCTCTTCACGACTCTCATATTGATTTCCATAAATTGTGAACATGACTGTCTGTAGTAAAGAATCAATCTCGGCCATAGTGACCAGGCGGCAGAGGTGAGCTATGTGACGAGGTTCTGATTGAAGCAGGAACAAAAGATTGCCATATTTCTGTGTCTTTTCATCATTCGGGAAGAACCCTTCTTGTAGATCGGTCGCATCTTCCAGGTGGCTGGCTACCTCGTTTTGCTGAGAGAAGTGTTAGTTGTGAGAACTTGGCCTGCAGATTATATTCTCCTACCTCCTCCAAAGCCATGCGATTCTGAATCAATAACGCTATTCTCGAATCCAGGTATCTAACATCTTTTTCCAACACGAAATTCTTCTTTGACTGCGATGAAATCTTCGATTTGAGTTCTCGTAAAACTTTTTGTGCTACACGGATCCATCAGTGCTACGTTCATACCAATTGCGCCAAAATCCTCACCTTTCGCAAGATCATCCTCAATTTCCAAGTCCTTCTCATTCGCAGACATAGAAAGATATAATGTGGTCATAGAATATCTCTTTGATTGTCGGGCAGAGCGAGTTCCATCGTGTGAAGACATGGTATTTTGTCGGGAAACTGGTTGAAAAGACGAAGATGAGGCTGTCGATGCCCGAGAAGGGGTCTGGAGCATTACACTCATACCTTTTGTTTGACCGAGCACACCGGATTTCTATCAATTAAATCGAGATTCCAATGTCTTTTGTGACACTCTGAAGGGACCTTTGATGCACCGTATTGTGTTGCGCGAAAAGAACAAAGAGATCTGCTGATCTCTTTTCCTTGGTTGGTTGAAGAGGTAGATGGTTGAAAAGATTCGAAATTATGATAAGATGCTTCAAGTAGGTATGTACTGTATGTACTTTGAAAATGGCAAAATCAGACAAATAGTTGGAATTGAGCAAATTTTGTTAAGGAAAGATATTATTGTAAGTAAAAGAGTGAATTGTATGCGATTGTTTCATTTGTTTGGAAAAGGCTTTTGTTGAATTTTTGAGTTGCGAAGGAGGGCTTGTTAATCGACCAGCGAGCCGCTCGGGTCTTCACCCCAAATTACCTGTTGAAAATCTTTTAAATAGAAAAAATATAAAGATAAAAATAAAAAGGATCCTTCAATGAAAAAAGCTTCAATGTCGATGATCCAGATAGGAATGATTTGCTACAGGAGTCGCATGCGCCGGTGACTGAATAATATATTGTTGGCTGAGTCGTCGCAAAATGTTCCGCATGCAGGAGGGAATTTCTGTCAAAAAATGCGTCCAAGTTGTAGAATGGGATGCGGACAGATAAGGCAGTTGCGGAATCAACAAATGAAGGGGGGAGTAGGTATGATATGATATATGTTCGGTATATCTACTGAAAACAATATTCGGAGAATTGATTCAAGATTTGTGTATAACGTTGTAAATTGGCGAATTGTTCCTCAATGGTGTATGTGAGTCGTCGTCGTATAAGTGAGAAGCCAAGGTCGGGTACATGGAGTGATTGGAGCTGTACGGAGTAGGGAGTTGAAGCTGCAGTTGTAGTTATAGCCGTGGTCGTAGTTGTGGTAATATATAGAGCCGTGTTGTGGTTGACGGTAGGTAAACTAACTTATCGAAAGGAAGGAATTATACGGGCGAAGGGTCGTGTGTGTGGTGTGATGTTGATCGATGCAGGTAGATACTACTCCGTACTTTGATGAAGGATAAAAGAACGACTTGATGAATTTGGGAATTCGATGTTTAGGATGTAAAAGGGAACTTCTGCAGGTAAATGATAGAAGTGGGCACGTTCTGTTTTGGCGGGATAGAAACAGACGAGGGGAGGGTGGGATGAGGGATGAGGGATGGATGAGGGGTGTTCTGCAGGATGGAATATAAAGGTAACAAAGGGTTAGTCTGAAAGGGAAAAAGAGGGCGAGCGCGGATTATTTCTTCGATTGATGAATCAAAATATCATTTAAGCTCATCTTGGCCGGATGAGAAGAAGTGGCTTGCTCTGGCTTGCGGCTTGCTTTGGGCTTGATCTTGATGGGAAAGCAGAAGACTTTGACCCAAGAGGGATTCGCACATATGAAACATCCATCCAAGTCGTCAGGGGTTATACATAAAGATATATAACTTTATAAGTGGAGAGTCATCATCAATTCAGGTACAGACGGATATTATGAAATCTACCAAGATCTTTCTCAAAAGTAACTAAAATCTATGTATAGTAATCGAATAAACGTAATCTCTCAGCATGGATATCTAGATGATGGGTGGTGGCGGTAAAAAATCAAAAGAAATATCAAAAGAAGTATCAACAGAAGTATCAACAGAAGTAGCAACAGAAATATCAATAGAAGGATCAAATACCTTTATTGATTCTTTTAAACTTATCCATCTACTAGATACCACGTAAGGTTACTTTGAACAAGGTTAGTCAGCTTAATTGAAGATAAATATTTGACATACATATACATATATATATATATATATATATACACATATATACATATATGTGCTCAAATACTTTAAGCTATCTTTTAATATATCCCAATATAAACTCCAACCAATTCAGTGGATCAATTATCTTCACCTCTTCTATTAGGTTATCTTCATAGCACATCGATATCTGTGACCTGTGGCCTGTGATCTATGATCTATCTCACATTTAATATGAGTAATGACTGATGTACCGGTACATCAACATTCTGTCATTATTTTCCTCCCGCAATCCTCCTTTTCTCTTTCCAACCAACCAGCTCGTTTTCCCCAGCAATACGTACATGTCTCTCCCGCGCATGAAATTAAAGGCTACATCCATTCAATACCGGTCTGTATTCCCCGATCATCCTATAATCTCAAGGAAACGAATCCAACCTTGATCCATTGGTCCAACCCGAGCATCCTTTCAAGATTAACATCTACCAAAATACCACAGTCGCACGTGGAAGTTCTCGCCTTGTCACCTATTTAGGATGATTCTTCGATGGCGCAGCAGTGGAGCATAAATGTAGGAACTAAAAATGGTAAAACTTGGCTCTGATTCCCTACCGCCAGCCCACGTTTATTATTGAGACTCAGATAACCCAAAATAGGATTTGGGAAGAATTGGCTGTAGCGTATCTGTTATGTCGGGTCCCTTGTTGGGTGGTATTGGGGTGTTGGATGCTGGTTGTACCGAGTTATGGAGAAGGAGAGTGATACTGTAACTGTGTCGATACAAAGTACCTCCTCGGAATGTATAAGTTCGCATGGCATATGATTTTTGGGTTAATTGTCATTATGGCAACAAATGATGAAAGGATAGGGACAAGTCGGAAATTTATTTACTGTATTTTCTATGGTTCTCACCATATACTTATCTATTAGTGAGGAAAACAAAGTTTTGAGTCGGCGGTGAGAGATGAGTGCTATGATTGGTTTCCCTTATTTTCCTTACTGCACCCAATTTTTACATTGACTCCATAGATACAACTCCAACAACTAATCATTCTGTGTACCTACTCTGTAGTATTCTTCATCGAACGATCAAGCTGTGCAACGGTCCTCTTATAAACAGCTCTAACTATATCGGTAGCTTCAACTCCGTGTACTGACTGTAAATCCAAATGTGTACTAAATCAAGCCCTCCTCTTTTGTGGAACTAGTGCTTCTTCGTGAATCTTGTACCTGACTAGAATCCCTGACGGCGTCGCGATAGGAACCGATCAAATGGCGATCTGTCAATGTGGTACCGTGGTTGTTCTCCGCAGTACCCGCTTCATTACTGTGGTGGTTCCTGTACAAGATGTTTGGGTTCGCCTCGGTTCCAAAGTTCCAAGTTCTTTGCCCTGGTTGGCCGTCTAGGTACTGGACACTGGCTGGATACTGGGTGACTAGGTAACTGGGTAACTAGGTAGGCAAACTCTAGAACTATCGACGCCATTGATTTTATACATCTAATACGACATATACCTCAAAACTGCTTCAACTCCAGTTACTTTGGACATCCATCCCATTAGCTCTAGCCTTATTCATCCTCAACAATCGAGCGTTTGGAGCATGGAAATTTATACGAATGCCCAATACCTATACCTGCCTATGTAAGATTACACTTCAAGAAATAACTCCCGATATGTTCATGCTCACAAGGTGTAACGAACCCAAATTTATCTCTCGGCGAACCGCTCCGTCCTTAAAACTGTCATATCATCCGTACGCTAAGACTTTTCAACACGTCAAAGCATCAAAAGACATCAATGCCATCCCAATTCGACCCCCTGGTGAACGTTTCAGGGGTTATTTAGTATTATTAACTTGAGTCTTTGAATTGGAAGTTGACTGAGATAAAGATAGGCCGTGCGTTACCTTTTGATGATCATGTGTTCAGTGTTCAGTGTTCAATGATCATTATTACTATTATTGTTAGTGACACTGTTCAACACGACCGATAGACCGACCAAACAAACCGGGGTTTTCTCTATTGGTGATATGGTTTATGATATTGATGCTTTCTAGTTCTGCCCTACCGCCCTCTACTCAGCCCAAGAGAATTACCAAGCGATGTATACGGTATACTGCGCAGTATCTTCGTTGGGTAGTTGGTTGGTAACCGCACAATTAGACACGTCTCATCAGGAGTCCATCAAGCGTCCATCATCAGAGGATACCTATGTACATCCTTATCTCTTTTCCACCCCTTCATCCTTAGCAACAACTGAATGCTGCCTACACAACAGATCAACATTCATTCATGATATCATAATTCTCGACTGTTTAAGCCTTTCGTTTACTTCACCTCCCTCGTTAAACTATCTCCAATCAAGCCAAGCATCAAGCATGTCACTGGCCACCCAACCAGACTTGCATTCGACTGACTTGTCTAAATGTCTCGGAGGACTGAACGTTTTGGATTAGGTCAACTTTCAAATCCAATTGACAAGACAACAAGCTTACAGGATAACGTTATTCTTATTGGCATGCCGCCATTTGTGTCTTCATCCGAAATCCAACCCCGAGCTCCGGTCCAACGATTTTGATCACTAGACATGCCAGGGCAAAAATATGGAGGACAACATTCTGAATGATCTGATCACGGCAGTATGGTTCCTACACATCTATATTTACCAATAGCCGCTTCAATCTCGCAAGACGCGCGACAAAGTGAAAATGGTATCATGGGAAATTCAACGCTGTGGGATGTTCCCGCTATGCCTTCACCGAGTCCACTTTCATACATCCATGTTAGTCGACCCCGTTTCTACTTTCGTCGGTATCTGCATCTACGGTCCGTACATTGTACAGACAGAGTACAGTACAAGCACGTCTCCTCCTTTTATACCAACATGTATGCAAAGCGCGCGGGCCACTTCCGTTGGATGTTGTCCACATTTATCGCGAGACACGGGGGTCACCGGTATGAAGTTTGGATATTGAAGAGCATGCGCAAATTTGTCTATGAGCCGTTCCCATCTAGGTTTCTGGCATAAAACGAGATATGTATGCAGGATAGATAGGCAAGTGATGACATTTCGGTATCTTGGATTTATGCAATCGAAATTTCGATCTTCCATATATCGCGCCATCAGAGACAGCTGTATCTCACTCCAGGGTCTTATTCCGATAGATACAGTAATCAGTAATGCTGTACTCCAGAATAACTTTATTCACTATGCTCTACGCTTTCATATTGCTAAGTCCTTTCGAGCTAAGACAAGCCAGCCAGGCTGGACTTGCTCGAAGGCGGTTGATCCATTCAACTCATACATACTCGGGCCACGGCACATTCTATAATAGTTCTATGCTAATAAGTACAGTAGCATTTTCGCTCCTCAGGCAGTACAAGCGACACTACCGTCACTCTAATTCCGGATTTCTCCTCTATTGCACCATCTACCCGTCTTTCTGTATGGGGTACATATCGACACAACTTCCAGAACCTATTTTTTCTTCTTCTCTGTTCCTTCTCTCTCCCATTCCTCTCGAACACAACTATCCAGTTTCACTAATACTAGTATGTAGTAAGGTATACAACATTTTGGCAAGTTCCGAATGTCATTTTTATTTGTCTTTGTATTTTCCTTCCGTGTTACAAAAATCATGCAGCTTCCCTGTGATGTTTCATGTATATACCGGTTGGTTCGTCACTATACCCCGGATGTACAACCCCTGTCCTGTTTGCAGGCTTGTGCTACGGTCGATCTGCATTCCCTTGATGGTGGTGCGTATGGATTGTGGCGTTTGTGATGATGGGTAGATGCCAGCTGGTTGAGTTGAAGTGCGCTGGGGGAATATACTGGATTGAAGTTAAGAAGGCAATGCACAATGGCAGGAGAGCGGGGTGTTCTGAGTAATCGGAATACCAGAGGTTAAAAGCCTGGTATATGGAAATGGCCTAAAAGGAAGAGGGGTAAGAACAGTTGGGGAACAGAAAGCAAGCTATATCCAACACCTCCAGTCATACATTTACACCAAATCAGAATCCCATCTCTCCTCTACATCATCGTATGCTTTAACTCATACCCACACTTCTGTTATGGTCCAGTCATTTCTCCATGGCGACCAAAAGTACCATTTCTGTTCTCCCAGCCTTCATCTTCTTTACCTTTGTCAGCTGTCTCAATCACTTTCCCTTTCTCCATTTCATCACACGAGAGTCGCGTGTATCATTTCCTTTCTGTTCTGCACACACAATCTGCATTTTAGAATCTTCAGCATATGACCCTAACTCTTTGGTTCTCTACATAAATGCGCTTCCTGATTCTAAATGGTTGGTAAATGCATGTCTACCCAATGTTGATGCAACTGCCAAATCTAACCGACTTGTCCTCACACATGAGAAGATTTCAATCTTAATTCTAATAGAGAATCTTGATGCTCAATAATATGCCAGTTTAAATGTGACATCAAACTTTCAGTCGAAATTTGAGAAATACAATGAATATTTTGACCTTGGTTGATAGTCGCAAATTGTCTGAATGGGTCACCATACTTAGTTCGATGATCTAGACAAGCTTCCGAGGAATCATCAACATCGATACCCGGTTACCCAGAGAACTCCAAACTATCAACGTCCTCTATCCTTTCTCATCGACATGGTCAAATCGTGCCAGTATTTGAACTGGCTTTTTGCTCCAATTCCAGTATGCTAAAGAAGTCAGCAATCCTCCTTTCATCATGCAGTAATCTGCAATGCTTTTATGCATCGTCCCACATATCAACGACGTCACTATCTTATCCATTCACATCGCAAAATCATCAACCTCAATACCTCTTCCAACGACGAAAATATGCCATAATATCCGACGGACGAAGCGCAAATCAACATGGGGGATTACGATGGCCTGAATTGACATCCGCACATGCCGTTCCAACTCCCTACCAAATCTTCAATCAGAAGAAAGGATCTCCATATTCCAAACGACGTTTCTACGAACTGGTCAAACTTTATCATCCGGATAAACATGGCATTGATACAAACGACGGATTAGATTATGACACTAAATTATCACGATATAGATTAATTATTGCAGCGAACGATATCCTCTCCAATCCCATCAAACGAAGTGCATATGATACATATGGCGCAGGCTGGAATGGATGTCCTGATGTTCTCGATCCTCGCGATAGACATGGCGATAATCGTGGATGGGCAGGTCCTGGAGGACCTGCTCAAAACGCTACGTGGGAAGATTGGGAGAGATGGTACAAACGCGATGCCAAAGGACAACAGGAACCACAATTCTTATCAAATGGCGCATTTGTCTTGCTGATCGCAATCTTTGTTGTGGTGGGCGGGTTAGGACAATTGACTCGACTGGATAATTATTCGATGAAGTTTTTGGAACAGAGAGATACGTTACATGATAAGATGAGTAAGGATTTGAGACAGAGGAGGAAGGAGACGAAGTATGAATTTGGGAGTAGGGAAGAGAGGATACATAGCTTTTTGAGGCAGCGACAGGATCCGTTGGAGGAAACTTATAGGAAGTTGTTGCCGAATCCCGAGGTCTGCTCGAGTAAGGATATTAAACAGAGGTCGATAGTGGTTTATCAGCCACCAAAGAATATACCGAAGGAATGAGAAGAGGAATACTTGTGTATATACGGAGGATGGTTATGGAGACATTTTCCAGCAGAAATACATGCAATAAATGCAACGGCTTCAGCCACAATACTCATTTGTGGCGCCAGGTCAGGTAGGCTCGCAAGCAAAAGACATGGTGGGGTGGAAATGTGGGGTTATACGAGACATTGAAGCTTTTAAGTTCTTATGTGAGCGGGATTGAATATGGAGCTGATGAGGTTATTGATATGCCGAATGTCCCGGCTATGGAAGGTTGTAAGAGCTAGAGTACAAGTAGTCAGTCACCGGCTTCACGGCAATGTTGCTGCCGTTGCGCGAACTGCAACGAGCTGAAGGTACATAGAATAATAAGCAAGGAGTGAAACGATACAATTAAAGCAGAATGCCATCTACATAACCATGTATTCATCTACCCACCTAGTATCTACCCTCCCTCGTCTCGAACCAGCTGAATAAATCCAATCACAATACTCTGTATGCCCAGAAAATCCCAGATATGCGCATCAACGTGTACAAAGTTGCCAACCTGCCCCTCTCTCAACCCTTGTATTATATTCGTCATAGCTTCACTCAGCCCTGCGGGGATTGGTAAGATCTTTACATCTGCCACCAACCAAATATATTGGAGATTCAAATCACGGCCACTTTTTACCAGCTGTTTGATTCAGATACTACCCTTCCTTACCTTGCTTAACCTTACTCCACCAACCCACCTGCATGCATTCAACTAAATAAATCATTTACATATAAAACCATCTCACACTTCTTAACTGCAAAGAAATTTTGAGAAAAAGATATTCAAAGTGGCGCATATCAAGAAGATTGTTTTTTTCAGTATCCCTTTATTCTTATCCTTTGTCGCTCTGCTTATTACCTTGCGAAAAGGTCCTGGGACGTGGAATATAGCGGGTCTTGATCTTGGATTTGGTGAAGAGGGTAGAGCGGGAAAGGAATTTATTACTGAGGATTATAAGGACGTGGGCGTCGGAGACAATATGGGTGGTGGTGATGGGTATCGCGCTGTGGCGTATTTTGTTAATGTAGGTTTGGATTGGTGTTTCTTTATCTTTCGGGGGGTTTGTGGGTGAGAGTTTGCCGGGTTAAAGGGGCGGGATGGTGCTTGAAGTCGGAAAGATTATTGAGCTCGGGGATTTGAAATTGGGGATCTGGTTCTAAATACCATCTTGAGAGGTGGTGGAACAATGATACGGTGCTGTATAAGTGTACACGATGATCTCGTGATTTCCATTCACAGCACCACCATCCGGAAAAACGAGGATGGCGAGATGGCGGAAGCTTTATGATAAAAAAATACTGACAGCTATTTAGTGGGCAATCTACGGCCGCAAACACTTTCCCCAGGAACTTCCCGCTGAAAAATTAACTCACATCCTCTACGCTTTCGCCAATGTTCGCCCGGAATCGGGTGAGGTGTACATGACTGATGGCTGGGCCGACACCGATATTCATTTCGAAGGAGATTCCTGGAATGACGTCGGTACTAATTTATATGGCTGCTTGAAGCAACTCAATATCCTCAAATCTCGAAATCGCTCCTTGAAGATTCTGCTAAGTATTGGTGGCTGGACCTATTCATCTAATTTCGCCCAACCAGCTTCTACAGAGAGTGGAAGAAGAAGGTTTGCCGAGAGCGCGGTGGATTTGATTAGGAACTTGGGATTTGACGGAATTGATATCGATTGGGAATATCCTAAAAATACCGATGAGGCACGGGATTACGTTCTTCTCTTGAGGGAATGTAGGGAAGCCATGGATCGCTATTCCAGCACTCTACCTAACTTTCACCACTTCGAACTCACGGTAGCTTGTCCCGCCGGCCCTCAAAATTACAACAACATGGATGTTCGTGGCATGAACGAATATCTGGATTTCTGGAATCTAATGGCTTACGACTATGCGGGATCATGGGATAGCGTTGCAGGACACCAGGCAAATCTACACCCGAGTGAAAGTAATCCAGATTCCACGCCATTTAATACCGAACATGCGGTAAGAGCTTATGAAGCGAGAGGTGTACAGGGACATAAAATTGTACTTGGGATGCCGATTTATGGAAGGGCGTTTCAGGGGACTGAGGGTTTGGGAAAACCATTTAATGGCGTGGGAGAGGGCACTTGGGAAAATGGTGTGCATGATTTTAAGAAGTTGCCACAAGAGGGCGCGAGAGAGATTGTGAATGCGGAGACTTGTGCTAGTTATTGTGAGTTGTTTTGTTTTGTTTTCCCTACCTTTTTCTATCTTTGTCTTCTTTATCGGCGTTTAAGATAAAGGATTATGGATAGAATGATATGTCAATGAATCACTGCCATGAAATAAGAAGCAGAAGCTAATAGACGATAAAAGCATACAACGAAGACACCAAAACCCTCATAACCTACGACACGGTCGAAATCGCTCGTAGAAAGGCTCATTATATCAAGGAAAGAGGTCTCGGTGGCGCCATGGTATGTTTTTTCTATTCTTCTTTTCTTCATCCCTTCCTTCCCTCACGTCCTCAACCCATCCCTATCCAATAAATAATCCAATAACTAACCCAACCAAATAGTGGTGGGAATCATCAGCCGATCATGCCGAGCGTGAAAAATCTTTAATCCATAATGTGGTTGATGTCCTAGGAATCCTAGAGGGAAGTGATAATTGTCTTGAGTACCCGGAGAGTAAATATGAGAATTTGAGAAATGGGTTCTAGGATTGAGAGACTTAGGGAGGCAGGAATGGGATGAGTGAGGTTGTATGTGAATTACTTTCTGATGAATGGATGTTTTGTTGCTTGGTTGTATTTTAACGATGGATCATCGCTGCGTCCATGAATCATGCTCGAAATTGAGTTGATGTACTAGATATGAAACCTCACTTGTGATTATACAAATCGAGAAGCGCTCGGGCGACTACAAATAAGGTTATGTATGTAAACGACCTTTTGCCGCCCTGTCCACATCTAACCTTCTTCAATGCCACCCACATCAATAATATGGTCATGCTTCATGGACTTAGCGTTCATATCTCCTATCTAAACATTTCTTCATACCAAATATAAAAGCGATGATCGTCACTAGATGTTCCTATACTTTGCACAGTTAATCCTACAAAAACCATGCATGCCAATTCTATCCCAAAGTACGCAAATAACCACAGTACCCCCCACAACATTCGCTGCATCAGTTAGTGGAGAGATATATACAGTGACCGTGCACTGCTACTAGCCATAGGCTCTTTTTACACCAAAACTCACTCTTTTCACTTATTAATATTAAAAGAACTCAATATTTTTTAAAGAAATCCTTTAACAAATTTAAACAGATTCATTTAAAGATTCTATATTTTAGATATTGATAAATTTTAATAATTAATTGATAAATTTGTATAGCTTTAAATTTTAGATTTTGAAATTTTCCTCATTTTGCCGCGAAAATTGAATCAAAATTTCATATGGTCATTTTCAAACTCAATTACATTATTTTGAAAATTTCAAAAAATAATCAACTAATTTTTTATTATATATTCAAATCGAAATAATCCAATTTTTCAATTTCAATTATACCTTTATAATAATTAAAATTGTTTTAATTTTGTAAAATGGTTGAGGTTTGGTGTGAAAAGGTCATTCGGCTAGTAGCAGTGCGCTAGTACTGTAGATCTCAACCCAATGTCTCATTTGTATTGACAGTACTGTTTAAACATACGAAAAGTTAAAGATGATGCTTTGTCAGGAGAACTTTCTCTCTTCCTCGGCTTTTCTCTTACTGCATGTTGATATCCTACAGGAGCATGAAATCAGTGATTTACTGATAATGTAATCCGTGCCAATGTTAAAATATAGATTTCAAATCTCGTTAATAGCAATTTCTTAATCTATACTATTTTTAGATTATAATATTAAAGATCTTCTTCAATCTTTTAATCTTTTTAATCTCTTTAATCTCTTTAAATATTATAAATAATTTATAATTTTCATTAAATAATAAATAAATTTTTTCAATTTTATCAAAATAAATAAAGTGAAATGAAGATTGAAAAAGTAAATTTAAAATAATTATAATATATCTTTATAAATTAATAACAATAAAGATTTTGAAAAGAAAAAAAAAGAGAAGAAAAGAAGAAAGAAAAGAGAAAGAAAGAAAGGAAAAAAAAAGGAAATTTTAACCTCCTCTCTCCCCTCTGTCACGATTTACGATTAAGATAAGGATATGTTGAGGGGCAGCAATCAATGTGTCTATATGAGTTTAGGCCTTATCGAAAAGCAAGGCGATTTGTATACAAATTTGTATAGTAATCGCTTTATATGGTCTCCTTATTTTTAACAAGTTCGGATATATAGTCTGATTCTAATTATATAATAAAAAGCTTTGGGAGTTTCGAAAATTTCTAAAGCTTTAGGAGCTTTTTGGAGCTTTAGAGCTTTATAAAGCTTTTTTATATTTATTAATATATAATCAAAATAGTTTTATAATTTAAAAACTTTATATTCAATTTAGTTATCAATTAGTTTATCTATATTCCAATTGATCTAATAATATATTTATCTTCGAATGAATAACCAGTGATTATTAATCTTAATTTATAACTATCAATTAAACGAATTCTAAAGCAATTGTTATCTCAATTAGATCGTTATATTTTAAGTATTGTTATAATTAAATTATATACAATACAATAGCTTCTAATCAGCAATTCATCGAATTATTTCCATTTAATTCAATCAGGGTTTTTGTTTAGACCGTTGTTATTATAGAATATAGATAAACGATTCAGATATTTATTCTTGATCTATTTTATAAAGATCATAACAAATATCAAGTTTTTATTATATAAATTGATCTTTATTATACTTTTAATGAACAATTTTTCTTGATTCTTATATAAAGGATTTTATAATTGATCTTCTTTTTCTAAAGAATTATATTCAATTGAATTGAATTATTCTTCAATAACTTAATAACTAAGATTATTGATAATCAATTAAACGAAAATATGAAATCTGAGATTCATTATCTATTCCTCAACTATAAATCGTTTAGATAGGGATTCGATAAAGCATTCAGAAAAGTAGACCCCAATTATATAATTGAAAAAGTATTACGATAACTTAAATAGACTAAATCAATCATAATCTATACTATCAAATTTCAACAATATACTAGATATATTATCTAAGATAATAACTATCTAAAATCGCAATTTTATAAAGGATTGAAAGATATTATTAAAAACGAATTAGCAAGAGCTCCGAAATCATCTAATCTTTCCGAATTAATCGAAACCTCTATTCTCATTGATAATCGATTCTATAAACAACAAATGAAGAAGAAAAGAATCATTTAAGAAAATAAGAAATTCCAAAAACCTTATTGTTAAAATAGATATCATAATATCAATAATCTAATAGAATTGAATAATATCAAATGATATTATATAAAATCAAATAATCTAAATATTGATAAGAAAAAAAAACGTAAAAAGAATAATTTATACTTTATTTACAGAAAAAGCAAATATATATCTCAAGATTGTTCTCAAAAAAAGAAACTATTTATTATAAAAAGTAAAAAACAAATAAAATTTGGAAACAAAAGATAAAATTTTCAAGAAATAAGAATCTTGAAAGAAAGTTCGAAAAAAATGGGATTATTGAAAAGAAATCTATCTCAATTCAATCCTAAATAATTAAAGGAATTGGATATCAATAATCAAAACTTTAGAATTAATACTAAAAACAATATAGATTATAAAAAAGAATCTTCAAAAGATCTCGAATTAAGAAACGAAGAATTAATCAAAGAATTCAAAAAGAATCAACAATCAATTGAGTCTCATCATTTGCCTCAAGAAAATAAATTATAATATCTAATCAATTATCTAGATAAGAAATAAATATAATACCATTATAAAAAGAAGAAACCTGATTTCATTAAGAAATATAGAATCTATAATTATCTCATTTTGTTAACACTTTATATAATAATATACAATGATATTTACTATATAATATTTAAAGAAAATACTAGAGCAAACAATATCAAAAGGTATATTATAAATATAGATTCTTTATCCTTCAATAAAATATAGAAATATAACAAGTATAATCTGGAAATTGAAGAGATATAGGAAATTCTATTACAAATCGGGATTCATTGTATTTAACAAAGGACTAATAAAAATAACGAAAAAACATCAAACTAAGATTATTATCAAGACTTTCAAATAAGATCAATAGAATTACTATTTATTATATTCTATTGATTATTAAGTATAAACAAATATCAATAGGAATAACTAAATCTTTTTATCGAAGAACAAACTATCGAATTATTATCATTAAAACTCAATAGTATTATAAAGATTGAATAATTGATTATAGAAATCAAATTAGAGAATCAATAAACAAATACTTTGATTGATTTCAGAATTATAGATATATTTATAGATCCTAATTTCGTTAAAGAAAATAGAATTCTTATAGAATTAAAACAGAACCCTTACCAATTGATACTATTAGAAAAAAAGAAAGCTGAAATTGATAATTAGATATATAAAGAAATCAATATTATCAAAATGATTATATTAGATAAATATATCGAATAAATCAAAATGGATTTAATATTATTGAATAGATATACAATTATCTTTGATATTTTATAGATTAAGAAATATAATCTAAATATCGATTAAATAAGAGATATTTTAATATTCGATTATTACAATTGTAATAATGAATAATTATATAATCCGAAAGAACAAACTTTTAGAAAAACTGGATATTGTATTATAATAACAACAGATCCTTTATTAATCGATAGAATCAATGAAAAAGAAATTCCAATGTAATACAGAAGATTTGTTAAACTTTTCGAAGACCTATAGGATTTGAGGGTTTTATCAGAATATAAACTTTAGAATTATAAAATCAATTTTAAAAAGGGATTCATATTCTCTGTTAAGAAGTTGAGATTATATAATTTTAGTATTATATAGATATAAGAAGAATATAAGATTAAAACTAAAAAGAAAGAATAGATTAGGAAATCCAAATCCTTTTATATATTTAATATATTATTAGTATTCAAGAAAAGCGATTTAGATAATTAATCTTGTGGAGATTATCGCTGGATTAATAATAAAACAATCAAAGATATATATCCAATACCGAAAGTCTAAGAGTTTAGGGATAAATTGAATAGAACAATAATTTATACGAAATTAGATCAAAGAAATGTTTTCAATTTGATATAAATAAAAGAGGATTACAAATAAAAGATAACCTTCATTTTACTATTGGGTTTATAAGAATATATAATTATATTATTCGGGTTAACCAATACATTACTTATATATCAACAACAAAACAATGAGATATTCAAAAAGTTCAATTCATTTATAATCTATTATCTAAATGATATTCTAATTTTCTTTCAAAAAGAAAAAGAATATGAAGGATATATATTGAAAGTATTCGAAGTATTCAGAAAAGTAAATTCAAGATTTAAACTATCGAAATATGAGTTTAAAATACGAAAGATAATATTCCTAGAATATATTATTCAATCAAGATAAATGAATATAGATTCTAAGAAAATAAAGAAAATAAAGAATTGAAAAAGATCTAGGAATATTAAGGATATACAATCTATATTAAGATTTATCAATTTCTATCGAATATTTATAAAAAACTTTTTGAAAATAATAAAACCCTTTATCGAAATAACCAAAAAAGGAATAACTTTTATATAGAATAAAAAGACAAAACAAACTTTCTAAAAAATCAAGGATAGATTTATAAGGAAACTTATTCTTTACAATTATTATAATAATCGGGAAAGTATTATCGAAATAGATATCTTTAATATATATATAATAGAAGTTTATTTATAAAAAAACAATAATAGGAAATTATATCTTGTTGTTTATTATTCAAACAAAATAGACAAAATAAAGCAAAATTACAATATTTATAAAAAGGAATTTATGATTATTATAAAAACATTAAAATATTAAAGGATCTATCTTTAAAGGGCTAAATTCCTAGTAATCATTTATATTGATTATATAAATCTTCGAATCTTTATTATCATTAAGATCTTAGATAATCATAGATTAGCTAGATAGGTTAAGGAATTAACAGGGTTTGATCTGATAATCAAATATATTAAAAAAAAGGATAATATAAAAATAGATACTTTAAATAAATTATCAAATTATAAAGACAATAAAATCTATCAAAAGATAACAATCTTGAAATCTTTATCAAATAAAGATTTTATCTTTAATCTAACAAAAATCGTTATTATAGAAAATAAATTAATAAAGATTTGAAAAGATAAACTTATAAAAGTATAATAAAATAAAGAAGATATCAAATAATCAGAATCATCAATAACTATTGATAAATTACTTCGAATAAGGAATAAAATTTGATTATCAAATAATATCGCTCTTAAATATATTATAGAACAATATATATTGCTAATTTATAAACATCAAAAAATACAAAGAATACATTTAAAAATCAAAAAGCAATATTGAAATCCAGGATTCCACAATATAATCAATAAAATAATCATCGAGTATAATATTTATATTAGAAATAAAGCTTTTTATTATACTTTTTATAAATAAATAAACATTACCGAAATATTATTTATATTATAAAAATCAATATTATAGAACTTTATAGATCTATTATCAAAATCCAAAGATTTAATAATAAAAGTAATATATAATTATCTTTTTATTATAATAAATAAACTAACGAAATATCTGATATTTGTATTATATTAAACAATATTAATTATAGAAATACTAATTTTTATATTTCTGAAAAAGATTATTATAATACATAGATTATTAAAGGAAATACTCTTTGATAAAAATAAACTTTTTATATCGAAATTTTAAATTATTTTAATAATATTATTAAAAATAAAAAGAAAAATATCTATTATATTTCATCTACAAATCAATAAAAGAAACAAAAGAATAAATCAAATTATCGAAACTTATCTTCGATATTATATAAATTATTAATAGAATAATTGAATAGAACTTTTATTTTTAATATAATTTATATATAACAATTCAATATCAAAAGCAATACAAATCACTTCGAATTACATCAACTATAAATACAAATTGATCATATATTACAAATCAAAGATTACAGAAATAAAGAATCAATCTACAATAATACAAATAGAAAAATTCAAAAAGATCTATAAGAAAATAATAACAGAATTGAAATTCATTATCGAAAGAAATATACACTACTATAATCGAAAATATAATTAAAAATCAACATTAAAAAAGAAGAATAAAATCTATTTACTTCAAAAAAACATCAAAACAAAAAGATCTAATACAAAATTGGATTACAAAAAACTCAAACTATTCAAAATCAAAAAGATTAAAGAATCTTTAAATTATAAATTAACATTATCAAAAAATATAAATATATATTCAGTATTCTATATATCTCTATTCGAATTAATACCCCCAAAAGTATCTAAAACTTCTAAAACAGAAATCATATTTACAAATCAAAATACCGAATATAAAATAGAAAAAATACTAAACTATAAATATATTAAAAACAAGATCAAATACTTAATGAAATAAAAAGATTACTTCAATTTCGAAAATATATAAGAACTTGAAAAAGAAATTAAATATCTAAAAAAGTATTAAGAGTTTCATCAATAAAATCCGGATTTACTCAAAAAGAAAAAGAATTCATTATTTTTTGCAAAAAAGAATCAAAAAAATCGAATTCGTTTATAAGAATTTTATTAAGATTAATAAAATCAATTAATAATTAACCAAATCGATCAAAGATTAATTAATCAAATTGATCAAATTGATCAAATTGATTAAATTAATTAAAAAACAACAAAAAGATCACAAGAATTTCTTTATCCTTTTTTTTTCGTTTTTTTTCTTCAAAAACATTAAATTCATCAAGATATTTAAATCCATAATATAACATTTTATTATATCGTTTTTTGAATTACATTTTTTGTTTAACAAAACAAACAATCTTAATAAAAAACTCAATAATTTCAATATCCAATTTATCAATTTATCAATCAAAACTTTCTCAATCATACTCCCAAAGAATTTCATAATCTCAATCATTTTCCAAACGAAACTCAACATTACATAAAACAGAATTTCATATATATTCCGAACAATACAAACAATATTTATCAAAAAGATCTTTAATACAATAACAATTCTCCTATCAACAATAAAAACAAGAAATCATTTCAATACCAACAAAATCAATAATTATAACTAAATATACATATTCCTTTTTTTTTCTTCGAATTAAACTATTGAAAAAATCAAAATTGTTTATAATAAAAAAAAAGAAATAAATAAAATATAAAAAAAGAAAAAACATTAATTATTAAATGAAACCCAAAAGATTATAAATAATTGAAACAATACTTAACTAAAAAAAGAATAATATCACAATTTACAATTAAAATAAAAATATATTGAAAAATAACAATCAATATATCTATATAAATTTAAACCTTATCGAAAAACAAAACGATTTATATACAAATTTATATAATAATCACTTCATATAATCTCCTTATCTTTAACAAACTCGAATATATAATCTGATCCTAATCATATAATAAAAAGCCCTAAAAGCTTCAAAAGCTTTTAAAACTTCAAAAGCTTTTTGAAGTTTTAAAACTTTATAAAACTCCTTTATACTCATTAATATATAATCAGAATAATTTCATAATTTAAAAACTTTATACTCAACTTAATTATCAATTAATTTACTTACATTCCAATTGATCTAATAACATATTCACCTTCGAATAAATAACCAATGATTATTAGCCTTAACCTACAACTACCAACCAGACGAATCCTGAGGCAGCCGCTGCCTCAACCAGATCGTTACACCCTCTCTCTCTCCCTCTCTCTCTCTCTCTCTCCGAAATCAGAAAATATAAAATCACTTAATTATCAAATTTGAAGTTATTCATACTAAATTTCATTCTATACTAAAATCTCGTTTTATAGATTAAACAAATTACAATCTCAAAAATAGACTTTTTATTGATTCTCGATCAATAAATCATTGATTTAGGACTAGTAAAATTTATTGATCGAGGATCAGTAAATTATTGGTTTCATGCTACCCTAGGGATAGACCAAAGACTGGTTGAAAATAAATCAATATTTTACCGATAAAATCTTTTTACTCGACTAGAATAAGAAAAGAAATTACGAGCATAGTGGATGGAGCCTCTCATGCCGAGATTTTCTTTCTCGAGACTCCCTTTCGAATGTTTTCAGGAGGTGCTGAGGGTCGGCCAAACAAGGAAAAAAGTCAATGCGATGCTGAGTCATCATCCCACACACATCACGTTGTGCGTTGTTGTTCAAAGTTTCTCTTCAAGTGAGTAAAGAAATGAAAATGAAAATGAAAAGAGAACCCTGATGGAATGATATCAATTCTTGAAATCTTCACGAGAAGCCCGGAGGAGAGGAGAGGCGAGGCAAGCCAAATTTTCTCAGGCAACAACTCTCTCGCCATAACAGTCGAAACCTTATTGCCGCCCCATCCGTCGACGTCTTCCCAGTCCAGTATCGAACATCCAATTCTATTCAACCTTGCCAATTTTTATGTTTTTGTCGTCGTATTTATCTTCATACGCATCTGTTTGCACGGGAAGCTCATATAACTTTTTTCTGAGAGCTAAATCTTTCCTGCTACTATACAATTCTAACCATTTAACTCTATCTCCTGGAGCGTTCATGCAATTATAATACCAACTGCTGCTCTGGTCGTCGGTATTTTTTTCTTCGGATGATAACCGCCGATTTAACAGCCTAGCTACGAAAGGGTCCAACCTATTGGACGTTTGTTGTTGTCCTCAGACCCCCTCAGTTGCGCTCACTTACTGTCAAAAACCTCAACCGGCTCAGCTTTTCTCCTATGGGATTACAAGTCCGTTTTTAACAGCTTGCAGCGAAGCTCGACGGTGCTCTTCCTGCAGCTGCAGTCAATATCATTCCGCAGATAGCGGAAGACCTTTTACTACTTCCATTGCGGACTAGAGTCATTAATTCAATCGCCTAAAGCCTTCTCCAGGACTACAATTATCAAGATTAAGTACCGAAGACATTTTCTGCGATTACATCATCAATCTTCACGCACTTTAGGTCGCTTTGTTACAAGTATAACCTTCAAAAGAATGTCACTGGGCACGAGGATAAATGGCTACATCCGTGAAGGTAGTCAACGCGCTCGCGGACTTATTCTTCTTCAGCCCTCTCGTTCTCTCACCCGTGGTGTGTTAGATGGGCCTAGACGGATAATTGACCCGGATTCTGGCCAAGTGTCCCGCGAAACGACTTCACGGGAGCTTCAAGTCTCGGAGTATCATTGGGATGATCAGTTTGAGTAAGTTTTGAGTACTTCACCGTCCTGATTTCCTCTGAAATTTACAAAACAGCAACTAACAGACCTTCAGTGAACTTCTAGAAGCATATTGGGAAGAATCTGATGACGATAAAGAAGTCACCGCTAAAGAAGCAATTCTTGCACAATCTAAACGCAAGAAACGCCGTGTTCCACGTTTGATTCAACTTTCAGTTGATACAATTCTGAAGAATATTGGTGACGTTACATATGAAAAGATTCAGTATATGCCTTCGCTACAACTCGAGTTTCTCTGGCGTGAGTTGTCCAAGAGGTTAGTTCGAATCTTGTATCCTTGCCGTGAATTGAGTTTCTTTATAAGAAACTCTCATAAGCGGCATCACTGCACACCTTATCTTAAAGACTTTACATACCAAGTATCGGGACCTTGCACTGACGTTTTTATCGTAGATGTGTTAATAGTTTTAATACTTGGAAAGCTTTCTCAAAGGCCCTCGACCGACACGAAGGTGCCATTCTAAACCAATTTCGTTATTGTGGTTCTATTCCAGAGCCAGTTCCGTCCTTATCTATCTATACTAAGCCACTTAGTTCAACAAGTTTCGACTTTCTCGTGCACTTATCCATTACGACTGCTTTCAAAACGTCGGATCTGGTTGAATTATCTGCAATGACTAATCTAGTAGCACTCGAGATTGTCAATCCTAAGCATGTCCATCATTCCAGGAATACCGGTAAATTGTTCGACACCAGCTTCGGTGACAGGGTAATAAAAACCTGGAGTGAAGGAGCAATTAGTGGAAAGGCGTTCCAAGTACTGAGGATCTTAAAGCTCCGGGATTTTGAAGAAATTACAAACAATTGCTTCCAGTACCTAAACCGCTTTCCAGCTTTAGCTGTTTTCGATGTTCTTGACTGCGATTTCAATGGATTGGCTCAACTTGGAGCTGAAAGACTTGGCTGGGAAGTTCATCCTGATGGAGGTTTGCTTGAAATTTTACAGTCAGACTGTGTGAAGCACATTATGGCTTTGCGCAATACTCTTGGTCTTCCTGTAAGTCAATTCATTGATTCCAGAACCCCTTTTTTCCTCCAAAGGATCTCGGTAATGGTTTGAGCACGGACCTTTGTGTTCAAAATTCCTTCAAACTTAACTCGAGCAATATGGGACCGAACAAACAATTAGTAACAACAATGTTTACAGGTCAGACCAATTCGAAGGTCCGCTGCAAAGCCTTTGCGGGACAAAGCCAAGATTACAATTATTCCCCGACCAAATTTATCAGCCTTTCTTACTGGAGATCCGACTTCCTCTTCAACACCAGCACGGAATAGAGCGTACCTGGACGCTGAACAGCAAGTTAGAGTGATGGAGCAAACCCCTGCTGGACGGGAGAAGCTGAGGCGTACTGGCTTTTCGCACTTCGAAGCTGTGGATTATATAAGTCGTAAAAAAATTCGCGAGCTTGAAACCTGGGAATTCCGCACACTCACCTCTCTCAATCGTATCAGTGAACTTCGCAATGACGAGGACTTCCGCGCTGCTGGTCTAGAAGTTGGTGATTCAATACCTATTGTCTGTGGTGAAATAATATCTGCTGTTCCTGTAGCTTCTCTTCGTCTTGGTCCAGAGCTATCATATACACCATCACGCGCAGACTTACACCAGCCATTCTATGATGGAGGAATGAGTGATAGATCGCTCAAATACACTTGCAGGAAGGTCGGAGCAAAGGGATATGTATATACTCGTATCAAAATCCCTATCGCTAGAACCAGGACAAGAGAGCAAGCTGAAGGGCAGGATGAAGGAAAGACGGTTGACAAAGCTGGTGGCTCGGGATCTAGGCGAGCTAAGCGTAGGATAATTAAGGGGGAGAAGAGACAGCAAATAGGTGATCTTTTGGCGGGCGTAATGGGAGTTATTTAAGCGCTAAAGATATTTTCCTAGTTAAACGGTGGGCTTTTGCGTTTAGTGGCGCTCTAAAATCATATTCTAGGGCTCTTACAGGCTTTTTTTGAAGAGTTTCTAGCTGCTCCAGAGCTTTTAGGGTTTTCAAATTTGTGGAGTAAGAAGATACCCAAGTTATACTGTATGATATAGCTTGAATGATACCAAATGATATTTTATAGTGAATTTTGCATGAGATGGCATAATATAAGACTTGATAGTATGTATAAAGATGTGTTCAGGATGCAAAAGTCTCGAGTGTTATGTAATTGTAAATCGGGTCATGGCTTCTACAACACCTTTGTGCTAACGGCATTACGCTCATGTATTGCTCGAACGGGTAAGCATCAATATTGTGGTTGTCTTGCTCGGGGTCAGTCTCGCGTCTCTGTTTGTCGTAAGATTATATTGATCAAATGCCATTGCGAAACAGTGATGAGAAATACAGCTGGATAATAGTTTGCAAATAATTAAACTCGATGGGAAACTGCATGAATACCCCTTGGTAAGTTGGCAGTTTAATTTTTACCCCCGCGTCGAAGAGGAGAACGATCTGTGGGAGAGTTGTTTGGATAATCTCCAACACTAGTTGCAAGTCCCCATACCGTAGCTATGTATATAGATGGCCCAATAATTGAACCAAACAGCCTGATTCGGCCTCTAGTCGATTGATCATTAATCTTTACATAGGCAAGTTTGCCAACAAATGTTAAGTAGATTGGAGGGAGCATACTGCTTATTGAATACACAAACACTTTTCAGATGACCAAAGTCAGCTTGATCATTTCATAATGCACCTAGTTTGTGTTGATATTCTGTGTTGCCTATCGCTATAGCAATTACACCAGGTAATCCTACAAGTAGCATGCGCCACCTTCAGATAATCAACTTTTCTCCGAACAATGTGAACCCCCAGTTCGTGTAAACGAATTAAAACAATGGTAAAGACACTATCTCCTCTTAAACCTTCATGTTATAGTTCACCCAGTGACGCCGTGCCCTAAAGTCCATACACCTAAAAAACGAGCTAAGTGGAAACTGGAATTTTGCCCACATGGCATCTAGAAGCTCTACTTGGTCGCTGAACAAGCTCTTATATTTCGAAAAAGCTTGCTGTCGAAGCTCTCCAGTTCCACCCTCTTCTTCGCTCATGACGATATCAACGGCTAATCGACGTAAACTCGATCCGGGCACGGTAAGCTTGTAGATAAGTAGGATGTGTTCTGGAGGCACCATTGGAGAGTCCTGCAGAATTGCAAACTGAAACATTGCTTCATTGAAAATAAGAGGAAACCCCCACTTTTCGCAGAGTGCACACAAATGTATAACGATCCTTGACCAGTTATCCTTCTCCTCGTCCGTGAAACTCTTCTGCACATGACTCTTCAATACTGTATACATATCTTCTCCTTGTAGGCATCTCATTAAAAGTACTGAGCTATCTTTGTAACTGTTCTCGAGGAAAATGGGGTTATTGGGGGTGGAGTGCAAGCCTAAGTCGTAGAAAAAGCTCTTTCTTTCACGCAAAGCATTTTCGCACTTGACAGAAAACCTTACCGGCCAACTTTCCCCTTCATATAGGATCCAAAGTGAAGACCAAGCGTTTTCCTGGGAACTGTAGAAGATTATATTAGCATCGAACATAGTGGAGCATGATGGGTAATGGAGGCAAGGGAATCTAACGCAATGTTAAGGTCAAAGAGCGATGACATTTGTGCCTATGGAATCACGTAACTGCAGGGTGATATTTGTGTTGCTGGACTCTATGTCACATTGTAAAATGCATGTGTACAATCATGAGTATGTCTATTGAGGGTCCAAAAGGTGAATGTGAAATGAGATGTTGCGGATAGCGGGTGGAAATTTGGAAGAAGTAGAGGAGAGGACAATGGAAGTCCCGCCGCTCATAGCACCTTCTTTCTCTTCATTGTTTCTTTGAGGTAAAGCATAGTTGAAAAGGAAGGAAGAGGCCAAAGATAGTGAGTATAATATCACCTAGGCAAGGTAGTTACTGCGTTCCATTGGTATGGAGTCACTCACGAAGGAGTGGTTACTGACATTTTGATGTTTAGGGTTTTCTTCCATTGAGATTGATACTTATTACATGATTTTGGAGAGGTGGAAAGATGAATAGTAGAATGATGAAAAGGATAATATGTTGATCTCTGAATAGCAACATTCTTCATGAATTGTTTGAGCTTGAATTTGGATTTGGATTTGAATATGGAGTAGAGAATAATAAATTGGATCAGCCCACTATCTACTCTGGGAGGGATAGTATGAGTAAGCTATGAGTAAGCGTTTCATTCCATTCATTGACCTTATCAGCTTATCTTAGTGTGCAATCGCGAATGACCGCGTCGAGACGCGTCCAAGTTTAAATTGATTTTCGGCTCAAAACTAAACTTATTTCTCAGAATAATAACCCGAACCTCAATATGCCACATTCCATTTCTCCCGAAGGATCTAAAGTACAATCACAAGAGGAGATGGTCAATACCGAAGAAACTGGCGACGACGCCCAAATAATTCAAGAAGCAGAGGATACTTCTCTCGATAAGGACGCCGCTGAGTTGAATGATGACGATGATATAACAATGGCAGATGCTGGAGTACAAGGCGAGGCCATTCCTACACCAGCTACAAAAACCGAGGTCAAATTGGAGGATTTATTCGCAGATGTTGAATCCGATGATGAATTTCCAAGTACAAATGCGAAAGAGGAAAAGGCGTCGAGTTCACCTGAAGCTCCAGCTTCCCCAGTGTAAGTGTTGGAAGAGATGTCCCGAACTCGCAAGCTAAGTAAATATTAAGACATATTGGACCATCATCTCGAGCATCAGATCCCGAAGTTATGCGATCCTTTTACCAGAGACTTTTCCCTTGGCGCCATTTATTCCAATGGCTCAATCATTCCCCAACTCCCTCGACTGACTTTGGACATCGGGAATTTGCTTTTACTCTCCAAAATGATGCCTACCTGAGATATCAAGCCTTTTCAACCTCCGATCTGTAAGTTGCGGGAACATGCCTATGGCTCACTTAAGCTAATCATACCCTAGCCTACGAAAAGATGTTCTTCGTCTTATGCCATCCAGATTTGAAATTGGCCCAATATATAGTACAAATCCCCGAGATCGAAAAACACTTCGCAAATCCTCTGCCTTTCGACCAATCGCCAAGGAATTATGTTTCGATATCGATTTGACCGATTACGATGAGATTAGAACGTGCTGTGACAAAGCAAACATTTGCAGGAAGTGCTGGCAGTTCATTACAATGGCTATTAAAGTGGTTGATGTTGCGCTGCGGGATGACTTCGGGTTCAAACATATCATGTGGGTATACTCTGGAAGAAGAGGAGCTCACGCTTGGGTATGCGATAAAAAAGCTAGACAAATGGACGATCAGAAAAGGAGAGCCATCGCGGGATACTTGGAACTCATTCGAGGTGGAGCGCAAACCGCAAAAAAGGTCAACGTAAAAAGACCTTTACATCCGCATGTATTGTATGTCCATTAACGTCACAACCATTTCAACTATTGACACTCAGCAGACGAAGTCTTGACATACTCAAAGGTCACTTCCAGAACGATATCCTTCATGATCAAGATCCATGGGAGGAAGATGAAAAAGTCGACAAATTATTACAGCTTCTACCTGATAGAACTTTGAATGAAAGTTTACGGAAAAAGTGGAGCTCTTCTCCTGGACGCTCATCAACATCGAAATGGGCTGACATCGATGCGTTAGCGAAAACTACAAAGGGATTAGATCCAAGAGCTTTACTGGAAGCGAAACAAGATATTGTTCTCGAATATACATACCCTCGACTGGATATCGAAGTTAGTAAACATCTCAACCATTTACTTAAGAGTCCATTCGTCGTACATCCTGGGACCGGAAGAGTTTGTGTCCCTATAGATACCAGACATGTGGGGGATTTTGATCCCCTGGCTGTACCAACTGTTACCCAACTTTTAGGCGAAATTGATCAGTGGACCGCACCTCAAAATGGAGAGATTGAGGGCAAGAGCATACAAGATTGGGAGAAAACAAGTTTGAAGCCATTCGTGGATTACTTCAGATCATTTGTCGCTGCTTTGATAAAGGATGAGAGTGATGTTAAAGTCAAACGAGAACGAGACACAGATGGGATGGCGTTCTAGTTTTATTGAATGTAATCTCAATATTTGGCGTTGTAGGATTTGGGTATGGATGGATAATAAATGAGATACGAATAGTAATTCAAGTGAATTGAATGATTGAGATATTGATTTTAATCCAGATGAGTTGGGTGCCAGAAGAAGGATTTCGTTACATTGTGCTTTTCCTTCTTGCTGTCTACAAACACCTAAATTTCAAAAGCTGTTCTAATATAGTAAAATCTCATTATTTATGTCGGATACAAAAATTAGTTTTATTGAATCTACGAGTAGTATAAACTAATAAGATATTGTACTTTTTGGTACATATAAATAATACAATGTTATTTAGGATTCCGGGATAAAGATATCCGATATAGCTCCTGTGTGCACTTATATTAGAATGTCCAGGGGCCTTGATATGGGCGTGTTAGGATATTAAATATTATATTTCTTATTGATTAATAATGAGATTAAATTTTACTCCTATTGATATTTGATAAATTATAGAGATTATATTATTTATACCATATATATTATCTACATTATATATAAATCAAGAAATTTATTATACTTGACCCCTCACTCGCTCGAATGTAATAATACATCACGTGAACTCGTACCAAAACTACTTAGGGAAATCATTCTAGCCCTGCCTCCTGCCGAAGGGTTTGGAACACTAAACCTTTAAAGTTTCTCTGGCCTTCCTTTCGATCAAAGCAACCTCTCAATTCAACTCAACCACCCTTGAAGAATCCAAAATAAACACAACCCACAATCACAACCACAGCCTCCATCACCACCATAACAACTATAACAACTATAACAACAACTTTCTAGATCTCTAAATCATTAAGATCATCAATTACATTACTCAATTCATACATGCGCACAACTTCGCAGACAAGAAAATCCCCAGTACGCCCCACTACGGACACATTAGAAGCAATCAACAACTTCCTCGAGATCAACGAATACCCCTCAACTCGATAATAACCTCGTATTTTCGCACTCCAAACTTTGACCTCATCGCCGCCTTCTTTTCTCATCGGACAACGACTGGTGTTATACTATTTTGATGCTACATTAAGCGCATACAATTTAAGACGACTTCCAATAGAACGCGACCTTGTTTCCGCGCCTCGATACTTCATCTCATATATCTGTTCCAAGATACCCTATTCTCACAAAAAATACATATACAATGGCTGATGTGCTGACAGCAAAGCTAGCGGCTACTAAGATCAAGTATGATCACCGTTCCTTGATGTATTTCAACTGTTGCTGATATGAGGATAGTGATGACGCTTCCCCAGACAACTGGAAAGCTGGTCTAAACATCCCAGCGAAAGATACGAGGCAGCAGACTGAGGTACCCAAACATACTACTGTTTTACTTTTCATCGGAGTCGCTAACGAGTCTTTGTAGGATGTTACTGCCACCAAAGGCCTCGAGTTTGAAGATTTCTCCATCAAGCGAGATCTGTTAATGGGCATTTTCGAATCGGGTTTCGAAAAGCCGTCACCAATTCAAGAAGAGGCAATCCCTGTAGCTCTTACGGGACGGGACATACTGGCTAGAGCGAAGAATGGTACTGGTAAAACTGCCGCCTTCGTCATTCCCGCACTCGAACGTATCAACCCGAAAAGCGGCAAGGTACAATGTCTCATCTTGGTACCTACTCGAGAACTGGCCCTCCAAACATCACAAGTCTGCAAAACTCTTGGTCAACACCTAGGCGTCAACGTTATGGTTACTACTGGTGGTACGACCCTACGAGATGATATCATGCGTCTCGCAGAACCTGTTCATATCATTGTCGGCACACCAGGTAGAATTCTCGACTTGGCCGGAAAGAATGTAGCAGACCTCAGTGAATGCAATATGTTTATCATGGATGAAGCTGATAAACTCCTCTCACCCGAATTTACTATTGTTATTGAACAACTTCTTCAATTTCACCCCAAGGACAGACAGATTATGCTCTTCAGCGCAACCTTCCCCATGACCGTCAAGGATTTCTCAGATAAGAACATGGCCAACCCTTATGAAATCAATCTTATGGATGAACTTACTCTACGTGGTATTACTCAATTTTATGCTTTTGTCGAAGAAAAGGAGAAAGTTCATTGCCTCAACACTTTATTCTCCAAACTACAGATCAATCAATCCATCATCTTTTGCAACTCTACAAATCGTGTCGAACTTCTTGCCAAGAAAATTACCGAATTAGGCTACTCATGTTTCTACAGTCATGCGCGCATGATACAAGCTAATCGAAACCGTGTATTCCACGACTTTCGAAATGGTGTCTGCCGCAATCTTGTTTGTTCTGATCTTTTGACTCGTGGTATCGATATTCAAGCAGTGAACGTTGTTATCAACTTCGATTTCCCTAAGAATGCCGAAACTTATCTTCATCGCATTGGTAGATCAGGCCGATTTGGACATCTTGGTCTCGCAATCAACCTCATCAGTTGGGAGGATCGTTTTAACTTGTATAATATCGAGCGGGAGCTTGGAACAGAGATCGCACCCATTCCAGCGATTATTCCCAGAAATCTCTATGTCTACGAAACCCCCGAAAACATCCCACGTCCTGTTTCCAATTTTCAAACCAACACCCGTCAACCATCTGGACGTGAACAACAACAACAACCTACCCAGCACTCTGGGAATCAGAGATCTTCTGGTCAATTTAATAATTTTAATAATGGACGCCAGAATGGTTCTGGTCAAAACCAGAGTCAAGGACAGGGGCAAGGACAAGGACCAAGACAAAATCAAGGTCAGCGTCAAAGCTATCCTAGAGGCCGAGGAGGGTTTGGTGGTGGTAGAGGAGGTGGTCAAGGACCACGACAGAATGGCTTTGATAACCCTAGAGGTCGAGGCCAGGGTCCACCGGCTCAATAGGCTTGTGTGTCAACCATGTTGCATGTGATGATGATGTTTGGAGTCTTGTACATATTACCTTTCTATTATTTTGCGATAGACTCGATTTTTACGACGGACACGGCTGCGGGATTTTTTTTTGCACTCGACGTTGAGCTGTTTCTGGATGCACCCCGCTACTCGACTCGACGTTTGATCAGGCTCATGAATATCTTCGGCTGGGCGCTGAATTTCCGTGTTTGTATCATACGACTCTCGTTTTTTCGGTTTTCTACCTTTCATTTCTCGACAGATCACTACTTTGGGTCGCATGAGTAGTAGTGGATAGCAAAAGTTTCAGCGAATTCGCTCTGGTACGACGACATGGCGTATGTGGCGTTTAAGGAAGGCACTCACAGGAGTGGTCTTTCAAGTCTAGACTGGTTCTGCTGTCAAGGCATTTCTGGGATGGGCGATGGTGTATTTCTTTTTCGGTTTCGGTTTCTGGGCTCATTTTCGTGGGCTTTTGGTGGATGGGTGATGGATGAATGGGCAAATAGGTGGATTATTTGTTCGGCTAATGTTGGCAAAAGCGATTCAACCAAAAAAGGGCTCATGGCGAGCATTGAAGCGAAGAAGGGGATGAGGAAAGGGCGTTGTTGGGAGTGCTCTAAAATGGCAATGATGGTCACTTCTCACCCTTTTTGAAGTGGGAAGCACGACATCCGGGATAAGGGGATATGATACCAAAATAATATAAAAAAAAGTTAGGGAGGAACCTATGATCTTGATTTCAGTTTGGATCGAGCATGGACTTGATAGCTGACATCATTTTCGGACAATCTTACTGTTTTTCCCTACTTCCATTTCATTGATGGTGATGTACATGTGATACTGTGATACGGCATTGCAATTAGATATATATGAGGGCTTGAAACAACAATTTATGTGCAGCAGAGCCCCTTACATGATGTATGAATGCCGGTTGGTTATATACATCCAACAATGGCGGAGAACATCATCGAAGTTTCACTTCTCGGTGCTTTCATGGTCGCACCTGTGATGGAATGTGTGATGATACGCAGCGCATCCTCTCATCGTGCACCACAGCTAACACAGCAGCGAGGCAAATAGCAGGCACCTCCCTAATTCTTCCGCCTTTGCATACCTGCAGATTGATCTACATTACAGCACATAGCTTCCATTTCCATGGATTGGGAATCGCGAAAAAGATCCTGGCAAAGGACGGTGGATCATATTCATGCGGTGCCTCACATGCAACTTCAAATGTCACTTCGGGGTCTCTAACAAAGATACTTGTGGCTGAGCTGGTATGTAGTACTAAAGGTTCCCATGGCTTCAATTCAACGGATGAGCGCATGAGAATGAGACTACGAGAAACTACGGACATTGGGGTATGCATGGCGATAAGGGAAATAAATGAATGGGTGGGAGGGGAATAAGGAAATATGGTCAAGGAGAATTTATTTTTCGTCTGATGTTTCACTTTTCGAGAAAGTTCTTGAAGTTCTTGATGTTCTTGATGTTCTCGATGTTTATGAGGTTTCTTGAAGTTATATAGTTTTCGATGGTGGGACGTAGGTACAGAGGTAGATGTGGAATCATATATCGAGGAATGAATCCGATGATAGGTTGTACGTAATATGTATGCATTTTGATGTCTATGTGAAGGTATTTGTATATTGGTATGAAATTAAAGATGTAAGTCTTACCTTTGTACTCGGGAAATATCCATCTTGATTGTATGTCACGGAAGATTTGCTCTTACTACTTACTATTCAATGGAATGACGTCCCGCTCACCCGCTGGGGCCACCACCAAAGAGGCAGGCTGTTTTGGGAAAGGAAATGTGTTTTTTTATATCTTCAATCTTTGAGCGTAAGGTTAGCGAGCCATGGGGTTTCAGGGGCTTGCCTACATTGCTATACGTACGACTCATTTAGTATTATTTGATAACCTTAGATGTAGAATTCGGGCCAAGAACAAGTAGAATGAATATTTTGACATGGAAACTTTCTCAGCCCTTACGGTGATTGGGTTCCCAACCCTAGTAAAAGTAAAATAGACTTCGTGACATTGCACATGCATGCGGAACAACTGCTCTTCCCAGGAAGGGAGTCCAACGAAAAGCCAAGCGGGCGGATAAATATCCAGTAGAAAATGAGAAAACAAAATATGTCAGCCGGACCGTTCCGACATAACGACCGAGGAAATGATATTGTGGCTTGATGGATGATATATTTATATGAAATTGAGGGAAGAGATTGGTTGATGGGAAGAGGATGGATTATATACATGTGATACTTTCGGTTTTCGCAGCGGTGAAAAGGTAGTGAGGGACATTAGCTATAGGTGATTATCATCGTTCATCATGATGGGAGAGTACGTACCGAGTATGTATACCTAGTAGGTTAGTGGAGGTAGTGGTCGACGCGACGATGATGATTGATTTTGATTAACCCCCTTTTACCTTTTACCATTTAGCATTTACCCTCTACCCTCTACCCTTTACCCTTTACCCTTTACCCTCTACCCTCAACCCGTTCTGCTTCTATTGCTTACTTTTGTATTCTCTTTTGTGTGATGATGAGCAAGCAAATGAGCAAGCAAGCAGGTCAAGTACCCAAGCAACAATCAACGGACAAGCAAAGTTAGTTTATGCTTACCACCCTTTATCTCTTTCCCATCATCTTCTTTGCTACAGAAGTACGGAGGACGGAAGAGTATATATCTAGAATCATTCCTTGGATGATCCGATTTTGTTATTATTTATTATTATTTCTTCCTACGGTTGTGTTCTTCAAAGGTTCACTCGCTTTCTTTAAATCATCCATCCATCTTCCTCGCTAGGGATTATAATTGATGATATACTTACTTGCTGCCGTGGTATTTATATCCTTATTTTACTCTCCAATTAGCTCACACTTCACTTCTTTTCACTTCACTTCATTCTTCACTCTCCATTCCTCACTCTTCCCACCTCACTCTTCACTATGATGGAATCACTATTGACCTCTGAGCATTGCCGTACTACTTAACGCCCCACCACCCGCCCAGCAGAACGTATCATTCGGTCTTTGGATTCTTTGGTGTGTCCCATCCATATCCGTGTGCCCGTGTGTTTGTTCCAGAAATTAATTAATTAAATAATTAATTAACTTTACTAAGGTTATTTATTATTTATTCTATTTTGAAATATATTCCCAAAAAACTTCTTTTCACTTGTTCTACATTTTACACTTTTACCCAAATACCCAATTCAATTCCTTTTCATTCAATTCAATCCATTTGATTTCAGTTCAATCCAATCCAATCCAATTCAATTCAATTCAATTCCATTCAACAACAGGACCCTCTTCTCTACGAAAATACCCTCGCCTTTTGCTTCTTCTGTCCGACAAAAAGATATTGTAAGATTTACATCCTTCGACCTTCTATTCCGTGTAATCCAACTTCTCGAGTCCTCGGTGCGAATTGATTGTACTGGGTACACAACACCAAATAATACGACAAGAGGCAGAAAGAGGGTGTGCGAGTGTGAGACGTCCCTGAAAAGAAATCCACTTAGGTCCCAAGGTCCCACAGAAAGAGACGGCCACACGGGGACTAGAAGAGAAAAGTCTAAGACATTTAAAAATACCGATACTTTGGCAACAAACAGGAACCAAGAGAAAAAGAGAGGAAGTCGACCAGAAAAAAAATAAGAACTAATCCATCGATTGATCTTTCTCTAAACATGGCTTTAATTGTAAGATAAATTATTCTTTCACACACATCCTCGCCCTATCCCTCGCCGTCTCCCTCATTTCTACCAATTGTTCATGGTCGCATTCGCATCATTGCCCCTAAAGCTGCTATACCTTCCCACTGCTGCGCATACGTTTGCCTCTTGGAAGGGTGCACAATATCGTTGTTCGCGCGGATGATCTGCGAGTGGCTCGCATTAAATTCAAGGGAGTCGGGGTTTGATCAGGCAATCATGGGACCTTGTACTGACCTTGTGTTTCTCTGTCACAGTTATGCCTCGCGCATTATTGCGACACTCATGGTCCGACCCCGGTTATGGTAACAGAAGCACTTCCCGTGGGTTGTACTTCGTGTCCAGAAAAAGACGAATTTATCCATCGGCGACCTAGCACAAGTAGATCTTTTAGATCCTCGGAACCTTCTTTAAATACAAACGCGCGCTCTTCGAACAGAACAAATTCTACCGTTTCAGAGGCAGATGTCGCGGCGAGTAGACCTGCTCTACATGTGAATTCAAATCCTTCGAATGCTTCGAATACAACGGGTTCCGCGGTCGAAACACCACCTCAAAGTCCTAGAGCACCTGCTTTGCAGAATACACAAAACACCACCAATAATTCGCGACGCGATTCGAGCTTTCGGAAAACATATCCAAGTGAAAAGCCAGGTCCATGCGAAAATTGCGCTCTCACTTTACCTAAGAAGACGAAAGAAGATACGCCTACAAGTCCCAAACCTGCGGCAGGTGGAAAACTCGACAATGGTCCAATTTTGCGAACACGGAAACCGTATGAACGCATTGCAGGCCAGAGCACCCCTCCAAAGTCTGCATCTTCAGATTCGGACGATTCGGAATGCGCAATTCAGAAGGAAGAACGGGAAGACCAACATCAGGCGCGAAGATCCTCTATAAAGCGATCCGATACATCCTCTCCTACCTATACCACTAGAGAATTTCTCTCGCATAACCATTTTATCGACTATACGTCAACGCATGAACCTCTACAACCTAACTCTTTCTCAATTATCCGCCAATCGTGTCTCCGGACCCTCTCTTGCGAAACCCTTCCACCATCCTCAAATCCTACACCTAACACCACGCCCTCCTCCCCATTCATCTCCAGTTTCTCCTCTCACCTCGCCTCTTCCACAACTACCTCATCCGGCGGCCCAATCTTTTTTGGCGATCCGATGGCCGGCTACACTACAGCATACATCTTCCGCATTCCGGATCCTTCCGCACGCGGTCGTCGTCGCGTTTATGCTTTGATTGCCCTCTCAACTCAAAAAGAACGAATGGCTATGCGCACTTTTTCTTTTCTCGACGCCGCGTTTCGCGAACTTGCAGATTGGATTGCGCGTCTTGCCGACGAAGAACTTGCACGTTCTGAATCAGCACTTCAGTCCCCTAGACTAGGCGACGAGAGAAATGGTAATGGAAATAGTAATGGTGCGTTTGGAGGTGGTGGTGCGACGACAACATCCACTTCTTCTTTCTTGAGAGGTGGTAATAGGGGACCTGATGGCAGAATGGTGGGTGCCAGTTTGAAGGGTAGAGGATTGGCCGAGTTGGTGGGACTACCGGATTTCTTTATTGAGCTGCATAGTAGATTTGTGAGGTTGCTTGCGGAGATTGAAAGGCCAAGATGAAAGTCGGTGCTCGATTCGGGGATTTCTGATCTGAAGTTCAAAGGTCGAAATTGTCAAGACGAGGGGAACGAAGTATTCCCACCTAATTCTTGCACCTTCGAAGGAGAGGAGATGCGTTGTTATGATTCATGGTGATCCATAGATATTGGCGTTTGTGATTCCCGGTTCAGTTCTTGTTGTGTATTGTGTTAGGTCCGTCTAGTGCAGATTGGACCATACGATTGTTTGGAGTCTTGCGCTTTTTTCCTTTGCTTTTTTCTTGGGCTGTTTTAATTTTCCTTTAGTGTGCTGGGACGATGAGTAAGAATGTTGGGAAAGTGTAAACTCTATATTGGGATGGATCTAAGAGCGTATTAGCGTTTTTGTCTGTGATCTGGGCGAGAGATGGTGAAAGATATGGATATGAGAGAGATCTATGGGAACAGGTGGATTTCACGATATGGAACATGAAAGGAGTATTTTGTAGGATGTACCGGTGTATGGGAGGATAAGGAAGAGGGAAAATGGGAATTTTGTTGTGTGTTTTAATTTTCGGAGGCGTACTTGTTGGGCGAGCCAAAGATATTGATACCATATCGTGGATTGATGGCGTGGCGGAGATGTATAGTTTGTTGTTATTGTATATGTATATTGAGTGGACTGGGAGTCTGTGAGTACTAAAACTGGATGGATGGGTTTTGATTTGAGCTGGGAACAGAGGATTAGAGAAAATAATGGGATGGAAAATGGTCGGAGCATGTAGTTGTTAGTAGTTAGAAATAGGTAGTAATAGGTAGTTGACAATGTATGAAGCATAATACTCATCCCTCTTGAGGTCCTGTGAGTGCTTCTTTTTTTCTATCTTCTTTTACAGGTGTCTAGGTAGATATAGGGAGAAATTTAGATTCTTTGAGTGTAAAGGATTCCTTCAAATTGAGATTAGGAAGAAAAGGAAAAGGAAGAAGGATGTATCAGGCAATAGTTGCGGTTTATTGAGATAAAAGATCTTAAATATCAAGACGGTAGGTATATGGGTGTATAGGTAGTAAGATTACAAAAACCCAAAGATGAAATTTTGTCCCTCTTGTTATTATTTTCCTCGTCACATACCCATCCAGGTCCTTTCATATATCCTAGATAGGACGTTTATATATATTTTCATATATATATATATCAATCAGATTCATATATAAGATTATATTTATAATTATAAAAATACAGAGTTCCCATCTCAAATCAGCTTCTTGGAGAACGGGGAGGGGGTTAGTTAATTAACCATTTGAGGATTTGCATGGTTTATCTACCCTGCTTATTTTTTTCTTTTATTCTTGTAGGTTACTGTCATCTTGTTTTGTCTTTCTATGTAGAATGTTTCGTGTCTGATTTCTGGTATCTTCGGGTAGCTGGAGAGAGCTCTGATTTTTTGGGTGGATATTGCGGTGTATGTGTAGGTATGTGTACAGTATGTGTAGGTGTTTGCTTCATTTCAATAAGGGATAAGAGAAGGAGATGCTAAGATTTGAGTGATCAAGTTGGTTGCTTTTATTTGTGTATCTACTGTCGTTCTAGCTTTTGTGTTTATGCATATGTCTGTTGTTTATGTTTAGGTGTTGTGATTGATGAATGGATGGATGGATGGATGGGTAGGTTGATCAACAGTATCTTCTTTTCTTGCTGTGAAAGTTCATGGTGGGATTGAAGTTTTGCATTTGTTTCTGTTTTGTTCATTTGTGTATTGTTGATAAATTCTTGCAAGATGCCACTGACTTGACCGCTCTCAGCCGAAATAACAATACCGTCAGTTTTGGTATTCCAAGAGTTGTTTTGCAACAAGTTTCTTATCCATCTACCAGTACTTTTGTAATCTCACCCTCGCCTTGAATCGCTTCCAAAACTTGAATATCTTTGGAAGAGTATCTGGGAAATTCCTTATCATTGTTGATAATTATGGGAGGAGGTGGAATGTCTGGCTCCTTCTGCATATTTTGTTCCAAAATTTCCGCTTTACCATCAATCGTGAAAAACTCAAGTACAAGGTTTTTGGGTTGATTAAAGAATGCAGATCCATGGCTTGCACTCTCTTCGCAACCGGTGGTGCCAGTTGAGCAAACAATGGTTTTCCTGCATCAAATATCATGTCTAAATTTTCCTCAACAGCAAGCTCCTCTTCTTCGGCTCCATCAATGGAAGCCTCATGTCGTCTGATCAATGGCTCTTCTATGGTGCCTTCAAGAGATTCAAGTGGAAGAAAGTTCACAATCATACGCTTGCCATTGAAGATGATTGTAGTGGATATCCCTTCCTCACGGCCACTACTCACTTCCACTAGACGAAAGTCCCGCTCAGGCTTATCTTCGTTGGTAGCCATCATGCTTTACCCAGTCTTATTAAAGCAGACAAGAGAGTTTTGTCGGTGAAGAATAATAAAAGGTTAAACTAAGAGGATATAAATAGTGTTTGTTGATAGGAAAGCTTGATTAGGCACCTGTCATTCTCTTAAGGTAGATGGTGTTTTTGTTTTGCTTCAGTCGTCCATAAGAACGTTTTTGGTATTACCATTTGCCGTCCTTACCTCAATGTTGTAAACCCTCTGCAATCTCCAAATTCTAGGTCTCGATAAAGTTCAGTTGTTCATTGTTTCTTTTCGGAGTCTTACAACGTCCTATCCGAGCTTGCTGTAATTTGAGACATATGAATGAGAAGTATTCAGCCGAGAGTGATCGCTGAGATTGATAAAGGGTGAGATTAGTGAGATGAGGGGTAGGACTTGCCGGAAAGGCGGAGTTTGCTTTAAATGGTTAGAATCTTGTCGTTCTACCCAAACAAAAATGACCACATTTAACACTCATTCATTCATATCTTAATTTAAAAGAATTTCCATAGTAGCGACGGGATTATTGATAAACCATGCAGCAACAAGTACACGGATATGTTGATCCTAAATTCAGAGAGGTGTCGAATACCCTTCAAAACTATCTCGAAAATGGAGAAGAATTGGGTGCGTCTATTGCTGTTAACATCAATGAAGAAACCGTGGTCGATATTTGGGGAGGCTTTAGTACACATGACAAGACCAAGGCATGGGAACGTGACACAATTGTCACTGTCTTCTCTACAACCAAAGCTGTTTGTGCTCTCGCTGCCCTAATACTGGTTGATCGGGGACTTCTCGACATCAACGAAAAGGTCTATAAATACTGGCCTGAATTCGCTGCGCATGGAAAATCATCCATTGAGATTAGACATATCCTATCGCATACTTCTGGACTGTCAGGTTGGGATGTGCCAATGACGATGGAAGACCTGTTTGATCTCGACCGAAGTGTTGCAAAGCTAGCGGAACAAGAACCTTGGTGGACTCCAGGATCAGCTTCTGGTTATCATTTGTACACATACGGTTTTTTAATCGGCCAACTGGTTCGCAAAGTCACTGGTAAAACTTTGAAAGATTTTGTTGCACAAGAAATTGCCGGACCGTTAGGAGCGGATTTTGAGATTGGAGCATCAGAGAAAAATTGGAACCGAATATCGCCTCTGTTGTTTCCAGTTTTGGACGCAAGCGCCTCTTTTCCGATTGACATGACTTCTATACCAGCAAGAACATTCAATAATCCTGCGCTGGACGCCACTCTTGTTGATACTCGCAAATGGAGAGAGGCTGAAATTGGTTCGGTTAATGGTCATGGTAATGCTCTCTCGATCACTACTATGCTCAGTCCAATCTCGCTTGGAGGCGAAGCAAAGGGGGTACGTTTTCTATCACAGAAGACAATTGACCTTATTTTCCAGGAGCAGTCAAAAGGAATTGACTTGGTCACTGGAATGAGCGTTCGTTTTGGTACCGGATTTGCGCTCTCTGGAAAGGACACAGACTTGAAATGGTTGCCGGAAGGACGAGTATGTACGTGGGGTGGATATGGTGGCTCTATTGTTATCATGGATCTTGATCGTCATTTGACAATATCGTATGCTATGAACAAGATGGATGCTACAGGAGGCCTGGGTTCAGACCGTACAAAAGCGTATGTGAATGCTATATATAGTGCAGTTGGTGCACTCTAGGGTCTCTCTCTTACCTGCATTTACACCAATGCCTGATGATTTTGGTTTTATATTTCATTTCAATACATGGTCGTCTAATTTTATCGTACGCGGGTGTGCGTGACTTTCCACAATAGTATTGGCCTTAAATGACTGGTGTATTCTAGCAAAAAATGATGGCCCCGAGAAAAGGAAAGGAAGCAACCTCAATCGTATCACCACAACTACTTATGGAAATCGATCCGAGGAGGTAAATCAAGTAAAATCTTAAAAAACGAGAACGCGTGCATCCTTTAAGTGAGCATTTATTTGCAGAATCAGGTAAAGGAAATGAGAATTGTTTAAAATGCACTTTGTCAAACGCTATCATTTGACAATCTCAGATGTTGTTGCAGAACATTGCATCCCATTATATATCTCCGAATCAATCAATATCTCCCAAAACTTTTGGACTTCAAAACCCCAAGGCATACCGAGCTAAGTTTGTCAAAATACCATCTCCCGCCGCGAATATTTCATATACCACAACTGTTCCTTGTTATTTTAATAATATATTCCTCAAATCGAGTCCCCATTCCAGTGCTTCTCCATGCATAACACCATGCAAATATGCTTCTCCAACCAATTCATAGGATCCATCTTCACATTTTCGAAGGATAAATGGAACTGAAGCACCTGCCAAAAGCCAGACTTCATCAAACGGACGTAGCGATTGTGCCCCAATGCCAAGATAGCCATTGCGAGTTCGAAATAAACTTCGCGCGTCGTTTGCAGCTTCAATTTCTTTCTCAAGTTGAGAGAAATCCTCCTTGCTGTATTTGCGCTGTTGTTTTTCCGTGATACTCAGTCGCTGCATGGAATATGCTGCGTGAGCACCATTGCGTACCCATTCTTGATATTGTGCTACGAGTTCCTCGCACTCTTGTGGTGCCGGATGTTCTTTTTGGTATGCATCGGCCAAAAGAGTGCGCCATACAACTTCCCGCGAAGATTGAAACCTGTTGATTCATGGAATTAGTAGATTTATGGAAATACAGGCGTTTTCGGAAGACTCACTTGCCACCCATCGAAAGAGGATATATAGGGTCAAGATGAGCTGCAACTTCATATACTCCATCCAAGAATTCCATTGGGTGTAATGACTTATTCTGTTGTTTGACCTTTTCACAGACTGCATCGAGTGGTATGCCTTGCAACTTCAAAAAGGTAGAATCTGTCTCCGAGAATTCTAGTATCCATCTCAAATCACCACATGCACTCCAACTACAGTCGCCACGCATCGACAAAGGCAGAGGTCTCCTTGGAACGCTATAATCCGGGACCCAGGTTGGTAGATTAGGTATAGACGCTAGCGAGTCCTGAACATCGGACAAGATACCAAGACCATAGCATCGGAGCAATATTCTAGCAACTGTGCTATACACATCTTGTGCGGTTGTTTCGTAATTGGGTGAAATGGCATCTGGGAACTTTGTGAATGGAAGGCTGTCTTTCCTCGATAAACCAAGCAGACCATAAATAATATCGCGTTTATCAGAAACTTCACAATACCGATGAGCGCGAAGAAGATATCGAAACAAGGGAAGGAGTTGAGTGGATTCCCTCCCTGCTCGAGTGGATTCAAGCTGTATTACTGCCATCTTAAAACCAGTGTCTGAGTTCAGTAGTATCTGGTATTTCTTCAGTCGCCTGCCATTCAATCCATCACCAGGAAAATTTGTCAAATGATTGGTGTGCAGTTCTTTATACCATCCAGTATGGGTCAAGAAGGACAATGTTTTCGAAACCATTTCCCAAGGAACTACATTCTTGCCGCAAGAAAGGATTACATTGTTCCCCATTGTCACCTCCTGTACAGCCCAAATCCCTGAAAACCAAGGTCTATTGAAGAAAGCTATCAGGCTAAGCCATGATTGCAATTGTAGGGGAACAATATTGAGCCTCTCGAAGTAGCTCTTCTGGTAGTCCCAATCCAAACTAACTAAATTTGACCACTCATCATGTGGTACTGAAGATAGTGTTTTGAGCGCTTTAAATGCATCATAAGTGAAAGCATCCTTCTTCCCGAGCCAAGCGATGACATTTCGAGCTTTCTTGAGTATTTCTGGTAAGATTGAAATTTGGGCAGTGCGATCCATGGCATCTTCTGGATTGATGCATACAGAATCAATCCAAATGTATCGTATCTTCGTCTTTCTAGAAGTTTTCGCAACAATGTCTCTTCCTGCCTTGACTGCATCTTTTGCATCCCCACATATTTTCAATATCTTGCCATCGCAAAGTATAATGTGGCTCCGTGGAACCAGATCTCTGCGAGAATGAGATACAACGTCGAATGTCGGAGCTTCAGCAAGTTCCACCACATGGAAAGAGTATCTGGTGCGACTCCATAGTTTTGATCTTATCTCAAGCAATCGTATAGAAGTGGGAGAAGGAAGTATTGTGTAGGTAAATGCTTCGTCGCTTGCATATTTGCGTTTTGGGAAGCCTATGAAGTTCATTTTCTCCTAGCTTTCTAGATTGCAGCAGTATAGGGCAATATGAATGTTTTGAGCAATTGATGAAGAGTACAATGGATCTGCAATTACAAGAGAAAAGAGATCGGATCAATGTTCGGAATGTCAAGTTGCGGGGTTATCGAGAAGGAAAGAGCAGGCTTATCGTCCAGAACTACTCCATTTTCGCTGAGTTTGGAAGGAACAACCTTAGTCAGATTAACCATGATCCGAGGAACCCTTCTGTAACAATATTGTTTTGTCTCTTAATTCATGTAACCCTTCCGCCGTCTATTATTTTGACAATCAATTGAAGATATTGTAGATGCACGTCCGGAGTCTAGTGAGTGAAGTTTAAGAAAATGGAAGTCTCCGTATTACCAGGCATGTGTTAAATAGTTGAATGCAAGCGAGCAATAACAATGAAAATATGGACTTTTTAAAAGGGGGTAAATTATTCGGAGCCTAGAATCAGATAATTTTGCTGGAAAGGCACAGGTAAGACACAATACCTAGTTATTACAGGTTTAAGGTTCATGTATCGTGATACCACGACAAGTGACAGCTTTTTGTATCCAGGCTTATACATGCTCCCATTTTACTTTTCATTGTCCTTTCACCACAAAATCTAAGTATTAAGAAGCAGCGGTACTGAAAGCCAAAATAAAAACCTAAATCCAGAGGAGTCGAAAACGACACTTCAGCCCAAAACGTCCATCCCAAAATATAAGACCAAAGGCTTAAGAAAATACTCCGTGACAGAAAACTTAGATGGAGCCAACGAAACTTAAGTGACTCAGACACTCAACTTCAATCATAGTAGGTGCATCTCCTGCCAACTTCTTTGCTAATGGACAGAGGATAAAAGAGGCATTATTGGACAGCCAGCTCTGATAGATTTCATGTTTCCCTAGTTTGGCTAATTACCAGAGAAGGGGCAGGAAGGCGAGAAGGACGATTATTTCAAGGAAACGTGGTGATTTAGTAAAATCAGTCAATGTGGATGGTCAATTATGGAACAAATTAATCACTATCTTGCACTGCCACCTGAAATGTAACAATGAATAATCTCTTGCGAACTTGCCCTCCCAGCTTGGAGCCTACTAGTCTCCAATCTCATCAGACTAATAGCGAAGGGATTTCTCCATCTCTGGTCATCCTTGTGACGACTGCGCCAGCATTTTCAGAAGCCGTCTAACACCTAGCTTTGTGAAAAAGTTTGAGTAAGCTCTTCCGGTACAACATGTTTTTCGTTTCGTCTCGTCTCATTGACTTATTCGTATGGACGTAGCAACTTGTTTGGTGGCATGCCCTTGATCGGTCTGTTAAAAAGAAGTACTACCACTTATCAATTATTATAGTAATATGGTTAGGAAATTACCTAGCTCAAGCTTAAATAATTACTATAGTTTAATGAAGATTTTGGCAATATTATCATGAGGCTATCGCGCTTTGTACCAATAGTTGAACCAATGAAAGCTTGATAAAATGAGTCGGAGCTTCCTAAGCGAGCACTAATTAATAGTGTTTATATGAAAATATAATGTTGGTCGAGATAATAGTTAGTTTAGTGAAAGAAAATACAACCGGTCACACAACTCTTCAAAAGATCGTGTTAACTGGAATAGTAAATATAATGGAAGTTTTATATAAGATAAATAAAATGATTTTAAAATAACTTCATTGGATATTATTTAGAATTATAAATAAATTATTTCAAGAGAAGTAAAATATTTTATTACTCTTTAAATATTTATAATTTTATAAATATATGTATATGTATATTATTTTTTTTTGTACAAATTCAAAGATTCTTTAGAAAAGATTTATATAATATATACAGAAAGTATCTGTTGTTTTTTAAAAACTGTTGTTATTATTCGTTTATTTATTAAATGAGACTTTATATTATTTGATACAACAGTGGTTCTACATTTAACTGAATTCACAATCACATCAAATGAAGCCTGTTTGTTTTCTATGCTAGGTACAATTAGATGAATACTCCGTAGATAGCTTCATCAGCTTCATTTATCTGAATTCTAAACCCGCCAACGTGTTGAGCGGGACAGAGGCATTCTTTAATCCGGAGAAGTGTTGTGAAAACCCAGGCTAACGGTGTGAATATAGGAACTGGACACAATGATAGTTCTATAAAAAATTCTCCTTGATGTTTTATATGCATATAAAAACGAGGAGAACGCACAGCTGTCTAATCTGATGGAACCCCCTTACAAAACTGTGCCGCCTACAACCGAGAGTTCTAATAGTTGGCAGCCCATCATTCCAAAAACAAGCTCTCCATCCTCTCTCCTGTCACCCCGGAAAGCTCTCCATTCATCAATCCATGTACATACGCCTCCCCGATCAACCGTCTATTACCACTCTTACTTCCCTCCACCTGTCTTAGAACCATTGGCACCTTCGAACCCGCCACAATCCAAATTTCATCCAGCTTTCCAGTATTCAAAGTTTGAGCCCCGATTCCCCAATATCCTCTGCGTGTTCTAAAAATCCTTCTCCCTGCGTATACTACTCTGAAAGCCTCATAAAAATCCTTGTAATCTTTATCGAATTTTGCCTTGTCAGAATCGACTAGGTTTTCGTTGGCCGCTATTTTGATTAATGTTTCTAGACTTTCCCAGGTGGGTATTAATGAATTGTTAAACTTGTGTTGGGATAAAGCATTGATTAGCCTTTTGGTGTCATCGTATGTTATCTGGAGACTGGCCAATTCAAGGCTGTGATTTAAAAGTGCATCGTTGTATGCGATACTTAACTCAGAGACACGTACCGCAAGAAAATACTGGAAAGTGTGTCGCGCATCTTCCTTAGCAGGCAGCTTTCGGAAAGTGTCCTTAATGAGTGTTCGCCAGAAGGCTTCGAAATATGTTTTCGTGTTATCATCAATGTGGGGATACTCTTTATTTGGATAGTTTGCTAACAGTTCTAGCACAGTGGTGAATCCGAAATCATTGCCCATGATTTCTGCTTGAGTAGCTGCGCATTCAGATATAATATCAAGCTTATAAGCTGTGATAGGCAAAAGGTATTGCAATTCCAATGGCGGAAGAGCTGGTACTTCAAATTGAAGACTTCGAGCGGCATTCCATCTCTCGCCTCCTGGCCGTGGTCTTGGATTTCCAGCCAGAGGTTGCGGATTAGATGCTGAGTTAAAATCCGGCACCCAAGAAGGAAGATCCCCCATCAACCTCACAGATTTAGGATCTTGAGTTCCCAAGGTATAATCCTCAACAAGAGAAAGAATGTTCAGATCTTTAGTTTCAAATATTATTTCCCATGCTGCTCTCGTATAAACCGTCGCTGTAGTCGGGTCATTCTTATAATTCGGCGTCATATCTTTCGGAATTATCTTCCCTCCTTTTTCCCAGATACCTCGGACTGCATAGATTTTATCTTTCGGATTCGTGGCATCGAAGAACCTGGAATAATACAATAATTTTTCCAGGTCTAAGGCTCTTCCCATGTCTTCTGTTCCCAGCGCAGCCATCTCTCTCATGCTTTGGAAAATTGATTGGTTGTTTAAAGTGTTGTTGACGTAAACGGTTCCCTTAACATCATCCACAGTCTCAACCAACAACTCCATCAGTAATGTCCCCAATCCCGTTTCCCTGAGGATTTTTGCGCAAGCTGTTATATCCGCCCATTTAATAATATCACTGCCGCAAATTACCACAATCTTTCCTGGCAGAAATGCTTCCTGGACAACCCATATGCGATTAAACCATGTTCGTTGTAGAAACGCTGCATATTCCAACCATTTCCAACTTTCCACCTCTTCAATACCCATTTTTGGATATACATCCCAGTCCTCAAGGTCAGTAATCTGTAGTGTGGCATACTTTTCTTCTGGGATTTTAGAAAGGACATTAATCATTTCAATCGCATATGGAGAATGAAAGTCTGCGACGCCGAGCCAGATAATCACTTGCGAGCATTTCGAATATATTTCTCCCATCATACCAACCTGTATATTTCTTTCCTCAATACTGTCTTGATTGATACAAATCCCATCTATCCAAATGAGATTCTCAGTATTGTACTTTCCGCCCTCTTCATTTTCATCCTCGCCATTAAATTTGCTGAATTCCATCAAAGCAAACAATAAGTTTTCTGTTATCAGTAAGATCTGATCATTGCACAGAATGGGATGCTGGCGTTTATCATTGCTGCGATGAATTTCCTCTTCTGGACTAAGAGCATGATAAAGTGGATCAGACCAGGTGTAAGAGAGACAATCGTATGGAGGTGCTGTTTTGAAATTTACTTCTCGAAGTGTTACGCGAATAGGCTCACCTGGACCAGAATCGAGATGTAAGAGACGGATAAAAGGAGAAGGGAGTATGGAAGGATATGTGGTTCTGCGTGTAAGTGACATGATGTATCACAGTGTTTGCAATAATTTGGAGGGCTCCTGTCGGGAGCTTCAACGTAGAATGTCTGGAGGGATGCGTTGAGAGATTTTAGCCATGTCAAGACGTCTGGGGCTATATATAAGGTAGTGCCGAGCTAGTGCAGGTCTTAGAGATTGAAGGATGCATGCACAGCCAGGGCGCTTGAATTTTAGGTTCCACTGCTGACGTGCGTAAGGATGGGGTCAGTCCTGCGGCCAACAGCCAAGAAAAGAGGTGAGCTTATAACTCGAAATGGCCACATAACTATAGCCATCACTTTATTTACTCCTGTCATTGAATTTTACGATTTTAAACAAGTCCTAAAATTAGATTGCTCTTGGCCACCTGCCAAAATTGAATAATCATGTAATTATTCTAGTATTATACAACCCGAAATCTGAGTGCTCCAAAATTCATCCCCAATATTTTCTATCCCTAGATGACTTACGGACATCATTGTTGGCTTTTTAGCTAGAGGGTATAAATACGATATCTACAAAACAGAACTCATGATACCCGAATATTCTTAATCGTTCCACCCAAGACTACTTAGTCTTGCGCCCTTAACCATTATTATTTCCATCATTAGCTCAATTACTTACTACAATCAGCACACTGATTAAGGTTAACCGTACTCAACTGGTTCTTACTTCCACATTTTGCCAAACTTCCTGCTGGAGGACAAATGTTATGGTAAATATTTTGATTCCCCAACTTTCCATTTGTACTATGCGCTGTACACTTGGTTTTTGTGCTAGAGCATAGTCGACCTGCTGCGGGACATCTACTCAAACACTGGGATACAGCACCGCCACCAAGACAAGAGGGAGCATTCACACAAAGTTTCCCACCTCGGCAGTCTGCATCCTTAGTACATTTGATGACTTTTGTGGATGCGGGAGCATTTCGAGAGGCTCCTTCATTCACATCTGGGAGACCGTTGTTGAGAGCTTGGAGGATGAAATTTGCAATCGGGGAGGTGGTTAAGGAAGAAAGATAATTGGTAATGTTGGTGGGAGTCTTGGGGCTTCCGGATGGACCAACGAAATTCGGTAAGCTCTGCGATGTGGAAGAATAGCCGGTTGAATCCTTGACGCACAGACTTGAGTTCTTCCAGATGGCATCGGCTGCATACTGCCAAAGATTGGTATAGTTATATACGGTTTGTGGAGTATAGTAGATGCGGCAATCTGCGGCTTCATAAGCAAATTGTAGTGGAATTTCCTCATTTTTGCGGACTTGATCACGAAGATTAATATCCGCATAGTACACAAACACGCTAAGTTGCTCTGTCCTATTTGGAAGGAATGTCGCATCTGGTGAGCTCTGATTTTGTAAAAGTTGTTGAGTGAAATCGATGTTGGCATCAAGGGTAAAGGTATCGTAGTCGCGTGCGCCGCGAGATCCCGCAGGGGCTTGCATCGGTCCTGTTGTTGGGGTTCCACCTACTGCAACAACTTTCACACCTGCTTCATGGCGGAAAAGTTCCATCAAAAGAGCACAAGAAGAGTGACAAATACCGTCCGATAACTACCATGATTAGATTGTGAAACCATACATCATTTAAGAAGGTCACTTACAATAATTATATCTTCCGCTGCAAATGGTGGCTGGGCTCCAGATGGTGCAGGGTTCGCATCATAGCCGTAGACTGCAAAAGAATCATCGCTGACATCTAGGCCGGTGCCCGAGGCATCAAAAATAGCATTAGATAGATTGTATCGTTCCTATTGATTCTCGTTAGCAGTGTCACTTGGAGAGACAGTATTAGTAATTGATGAGAACATAAACTTACAATGTTAGTGAAGTTATCACCATTGTATAAATTAGGTCCGAAAAATTCACCCCAATTAGTGAAGTTGCGATTAGTGTCCGCATTGATCCGATCAGTAACAACCCATTCATCAGCGGCCAAAACATATTTTGTCTCATCATCTTCCGCCAGACTATCCCAGTACGGCGTTAAAGTCTTGCCGAGAACATCAGCGGAGGCATGGGCTCTCATGCGAGAACCAGCAAACGGGTCGATATTCGGAAAGAATTGTTTGAATGTATCAATAGCTAGCAGTGATTGTCCACCATAATTCTGCTGAAGATCAATCACAACCTTCTTGAGACCAGCTGCTTTTGTCTGATTGATAAATTTGGTAATGGTTTGCTGAAAGCTAAAGACCGCGTCACCATCAACATCGAAGCTTGGAATACTTAGAACAGAGACAGATGTAGATTCGAGGAAATAGCCTGTTCTTCCATTAGTAACCATATATTGAAGTGAAGTTAAAGGTTGGCAGAAGATTGGATCACATACCAGAAACAACCCCATCACCAAATGTTCCAAGGTCTTCTTGTGCAACATCGGGTATCTCCGGGTAGGCTGCATTGTCCCATCCTGTCGGGGTTGGATTTATTGAAGAGACGGCGGCCGTGGCTGAAGGAGTCGCAGATACAATGAAAGAGTCATCACTCGAATCATCACCAGAATCATCTTCTGAATCATCCGGATCGTATGATGCAGGATAGAACCCTAAAACGAAGAAATTATAAAAGTCACCTCCAGTTTGAAGAGGACCAGTTGGACCGTCGCTATCGTAGACCGCCAAAAATTTCTCAGTCCAAGATGTCCCATTTTCTAGCACGAAAGTGATATTATCACCTGGGTAAAATGTCGCACCACCACTGAATACATTGAAGAATCCTTGAATATCTTGAGCCGCACTTAGCATCAACTGGTTCCAATCTGCATGAGCCTCAAGTGTGCCCGCTGAATTTACCGATGCGAAATCCGAAAGATAAGTGGTGGCATCTTTACCGTTAATTGACTTGATTGCTGAAGGTTGGAAAGTTGTGAAAAATTCACTATCGAAGAGGTCATCGGCTAGATAGATCTTCGGAATCTTCTGGCCATCTAACGATAGTGATACCACATCCCTTGGGCTAGCGAAACTAAAAGCTGACAAAGCTCCTGCTAACATGTCGACATGGCCGTCATGCGCAGCGTAAATCAGAGTCTGTAGAGTAGATTCAAACTCGTATTGATTTGAAAAGATTCCCTCGTCTATTGCGGTTTGAATTCGCTTCAGACCTGCTAAGAGGTCCACGGCTGGTTGCTGATAACTTGTGGGCGGGTTTTTCAGATACGTCAATGTACTCTGGAATTGGAGAGTGTCATTGTAATATGATATAAAACGGGAGGCGACAGCAGGATTGAACGGGACACTAGTGAGGCATTCAAATGCTAGACTTGCATTGAATATAACAGTGTCTATTTATTTCATCAGTTGAGAAACTCGGTGGCTATCGTACTTTCATACCTTCATTGTTAACGATATCACCACAGGCCGTCGAAGCGGAGTTCCTAGCACTCAGTGTTGCAGTCGTTCCAGATGTTGGACTGGCATATACGCCCCCATTAACAGAAAGGAAAAATAACACTTTAGCACAGTGGGAAACCCGCATGGTGCAGTAGCTCGGAAATGGAAAATTGTTGAAAGTGAAAGACTGGCGCTACCTCGTGACTCTCATCAGTTTGGGCGGGGAGAATTTATACATAAGGTTTATTGTTACAAAATACGAGTGAAGATTTAGTTTGCGGCTGATAATGCAGGGCTGTGTCATAGCAGAGGAGTATTAATTTTGCACATGGCTCATTAAGCGTAATTAACTTTGCGGAGCGTGAGGAACGGGATGTCTTATATGATTGGTTCCATATTTCAGGGTCCCTGGTATTTGGTCAGCAACAAATGGTAAGCATCCCACTTTTAATACAAATGATTAAGCTTATTCACACCTCGAGGCTCTTCAGATGTCGTGTCAATCTATTTAAGGCTTTTTGTGTGAGTCCAAGAGCAGTACTGTGTACTATCCTGAAGGATGGGGTAGAGTGGACTAGATTGACATATATGGAGGAGCGAATTATTGTTACAGCCTGTCTCGGGTATTTCCACGATAAGTAAATAAAACCCGGCAGCTATGTCAGCACTACTATGGTGTGTATATGTAGCATGGTAATAAATATATCACAATGGATATAGCATATCAATATGATAGGGGCAAGAATGAAGTTCAAAAACAAATCCAACTCTGGACCAAAGACTCGGGGTGCTATATAACTCATATGCTGTTTTCAGAAGGCTATTTGAGAGCTTTCCAAACTATTTTGAAAATTGGTGCGACTGAAAAATGCCTTTCTCTCAGAACGTAGCCGCCCGAAATCACGAAAGCACTCGTTATGTCGTTGACAACCGGTAACTTGAAGCCATACTAAGCCGTCAAGCCATCCAAACATGTCATATCGCGAAGGGGAGGCGCCAAGTGAACAACTCATGGCTTATTTTAGGGCTAGAACAACGGTGTTCGCAGCTTGGCTATTGGAATGAAAAATCCTTCATAGCAAAAAGTTGGGAACTATCCAGACCTTTTAGATTTAACTCATTGCTCTCAAATCCTTGTGATGGCTTTTTCTTTCCAATCATCTCTTTCAACCAAAATAATCTCTGAGAAATTTATGTCAATGAATAAATTTCACAGCTCAATCTAAATCATCTTCCACTTTTTGCTAGTGTAAAACATTCTGTAGGCGGTAACCTCGATGTTCTTGGTAATTAAGACTTAATTAAAGTGTTGTGATGAGTCATCCCCCGGGAAGCTTAATAAGCTTTAACCTTTTCTTATCGCATTGATGTCAAATTTATCGTGTGTTCATGTGCTTATGCGGCAAAGCTCGGAAAAGTCCCTTATACTGCCCAGTCAATCTTTTCTCTTCTTCGATTAAAGAAGTTTCATCCGTCATTTCGCCATAATTTGCTTATCATTATGGACAAAACTGTGGATTCTAGGTTGCAGCCCATGTACATGGATGGAATCAACCCCTCCATACGATGAAATCGAGGGGCAATGCTTTGTCCCCTCTATCTTGCTTATGCACTCGACTACGACGACATACATTCCATCTGCTTCGTCTCTATATCATGTTAACGCTTACGCCATTGTATATGCATGCAATTCATTAATTGAACTCAAATTCCTCTTACTGCCTTCTGGGACACACTCTGTCAACATTGGTGATAATCATTCGTGGTAACGTGGTAACGCAGCGATGCCTGACGCTGATAACCTACACAACCAAGGAAATGATTCAAGAAACAGTTGGGATGAAGAAAATAGTGATGAGCTCAGCCCAACCGACGGTTATTTCAATTCGAATCAAATTCCTCAAAATATGATCCCGGATCTCACACATTCACAAGAGGACATTCCAAAAGCCCGAGAGGCCAGCGAAGAGTCTGCGAAAGATACTGACATCTCTTCAACACTGCAGATGTCGTCGCACACAAACGCGTCAGCTCATGCAACTGAGAATTCTCGAGCTCCATTTGATTCGCTTCTTGCATCGTCATATCGCAGACGAGACAACACATTCTCTGAACATCAATCCTTATTCGATCAACCTCCACCAGCTTATGTAGCTTCGGCAGAATCATGTGGTGTCTCGGCACAAGGGCAACATACTCCCACGAACTACAATACATTCTCACAATCTCGACTCGAAGAAGGTCGACACGGAGAGCCTCAGAATATGGGAGGGCCAGTTGGTAATCCTGAAATGAACGAGAGAACTCCTCTTTGGCTGCTTCGAACACCAAAAAGACTTTCCTTTCGACGAGAGATAATAAAAAAAGTTCTAGGAGTGGGAATAGTTATTGCGATAATTGCTACTATATTGAGTACGAATTTTATAAGCTCAGTAAGTTTGCCTCTCATATGGAGTGAAAGTGCCTTGCAGACATGTTGATGGGAATGCATAACTAAAGTTCCATTTATACATCCTCAAATATGTTATTTCTAATACATACGCTAATCATTATGCAAGGATTCCCATCCAAATATGGGCGGAGGACCTAAAACTTCCAACCCCATCCACGATGGTGGTTCATACTGTCCGCACGCATCCAATTCGGATCAAACGACATTCGAGATTCCACATGGCGCTGGATTAATAGTCCGACAAGAATTCTATCAACAAGACAGACCCCATTACGGGCGGGAAGTCCAAACCGCAGGGGAAGTTCGCATTCGACATCTACCAAGAAATTCAAAGAAGGAAAAAGCATATTTCACCATAGACGCCAAACTCAGCCACCCCGAGCTGTCTGTCTTAAAGACCCTGAATGAGGATGACGGGTCACTAAAAGTCAGCACGCCACGCTTTGCCCACCTAAATACAAATGAGAACCCTTGTATATCACTTGAGATTACTGCTTGGATACCAGAGGATTTGAAGATAACAAACGTGTTTTTTGACTTGGTAACGCTATCAATCCAAGTGTTTGACGATGCCAAGATTGAGGTTGTCAAAGACACGCAGTTGAAGACGGTTTCAGGACACATTAAATTCCCCAAATATACAAGCTCGTCAACGGATGTTCCATCCATTAATGCAGCTGAAGCTCAACCACAAGCATACTTCGAATTTGATTCTCGTCGCATTGTTGTCGAAACTGTTTCCGGCAAAATAGAGGGTTCTTATCCCCTATATGATCTTCTAAACCTATCATCCCATTCCGGAGCTATAGAAATTAATGTATCCCCAAAACCCGTTCTCGAATCGGCGCCCGCTCCTGCTACCCTGGATATTAATACCTCTTCAGGTAGAATTAAAGTATCATCACCCATCAAATTACCAGAAGCCACTTATCCCCGAGAATATATTACACGTTTAGGATCCGTTTCTGGAACTATCCGAGGTGATTTCTTCGTCGGTTCTACGGGGACTTTCAAAACAACTTCTAGCAGTATTCAACTTGTGGTGAGACCCGTTTTACCAGCAACTTCAGATGATGACAAGACGAGAAATGAGTTTTCTACTCATTCGATTAGTGGAACTACGCATGTAACATTACTTGATCCTCTACTTATCTTACCTCCCACTATTGGTAACATTCACGATGGTCCGCTTGACTCCACGCCAGTTGACAACTACTTTACATACGCTCCCGGTATTATTACCTTGTCAACTTCATCCTCCATACAGCCATTCAAAAGTCAACTCCGTACCTTTTACTCAACACACAGAACCACATCCGGACATATAGAATCATACTATCCCTCATCCTGGGTCGGCAATATCAAAGCGAAAACAATCTCGGGAAGAATCAAGGTAGAAGGCAAAGGGATAGAGATCATGGAGAGTAATGATGGATGGGGTCACAAGTGGATTAAAGCTAGGAAAGGAGTGGAGAGAGAAAATGATGGGAATAGTGTGGGGTTTGAGACGGTAAGTGGGGCTATTGCGCTTAAGGTTATTGAGGGGTTGTGAAGATTGGTTAATGACCAAATATAAGAAACGGAGGTTTGGAAACATTTAATGAATTGGTGATGAGGAACTACTTGAAGATATGTGTTGGTATAAGATACATTTGGGAAGAAGCTATCAATAATAATTCAATATACACAACGACGGCGCTTCTTTCATGTTTACCATCGCGACGGGTCAAAATCGGGAGGATTGCCACGAAAGAGGACTCCAAGGAGAACTCCAAGGAGGATTTCAATCATTTCTTCCCCTCTGGCGGTATTAAGTTCACTTAATATTTCCCATGAGCACGACTTCTTCGCTCGTTCCCCGCCTTTCACACCTCATTTAAGGCTTTTAAGGCTTTTAAGGCTTGTTTCCCAACAATAGCTATTCCGTAATTTTGTTCCAGGAAATGCAACATGTCTCCACTATAACCCGCCATTGCAGAATATGATTTGTAGGGATATCCGGCTGCGAAAAGACGGTCAATATCCAAGGACCGCCTCCGTACCTTGCATAATATTTGTATTGCACGCATACATGCATTTATGTTTATGTGGCTTGAATCCAAATCAATGCTTGCGGTAGTGGCATCGATATCGGTGAAAACCCAATCAATAAAAATTAAACTTTTATTTGAATTATTACTTTCTTCTACGTTACCTAGATGACAGTACCTACTTGCTTTTGTGAGGTCCAGTAAATCGGAATTCTAGGAAGGAAACAAAATCTGCTGCCATTACTAGTGTACCTGTGGTACCCACAAGTATGGTGTGCTTCCGGTTAGATTTTCAACGACATATTTTATTGCTTTCCAGTCTCTACATCGTGCTTTCTTATACATGTAGCTTGACTTTCGGTTAGTGCAGGTACTGACCGACTTTATATCTATATATACCAATTGCGTGTTGATTGGTTACAAGACTTGATGATCTGTCCGGATGGGAAGTTTCTTGTTGAATAAACACATATCCGTGCTTACGCCTCGGGGTTCGCGCGCAAACTTAGAGATGGGAATATTGGGATAGGGGAACCAAGTTTGCATAGTTCGCCTCTCACTATTCTATGAAAAGAGTTTTTCAATCCAGGCTTCTTTACTTTCATTTTCAATCGATATATACCTTGACAGAACGCGGGAAACACTTGCTATTCGTTCTTCCGCTTATTATTGATCATCCAAATTTCAATCTTGAGGGCGGATACAAGTTCATCGTTCCGGATCAGTATTGCAATTTAATCTTCGGCCATCTAAATTCTGGTAGATTTTGCATTTTCACACATTAACGTCCTAAATGTACGTTCTTTTCCATGATAACTTCCCGATGTTTTGATTCTTATACTCATTGCGCTTCCAGTTTCCCCCAGCTCCCAACTAGCTAAGCATAAAAAATGGCTTCTCCCTTGGAACACGAGCCAGAATCTCAATCTGGCATTCAAAAAATAATTTCTACCGGAGCATTCCCATCCCCTAATTCATACTGGCATCCCAACTTCACCACCTCCATAATCCCAATAAATTGCTGGTCCCACAACGATGAGCACCAACCTATCTCCCTATATACCGCTCTCGCGGCCGGCTGTATAGCCATCGAAGCTGATTGCTTCACTCCTTCTTATTATTCTTCATCTCACTTCCCTGCTTCGTTATTCTCGTATTTCTCGTCACCAGAAACTCCAATCCCCGAGAACGATCTCCTCGTCGGCCATGAAACTTCAGAACTTCACCCTACAAGGACACTCTCATCTCTGTATTTAAATCCACTCCTTGAGATTTTGATACAGCAGAATAAAGCTGCAGGAAATCCAAAAAAGAAAGTAGGAGTCTGGAATGAGAACCCGTATCTACCATTACATTTAACAATCGACTATAAAACCGTTTCATCAGGACACGATGGAATTCACATTCTTTATTCCCTCTTAGAACCCCTACGAACTGCGGGCTTCCTCACCTACTACGATAATCTCAATGAAAAACTAGTTCCCGGTCCTTTAACTATCGTCGGGACTGGGGATGCCGATTTCGAATTGATATGCGCATATGAACGCGTCTATATCTTTAAGGACGCTCGATTTTTCAACTTCCTCCCTTCTCAAAATCCATATAATTCTCTTTATGTATCCGCTAATATTTCCACTTCCATTGGTCGATTTTCTAAATCCAAAGGGCCTACAAAAGAACAAGTAAAGAGCATAAGGAAGGAATGTAGAGAGGTCAGGGAAAGAGGATTAATACCCCGATATTGGGGAACGCCAGATGATGAGGAATGGTGGAGGGTATTGGTGGAGAGTGGAATTGAAGTGTTGAATTGTGATGATCTTGAGCGTGGGGGAAGGTGGTTGAGAGGATATGTTGTGAATGGGGTCGGTGTGGGAGCGTTGTGGAAGGAAGATGTTAAAGAAGGAGAAGAGGAAGGTTGGGAAGGAGGGTGTATAGTTTTGTGATGGAAATCAACGGCATTTAATAGTTGGTATTAGAACCACTGAATCGAGAAAGGAAAGCTTAGTAGAATAAATTGATATAATTTTAAATTAAAATGTTGTTAGTCATTATACCTGATGGCTTTTTATTTAATAAATAATATTAAGTTTTAAGGATTTTGAGTGAAGAGGTTTTAAATTAAAAAACAACAAAGAGAGCTTGTATAAAAAAAGTTTAATATATAAGATTTTATAAAAATGTTTCTAATGCTCTATTGACTGGTATTTATTATTTATAAAATATTTATAAAGACAATGAAATGATAGTTAATATAAATTAATCAGGACAATAACAAAATAATAGTTTTAAGGATTTGATATATTAATATTAATAATATAATTATATATAAAAACATAATATAATAAAAGTGATAGATTAAAATATATATTATAAAAAAGTTGAAATTATATTTTAGATATATAAAAGTTTTTAATTAATTAATTATATAATCTTTTATAATTAAATATAAAAAAAGAGTTTTCATTTTTTCTTTTAATAATAATTAATCTTTTATATATGTATATTTAAACTTATATAACTTCAACTTTAAAATTATTATAAACTTCATTTTCTTTATAAATGATATATTATAATATAATCTAATTAGTTTTATTTTTCAATTCTCTTTTATAGTATACTATTAGAATATATATATCTCGATTTATTATTTTTATAAAAAGAAAAAAAGAAAAAAAGAATTAATTAATTTATTATCAATTTGTTAATATTATAATCTTATTATATTCTAAAAGTGATAGGCCGAGATATGTGTGTCTTGATAATATATTATAAGAAGGGAATTGGAAAAGGAAGTTGAATTAGATTATATTATAATATGTTATTTATAAAGAAAACGAAGTTTATAATAGTTTTGGGGTTAATATTATATAGGTTCAAATATATATATATAGAAGATTGATTATTGTAAAAAGAAGAGATAAAGGCTTTTTTTTTATATTTAACTATAAAAGGTTATATAATTGATTAGCTAAAAACTTTTATATATTTGATCTATAATTTTAATTTTCTTATAATATATAAGGTTTATTTGATGAATGATAGAAAATAAAAAACTTGTTTAAATGAATTATAATCTTAATAATCCGATTAATTTAAAATATTATAATAATCTAGTTGAGGTAGTAATTATTTAAGGTTTGTATAATTAATAGTTATAAATTGAGGCTATTGATTATTTGTTATTTATTTGAAAGTGAATTTGTTATTAGATTAAGTAGAATGTAAATAAACTAATTGATAATTAAGTTGAATATAAAGCTTTTAAATTATAAAACTATTCTGATTATATATTAATAAATATAAAGAAGTTTTATAAAGTTTTAGAACACTAAAAAACTTTTAAAGTTTTAAAAGCTTTCGAAATTTCCAGGATTTCTTATTATATAATTAGAATCAGATTATATATCCGAGCTTGTTAAAAATAAGGAGATCATATAAGGCGATTACTATACGAATTTGTATACGAATCGTTCTGCTTTTCGATAAGGCCTAAGCTCATATAGACAAGTTGATTGTTGCCTCTCAACTGTAACGATCCGGTCGAGGCAGCGGCTGCCTCAGGTTTTCGTCTGGTTGGTAATTGTAGGTTAAGGCTAATAATTACGGGTTATCCACTCGAAGATGAATACGTTACTAGATCAATTAGAATGTAGATAAACTAATTGATAATTAAATTGAGTACAAAGTTTCTAAATTATGAAACTATTCTGATTATATACTAATCTCTTTTCCTATACTAACTATACTAGCTGGGCTAGTACAGCTAGCATTCTTGTAATACTAGTTTTGCTAGTTGGATTAGCAAAGCTAATATATCACATAATTGATCCTGAGGTTTTTTATATCCCAAAACCTTTCCTTTTCTGGAACATTTGTCCCAAAAGTTTTTCTTTTAGAAACTATAATTCTAGAATATAATATCCTCTAGGGTGATAATCCTACTACAATTAATTAGATAGAACACTTATCCTATTCTACTATAATTGTTTAGGATACTTATCCTAGGAATCCTGGGGTTCTAGGTTTAGATAATCAGGACCCCCAAAAGCAACGGTTAAATCACACCCCCCTTGTAATCGGCATATAAATCATCGACAGTAATAATACTATTATAAAGAAAATTGTGAATCGTGACATCAACACACCCTAATTGTAATCGTAAATCGTGACAATATCAAAAAAAAGAACAATATAAGAATAGATATTTTGAATAAATTATTAAGATATAAAGATAATAAAATCTATTTGAAAACAATGATTTTGAAATCTTTATCAAATGAAGATTTTATTTTTAATTTAACAGAAATTGTTATTATAAAGAATAAATCAATAAAGATTTAAAAGAATAAATTTGTAAAAATATAACAAAATAAAAAAGATATCAAATGATTAGAATTATCAATAATTATCGATAAATTGTTTCGAATAAAAAATAAAATATAATTATCAAATAATATTGTTTTTGAGTATATTATAGAATAATATATTTTATTAGTTTATGAATATTAAGGAATATAAAGAATGTATTTAAAAATCAAAAGGTAATATTGGAATTCAGGATTTTATAATATAATCAATAAAATGATCATCGAGTGTAATATTTATATTAGAAATAAAACTTTCTATTATATTCTTTATAAATAAATGAATATTATTGAAATATTATATATATTATAGAAATCAATATTATAAGACTTTATAAATTTATTATCAAAATTTAAGGATTTAATAATAAAAGTAATATATAATTATTTTCTTATTATAATAAATAGATTAACAAAATATCTGATATTTGTATTATATTAAATAATACTAATTATAGAAATACTAACTTTTATATTTTTAAAAAAAATCGTTATAATATATAAATTATTAAAAGAAATATTTTTTGATAAAGATAAACTTTTTATATCGAAATTTTGGATTATTTTAATAATATTATTAAAAATAAAAAATAAAATATTTATTATATTCTATTTATAAATTAAAAAAAAATAAAAAGTAAATCAAATTATTGAAGTTTATCTTTGATATTATATGAATTATTAATAGAATAATTGAATAGAATTTTTATTTTTAGTATAATTTATATATAATAATTCAATTTTGAAAATAATATAAATCATTCTGAATTATATCAATTATAGATATGAATTGATTGTATATTATAAATTAGAGATTATAGAAATAGAAAACTAATCTATAATAATATAAACAAAAAGATTCAAAAAAGTTTATAAAGAAATAATAATAGAATTAAAGTTTGTTATTGAAAAAAATATATATTATTATAATTAAAAATATAATTAAGAATTAATACTAAAAAAGAAAACTAAAGTTTATTTATTTCGAAAAAATTTCAAAATAAAAAGATCTAATACAAAATTAAATCATAAGAAACTCAAATTATTCAAAATCAAAAAAGTTAAAGGATTCTTGAATTATGAATTGGTATTATCGAAAAATATGAATATATATTCAATATTCTATATATCTTTATTCAAATTAATATCCTTAAAAATACTAAAAGTTTTTGAAATTGAAATTATATTTATAGATTAAGATATTAAATATAAAGTAAAGAAAATACTAAATTATAAATATATTAAAAATAAAATCAAATATTTAATAAAATAAAAGAATTATTTTAATTTTGAGAATATATAGGAATTTAAGAAAGAAATTAAATATCTAAAGAAATTCTAGAAGTTTTATCAATAGAATTCAAATTTATTCAAAAAAAAAAAGAATTCATTATTTATTATAAAAAAGAATCGAAAAGATTGAATTCGTTTATAGAAATATTATTGAAATTGATAAAATCAATTAATAATCGATTAAATTGATTAAATTGATTAAATTAATTAAAAATATTAGAAAAAACAATAAATATAAAGAATATAATAATTTCCTATTCTTTTTTTTTTTTTTTCTTTTAAAATATCAAGTTTGTTTATAGAATTCAATTCAATAATAATTATTTTCTATTTTCATTTATAAAGAAACTTTTATTATTTATTAAAACAAAATATTTTGGATATCGTTTTATTCTTTTCAGTATTTATATATTCGATCTAAATATTGATAACTTCCCGATCAAAAACAAAAAGCATTTTATTTAATTTACAAATATTATATAATTTATTGAAAGAAATATAATAATTATAATATTAATATTTAATATTACAAAAAGAAATATATTTGATATTAGTACTTTCATATTGAATATAAAAAGCTATTTTCAAATAAATTGATTTCTTTTTTAAAAGCTTTATAATCGATACAAAATTAAAAATAAATAAATAATATAATAAAAAATACTCAGAATAAATTATACAAAAAACATTTCTTTTCAAACCTTATAAGTAATCAAAATGATACTTAATTAAAAAAAAATATTATAATTTACAGTTTTCATTATAATAATATTATTGATATCGATAATTTATATATTAATTATAAAAGGGATATAATTTAATCATTGTTTTTGAAGATCCTGATTATCTAAACTTAAAATTCCAGGATTTCTAGGATAAATATCCTAAACAATTATTGTTATGAACCTTGTATAAAGGAAGATCATGTGATTTTAATTGATTGATAATTCCTATTGGTGAGCTGATAGTCTATGTATATCTTTCCAAATTCATTCTTTTTAATATAACATTATAATCACCTTAAGGAAGAAAGTATATAATTATATAACTACTATATAGATATTTTGTATATATATATGAATGCTCTCTATAAGTTATAATATAAAAGTGATAGGTCGAGATATATGCGTCCTGATAACATGTTGTGAGAAGGGAATTGGAAAAGAAAGCTGAATTAGATTATATTGTAATATATCATTTATAGGTAAAACAAAGTTCACAATAGTTTTGAGATTGGTGTTATATAGGTTCAAATGTATATATATAGAAGATTGATTATTATAAAAAGAAAAAGCAAAAGGCTTTTCTTTTATATCTAATTATAGAAGATTATATGATTGACTAATTAAAATCTTTATGTATTTGATTTA